TAGGCTTCAGAATAAAGGTTTTCCTACTAAGAAATATAGGACTTTAGATTAGGGCTTCGAATAGAGGAGCCCTAAGCTCTAAGCTAGTAGTATTAACTAATTATATCGCGTTTTCTTACTTTATTTATCGGTACTAGCTTATCTTAGAGAATTTAAAGGCTCTAATAGGCGGAATTTATATTAATAATTATTTGCTTGTTTTACTGACTAATTAAATTCTAAATAATTATATAAATTAGAGTTAGACCCTTATTTACATAGTTAAATTCGCGTATTTAAAGTTTATACTTATATAAGAGATCTCGGTAGAGCTTTTTATTAGCTAGAGAAAGATTTAGAATTAACATAGCTCCTCTCTAAATCTTTAATAGAAACGGATAGACGGGCTATTCCAGTAAAATAGGCTTTTCTAATTAGTTAAGATTAATGTAGTCCTACATCTCTTTATTTAGGGCAAAGATTTTAATTAATTAAAACTAGAGAAGCTAATTAGATAAGATCGATAGAATAGTTAAGATTCAGTCGGTTATTTTCGATAGAATATTTTAGAGCTATTAGAGTCTTCTAGAATAGTCAAATTCGATTAATAACATCGGTTAGAATTAATAGAATTAATAATTAGATTAGATTAGTCGGTAGAAATCGATAGAGATTAGTAGAATTAGATTAACTGATTAAATCAGTTAAATTAGTCTAATTAGATTAGTTAAATTAGTTAAGTTAAATAGGTTAAATAGATTAAACAGATTAAATCGATTAAATTAGTCGAATAGATCGAATAAATCGGACTAATTAGAATAGTTAAAATAGATTAATAAGATTGGTTAGGTTAGATAGGGATAGCGGACCGGGCTTATAACTATCAAACTCTAGGAGTCTTAGATATCTTAGATACCTTAGGCCCTCTAGAGTTTCTTAATTAGAAAATCCCTATTAATCTAACTAGATAATATAAACTAATGAGAGTTAAGGAAATTGACAATTAAACTAGATAACTAATTAAATCTAGTAAATAACTCTGGTTGACTTTAGCCCGGAACTATGGGTTAGTAGGCCCTATTTATAGTATAGTCCTAAAGGCCTAGAGTCTTCTAGAAGCAGGTAATTAATAATTAAAATTAGAAATAACGTAGAAATACTAGAAGATAACGCAATGGAATTAGAAAGAATAGATTAGAACAATGCAAATTAAAACAATAGAAATTAATAGAATCAATCTGGTGGTTGCCTAGGCAATAATAGCTACCTAAAATAGGTGCCTGATTCTGCTGACTAAATGTCTGCCTAAGGCAGGCGCCCCTACTGTCTGACACTGTTTAACCTACAGTTAGTATCCTTATTAAATTAATCTTTTTTATCTTACCGGCCGATTAATCTAGTAAGATATAATCTTTAATTTTAACCTAACCATATCTCTCTAGTTATTAGATTCTTTATACCTTAATCTAACCTAGCCGATTATAGTTAGATTATAGTAAGATACAACGGTGAGGTTAACCTACTCTACTTTATTATAAACCTAGTAGCTACTGCTTAAATAGTTATTAAATTTAATTATTATAGTAAAGCTTCTTTTATACAGCTAGATAATTAGAAATAGATTATTTTAATTAAATATATTAATTTACTAGCTAGATATTTTTCTATATATTATTTTAAAAAAAAAAGATCTATATAAAAAGCTAATATAAAAATATAAAGCTCCCGCACGATAGTAAAATTGAAATTAGTTCTAATAGATAGATTACTAATAAGATTAGCCTTTACTAGCTTAGAAATATCTTTATTTCTATTACTTCTAATTATATAACTAGAAATTATTATTTTTTAATTTTTAATAGTTATAACAGCTATCTTATATTTTAATTTAATTAGCTCTACAGCAAGAATAATATAATTTCTATCTATATATCTGCTTATTCTTTCTATAAATTTTAATTTTCAGATATCGGCTATTTTTTATTTTTAAAAAAATATATAGAATATTAGTAGAGCAGAAAATATATTTAAAAATTAATTATATTAATAAATTTAATTTTTTAAAGGCTTTTTTAGCTATTTATAAAAACGTTTTTTAAGCAGAAATTATTAGAAATAGTTTTACAGATATAAGTCTAGTTCTATTTAATCTAGATAGGGTGCTTAGTTAATTAAATATTTAACTAAAGATCTTTATACTACTAAGTAGTTAATTAATAGATTTAGTACTTAAAATATTCTATACTACTAGATAGTTAGAAAAGTAGATATCTATTGTGAGAAAATTATTTGAAGAATATACTTGTAGTTCTTTACTATAGCTAGAAATATATTTAAATAAAATTATTAAAAACTATAAAATAGTTTTAAATAAGCTTGTTTTTATATGTAATAAAATACGTAAATATTATATTAAGAATAAATAAAAAGATTAAAAAAGTAAGCGCTCTACTAGGCAGCTAGTTTTTATAGAGGGATTATCTATTTAGAAGGGTTTAGAGCAATTCTAGCGCGAGAATAAGATTAATAAAGTTTAAAATATATTTTCTATAGATTCTATATTTTCTGCAGTTAGATTATAACGTATAAGCCCCCCTACAGTATTTTAATTATTATATTTAGGGACATACTAGAACTAGATATCTTATTCTACTTAGTAATTAATTTTTAGATAGAAATGCAATTGTTTAGTTAGTAGAGGCTCTAGTATTTGGCCCGTAGGCAGAAATTGGTGGGAGGTGCGGCGCTCGGTGGTGGTGCGGCGCTCAGTAGTGAAATACGTTAACGTAATTCACCTACGAGTCGGCCACACGGTTAAGTCGGCCACCGCCTACCGATTCCTGCCCATAGGCCAAATACTAGAGCCTCTACCAACCAAACAATTATATTTCTATATAAAAATTAATTACTAAGTAATTTAGGATATCTAACTCTAGTATATCCCTAAATATGATAATTAGAATATTGCGGTGGCGCTTGTACGTACGGCCTAACTGCAGAAAGCGCTAGATCTATAGAAATAGTATTCTAAGCTTCCTGAACCTTATTTTTATATTAAAATAGCTTTAGGCCTTTTTAAAGAGATAAACCCTTTTCTATAGCTAGCTGTTTTATAGACTTACTCCGCTTTTCGCTTTTCTATTTATTATTTATATAATATTTACGTATTTCTTTCTTTATAAGAAGAAGCTTATCAAGCGCTAATTTATAACTCTTAATAATTTTATCTAATCGCGTTTCTAGTAAAGGTAAAGGGCTGTAAGCATATTTATTAAGCAGTTACTTTATTTACAAATACTTACTTTTCTAGCTACCTAGTTATATAAGAAGTTTTAAACGCTAAATTAGTTGATTAACTATTTAGTGGTGTAGGGATTTTTAGTTAGATATTTAATTTACTAAGTACTTTATCTAGATCGAACAGAACTAGGCCAGTAGCTATAAAACTATTTTAAATAAATTTTGCTGTAAAAGTAAGATCGCAAGCTTCTAGAAAAATATTTAGAAAATTAAGTTTTTTTAGTTTAGCTAATTTCTAAATATATTTTTTATTTTACTAAGCTTCTGTACGCGCTTTTTAGATTTTAAAAGTAGCTTATATCCAGAGACTAAAGGTTATTAGAAGAATATAGAGATATATAAATAGAAATAATATTATTTTTACTATATATTTAATTAAATTAAGATAAAAGATAGCTACTATAGTTATTTATAATTAAAAAATAGTATTTCCTAATTATACAATAAGTAGTTATGAAAATAAATAATTTTTTTAGCTAACAAAGGCCTATTTTATTAGAAATCTATTTATTAAAACTAACTTTAAGTCTAGTATCTAATAGAAGCTTTAATTATTTATACTAATTTTCTATATAAATCTTCTTTTTAAAGATAATATATAGAGGAAGTATTTAACTAGTAGAGTTAATATATTTAATTAAAATAATCTATTTCTAATTATCTAGCTGTATAACACGTATTTTGCTATAGTAATCAGCTTTAGTAATTACTTAAGTAGTATTTACTAGGCCTATAGCGAAGCCAGTCTTATTAAAGTTATAGATATTTTTCTGTGCAATCCTATATTATATTATAGTAATTTATACGCGGTTAAACTATTCTTTAATTATTTTAAAATCTTCGTATTTAGCGCGCCGATAATTATATTATTAAGAAAAATAGAATTTAACTTTAGGGCGACGTTAAATAAATTTTATAATCTAGTTAACTTTAACTAATTAAATAGATATAGTACCGCGGCCGGCGAGCAGAATATTAGCTATTTTTTATATATCTAATAGCTAAGAAGGAGCTCTATATTAATTTAACGATAGAATCTATCGTATAAGAAATTCCTCTTTATTTAAAATTATTTTATAAAGATTAGCGCGCTTTTCTACTCGAAAGACTTCTTTATAAAACTAATCTTATAAAGTAGAGCAAGAAATATTATAGACGTAGGCTATTTTATAAATTATATAGATTTCTTACTTTTTTAAAGTAGAAATAGTAAATAGAATCTTCCCCTCCTATTCTACTGATTTTTTCGAATTTAACGCGCTTTTAGAGGCATAGTTAGTGGTTGAAATAGGTGAGGTTTTCGGTCGCGTCTAAAACGCGTGAGGTGGCCGACTTAACCGTGTGGCCGACTCGTAGGTGAATTACGTTAGGTGTTATTATATAAGACAAGTCTATTTGGCCCACTTCCGCGACTATCTTCGACACAACTCCGTCATCGGAAACTATCTACTACTCATTCGTTCTCCTCCAAGTCTGCGCCACATGGACCCTTTTCATATCTACCAGGGTTACTTTACAAGCACGAATATCAATTCGCGCAGGCAGTCGTGCCTAGGGAGATCGTTGCACAGGTATCAACGCTATCTCTGCTAACGCCGACGGAGGAGTTTCAGAGTCCCACCTAACGTTCCCGACACACCGTGACTGAGCTTGAGCTACTAAATCCGAACTGCGTCTTCGAGAAATTACAGCCCGATAGGATCGACCCAACTCATCATAACATGGGAGCTCCTAAGCCTCGCCCTTCCGGAAGAGCTACAGCCGCGAAAACCCCTACCTTGCCAGCAAAGACCTTCATAATCGACAATGGCGCGTATACGATGAAAGCCGGACACGCCCCAGAGGCCCCTACCGCAATAGATGAGATGAATTCGCTCTCGCGATGTAGCGTCATCCCTAACGCGCTCTTCAAAACTCGTGGGAACCGTGTTTATGTCGGCTCTGAGCTCAACACGCATGTAGCGGATGGCAATGAGTTGATGTTTCGGCGTCCAGTGGAAAAAGGGTATATTGTCAACTGGGAAGCTCAGAAGGAAATTTGGGAGCACTCATTTTTTGATGAAAAAACCGTACGATCTAAAGACTTACGTATTACGAGCCCGGAGGAGACAACGCTTTTGCTCACGGAAGCCCCGAATGCTTTGCCGGCGCTGCAGAAGAATGCAGATGAAATTGTGATGGAGGAGTGGGGGTTTGGTGGCTATTATAGATGCATGGGTAGGTATCAAATGGACGAACTCAATAGCTGGACTTCTCATGGCTGACTTCTGGAATCACACAAGGCCCTACCCTGAATGCCTGGAACGAGATACAATCTCTCTTCGGGGATCCCATCATACGGAACGCCGACTCCGTCGTGTCCCCCGCCGAATGCCTGCTGGTTGTCGACTCTGGCTATTCCCATACTACCGTGACCCCTGTCTACAAAGGCCAACCTATCCAGCGCGGGATCAGAAGAATCGACCTCGGGGGAAAACATCTTACGAATTACCTTAAAGAAATGGTATCCATGCGACAGTATAACATGGTGGACGAAACATACATTATGAATGAAGTCAAAGAGGCTGTCTGTTTTGTGAGTGATGATTTTGCTCGGGACATGGAACGGACGTGGAAAGGCAATCGAAAGCGTGGGCAAGCGGACCCTAGCGAAGGTATCACGGTGGATTATGTTCTCCCTGATCCGAATGCGCGCAAGAAAGGATTTATGCGACCACACGACCCGATGTTGAACGCAAAGAAGAGAAAAGGCGCTCTTGCTGGTGGCAGTGCGGACACGATATCGGAAGATTTCTTGGTCCTGGGCAATGAGCGCTTCACTGTCCCTGAGGTCCTGTTCACACCGAGTGACATTGGCATGAAACAAGCTGGGATTCCGGATATGATCATGCAGAGCCTGTCTGTGCTGCCACCGGGGCTGCATCCTGCTTTTTTAGCGAATGTCCTGGTTGTTGGCGGGAATTCACTACTCCCAGGTTTTATGGGCCGACTGTAAGTATAGGCTCATTGGAGTCGTCGTCCGTTCGCTAAAGGCCTTTAGGGAAACGGAACTTCGTCAAGCCGCTTCTGCAGAGTGCGTCGTGCGAGTCCGGCGCCCGGAGGAGTGAGTACTACCTTATACTACCAACCAATCCCTTGCTGATAGAATATGCTGCAGCCCCATCCGCTATACATGGCTCGGCGGTTCCCGGTTAGCTACTAACCGAGAGGAGCTGAAAAAATTCGCCATCACTCGCCAGGAATATCAAGAAAATGGATCTTCATGGGTGGGAAGAAAGTTCTCGGGGACTTTATAACCATGTTAAACCGAAACTTCTTCCATTGCGAGAAGACAAGATGCGGTGTTTGGTACGGAATGGACTGCAACCTGTTCCTAGTAGCTGTGTATTATGTGGATATCTTCGTGTAAGGTAGCTTCGTCTGAGATACCCTTAAATTTAGTGTCGTCACTTGGAGGGCTTTCAGGTAGTCAACAACTTGAAATGGGACTGACTGGCTTTAGTGATCTCTTACCATACGTAGATCAGACAGGTGGATGAGATTGCTAACTTCTACGACTTACGTTGATCATCGTGGATGGAGCTACAATGGTAGGTAGATGAAGCTATTCCTGTAGATAGTTTTCAAGATACTGATATCATATTAAGCTAAGCCATTGGTACACCAAAGGATGGCTCCGTTTTGTTGGCACGTGGAGGCATAATCAAGTGGTCATGTATTAGATGTGTATGCTCAAAAAAGGCAGAATGTAGGTGGACAGACAACGCGGGCCCAACCGGCCCATTTGTACAGGTATTATACATTGTCTCACCCTCTAGCTGGAAAGAAAATTGAATCCTCGGATTTGACGATTCGACAGGCGATCACAGGCTCTTGTTGCCCTCGGTCGCCTTCTTCTCACGACGTCTCTTGATCGCCTCGGGGCTGTACTCAGTATCGAGGAAGTAATCCCACCACCGGAAGCTGCTGGAGTAGTTGCCGACGAACTTCTCATGGTGAAGGTCATGGTGGTCTGCGCCAGCCCAGAATGGAAGGAAGTGGTGCAAGCTCCAGGGGAATTCGTAACCGCTGTGCGCATCGATCGCTTGGAACAGTCGCAGTACGATCCAGACGTACATGGTGAAGATGTGGAGGTCGCCGGTGACAGCACACCACAGAATAGGGCAGCCCACAGTGCCGAAACCCAGGATCATGACTTCAATCGGAGAGGCATATTCCGCGGCCATTCCGAAGGGGGCGGAGTATTGATGGTGGATCTTATGGATGGCCTTGTAGAGAGGTCCCCAATGGAGGGCACGGTGAGAGAAGTAATGCCACGTATCCTCCAACACGAAGAAGATGGCAATCTGGTAAGCCATCGTCCAGAGCGAGGGGAAGGGAACCGAGGTGGAAAGACCAAAGAACTGAGCCATGGGGTGGAAAAGCCTGTAGAGTTGTCTGGTCAGCCACAGGTTGCAGGCACAGAGATGGGAAATAGAGTTACATACCAGATCTGGGGCAGCTCTACCGTGAAGTGACTGAGAAGCACAAACTTTGCACAATCCCACTGCTCTCGCAACGAAGGGATTTTGTTCTGCAGAAAATAGAGTCAGTTGAGGCACATGACTCGCTTTCACCGCAGTGTCCTTACATTCTGAATCTTGTAGTTTTTCAACAGACCCAAGCTATCGATGATGATCCAGGGCAGGGAGCGTCCGAAGTAGACGATTTCGTGCATGACGAACGACATGATGCCAGTGGCCAAGACATCATTCTGCATCCAAGCATACCAGGCGGTCCACAGTCTCTCAACAACATTGAGGTGAGTGTTGTACTTTGAAATTTCGTCAAACTGCCCCCAGTACGTCGTCGGAGGCGCGAACGTTGTGGAATTCCTGAAACAATCAGACCCCGAACCGATCAGGTACGCGCGAGGAGCGCCGAATACTAAAAGAGGGCTTACATTGTGTCCGTGGAGAGATCTCCCTGATCCCAAGGAGACTAGAGGCTCCAGATAACTCCGACGTTCAAGAAAAACCCAATAGAAAACGGGATGTTCTATGATGAAAGAGCGTGACCACACAGGAGGTAGTGTGACAAAGACGTAGGAATTAATGCGACGGCCCTGGAGGTGTAGACAGGGTATGGGTTGTTGAGGTAGGAAGTAATGGTGGTGGTGAGTAGGAGGTATTTCAGGGACAGGAAGCGCGAGCAGGAGCAGCGTTCCCGAGGTGGCGAGACCTCTTCTATTTTTTTTTCCCTTCCCGCCAACCCCTGGCCTGGGACGGACTCGCACCACTCCCTAGCCGATTGGGACCGATACCCTCACCTCCACCACTCTAAGAACCCACTCCTCTTATTGGGCCTGTCCCCTTGATGGTATGATAATTTACCAACGAATTCTTATTCCGATTTGCACCATCTAAACCAGATGCGGTTATGCCCATATCTCTCTCCCCTGGGTCGGTGGTTCTTGATGAGGATGGATGCTCTCCATATTAGCCCACTTGGCCTTTAGGAGGAGGAGGGACACAAATCCAATTCCTTAATTGGTCATCTATGAATAACCAACCCCCTTCTGGAGCGATGTATGGAGTACGGAGTACTCCGTATGTATGTCATTATTACCCTGTTACTAGGTAGCCTAGTTCTATGTATATATGTGATCGTGATATCAACATGGACCAATATGATTTCATGACTAAACTACTCTACCTGAGTAGATGTTTATACACTAAAAGGAAGAGATGAGGCGTATAAAGCAAACAAACAAACCAATTTTTGATGGTGAATAACCAACTTTTTCTTCTTGGGAAATAGGCCGCTCTCCGTCTTCGGAAGTCTGGCTTAGTCATTATGATCATCGTGGGCAGTGACGACATCTCCCATCGAGCTTCACCTACTACCAAGATGTCTGCTGCTGCCCAGCTACTACTCGTCGGTGGTAATAAGGATATAAAATGACAGCAATACGCGAGTGAGTCTGAAGTGTCAGCACTGGAAGAGCTGTGCTGATCGGAACACCCATTCCTTAGCAATATCCGCCGTTTAGACACTCGGCTTGAGAATCTCAAGCAGCAGATTAACGATTCATCCGTGACAGCCCTCGACGTGAACCTGAATGCCGATGAACTTGAATCCTGCGCACATACTATAAACTCTCTCAGTGATATACTTGATTCACTCTCCGCACCGCCCGAATCTCCCCCATTGTTGCGTGCAAAGGAAATCGCCGACTCGATCTCAAAACTTGACCCCTCTTCTATCCAACAGCTTGCAGATTCGGGTCCATTGGCAGCCCATACGGCACACCTTTGGTGGCTGGTAGCGGGGAAAGCCGCGGTGCAGACATTGAGTGCATTGCTGGACACGTTCCTAGAGCAAGGTATCCTGCTAAATGATGAGATCCTCTATTGGGAAGATGTGTTGGGATCTCAGTGGTACATTGCATTATACGCCTTACAGACATCGCCTTCTAGACTCTGGCACAAGTTCCTGCAGATACGATATAGCCATGGCTATACTGCTATTCAGACAACCCCTCTGGCAAGATCCCTCCAGGGCGGGTGGATACATTTTTATGATTCTGTCCGACGGTGTATCAATGAGCGAGAACAGCGTATTCTGCGCGGCAAGTTATTGTCAATGTTGACCGGAACGAAAACTGATGTACGTCGGAAACGCATTTCGCTCAAAGCAATGAAAAATTTCAACGCTACTGGCATTGGAATTCTCCTTAGAGAGTTTTTCCCTTCTGGGACGGATGATGATCTGCCAAAGGGGGCTACATTTGAATCACATACCGATTCCAGTTGGCACCAGGCCGTGGATAGGGGAGTAATCGCGATGGAGACCCTCTTACGCACCGCGCTCGATGATACGAAGGGTCCAGATTGCGCCGAGTTCGTATTGACGGCGGTCAATGAACAATCGAGTGCTTCTCCAAGCTGGCCACAGACAATGTCCGTCCAAGCACAAACGCGAGTGATCGAACGGCTCGAGACCATTCTCCGGGACCTTCTTCCACGATATACCGCGACCTCCATGTCCAACATGGAAATTTATGGACGGCCGTCACGCATCGTCCGATATTGGTTACCATTGTCGATAGGTCTTTTCTCTGCCAGCACCTCTCTGAATATTCTGTACAGCCGACGGTATGAACTTCTCAGCTGGATATCTGACATCGGATCCACTGCCGTGGACTTCTGGACAAACTGGGTTCTGGAGCCTATCCAACGGCTAATTGGGACCATACGACATGATGAACAGAGTGAAATTGCGTTGATGAGCAAGAACAGCCTGGAAGCAGATCGGGCTAGCCTGGAGAGAATGGTGGTGGACTTTGTTCTTGACCACGGTAAACATGGGCAAGGAGATACTGCGATTGATACCAGTGTCGTCGCCGATAAAGTCCGAGAGGGCGATCTAACCCCCGTTTTAATGGCATATGAAAAGGACTTACGAACTCCTTTCATTGGCACTGTGCGAGGCGACTTGGTGCGAGCCCTTCTGATTCAAATCCAAAAGACGAAAGTAGACGTGGAGATTGCCATTGGGGGCATCGATTCGCTGCTGAGAAGCCAAGAGCTTGTTTTTGGGTGAGTAGAGTCTTTGCAAGGAAAGGTTTCATACGTCCGAGCTAACAACAGGCAGCTTCGTCGGACTCACCCCGGGAATTCTTGTATCGTATGCATGCCTGCAATGGTTGTGGCGGACTTTCGGCAATCGAAAGGGATTGCGCATGGGCAGACAGCAGGATGATCTCAGGCATGCCCTGCGGTACGCGATTCCCCTTTTGCAAACCCCTGAATGAACCACTCGGAACTGACCCGCGTACAGGAGAGTCCACCGGACCCTGACCCAACCTCCGGCTCCCGTTGATGGAGTCCTGACTTACAAAAGTCAAGGGTTGTTGATCTGTGAGAGTGAGACGATGCTTCGGAAAGCGCAGACTGTCCTGAAAGGAGCGGATTTTCGTGCGTTCCGGCAAGACGTCAGCGATCTTATCAATGGGAGCGATGTTCGTAGACAGCTCAGCGTGGTGGAGCGTCTTGGATGGACATATTCAAAATGGATGCAGTGAGAGCTGCGGCCGCTCTAGAGGGTAGAAAGCCATAGCGAATTCATCCACCTGTTCTTCTAGTCATGCTTCCTTGGCAAGCGAAGAAAAGGTAACCAGCTGCGGTCGAATCCTGTTCGAATCGCCGTTCACCCCTCATTATTGAACACAGGTGATATGATGTTGGGAAATCTCATAATGGAGCTGCCTGGTCATCTTCACTCCCGTCCTCACACCGATGAATCCCCAGATGACCAAGACGTGGCGGGGTCGGGAAGATCACAAGCGGTTACGGAGTAGTTGAGGTGGTTCTTCCGTTGTATGTACGAATGTATTGATATTTCGCCCAACAACGAGGCTGGTGAGAGTCGTTCCAAGATCCGATGATTTGAAGCCCACGCGAAGATCTCTCTCAGTCGACAATGTAATACAGTAGAGGCGCAATCCAAATGTAAACAACAATATGCTGTCAACATGGTGGTGAGCAGCTGATGTAATGGTGTGGGGTGCATTACCGGGCGGTGGGTTTCATAATACCGATCCCGTACGGAGTGTTTCGTCTAAAGGCACATAATCATTACATCCCTAGCTTTCCTTTTACGCTGCGTAGCAGTCACGACCACCGACTACGGACTACCTACGACTTCATTCATCGCTCGCGCGCGGCCACCACCACTCCGCTGATCTGCTCCCCATTGCCATCCCACTGGGCCCTTGTCTTTCTCTTTTTTTCCCTTTCAATCTAGCACCGAACCCCTTGCTTTGACAACTTCCTGGGAGCTGATCGGACTCGGGTTGCGATACGACCCCCGCCCGTCCCCTGACTTCCCATCCCGGCGGACCTCGTTCGTCTTTGGGAGTCTTACAGACCGACGTTCTTCCCACCGCTCGGTGGCTGCAGATTCCCTGCAGACAGCCTCGAAAAGGCTATCTAAGAACCGATACAAACTCAAAAAATTTCAACCAGACAGACAGTCCAGAGAGATAAGAGGGCGATAAAGCAAAGAAGGCATCAGATAGAGCAATTCCGATCCTCCCAGCGTTACCCTCCGGTCCCGATTCAGCGTGTCTTCTCGTTCGACCGAGACCTTGGTTTTGATTCTTTTCCCACCCTTGACTTCGCTCTTGGGAGAACCCCAGATTAGCCCAAAATGGCTGGCACAAGGAATTATGACTTTCTGGTATGTCCGGGCTCTTGACTTGCGAAGCCAAGACACTGACACAGGCATGGACAGATCAAGCTGCTGCTTATCGGTGATTCGGGCGTGGGCAAGTCATGCTGCCTACTGCGGTTCAGCGAGGATTCGTTTACCCCGTCTTTCATCACCACCATCGGCATTGATTTCAAGATCCGTACAATCGAGTTGGACGGCAAGCGTGTAAAGCTTCAGATATGGGATACTGCTGGTCAGGAACGATTCCGAACGATCACGACAGCCTACTACCGAGGGGCAATGGGCATACTGCTTGTCTACGATGTGACGGATGAGCGATCCTTCCAGAGTATGGTCTGCCCGGGATCCGACTTTGCGATAACCTGACACTGACACGTTGGCCACTTTCTAGACATCCGCACGTGGTTTTCCAACGTCGAGCAACATGCAAGTGAGGGAGTGCACAAGATTCTGATCGGAAACAAATGCGACTGGGAAGAGAAGCGAGCCGTTTCAACCGAGCAGGGGCAGCAGCTGGCCGACGAACTTGGAATTCCCTTCCTCGAAGTGTCGGCAAAGAACAACATCAATATCGAGAAGGCCTTCTATAACCTCGCCTCGGAGATCAAGAAAGGAATGGATACCTCCAAATCCGAACAAGCCAGCCCCGCGACGTTCGACATAGGCCAACAGGGTTCCGGAGCGAGTGGAAGCAGCGGAGGAAAGTGCTGTTGAGCCCATCACGGCGAGACCGTCTCTTCCACTGCGCGACTTTCTCCAACCTCGTCCTCCATGGGCTTCGGCATTACGCCCTCTATGCCACAAGTCTTTGGTGCGATGATGACCCGCTGAATGACCCAGGCCATCGGTGTTTTAATGGATTCCCAACTGCTTCTTTCCCCCCGGTTCTGGAGACCCTGATATCTGTATGTTCATAATCACGAATGTTCGGGGTCGGCCATTTCTACCATGTTCTCTCTACCCTGAAATTTGTTAGGAGGCGTTGCTGTTCGCTTTGTTCTGTTGCACACTGGTCACTATGTCCCTGGATATGAGTCGTGCTTTGTCCTTACATAAATACTTAGTACATTATCCATTCGATTTTCAAGGGATGTATTCGTTTGCATGGCATGATAGAGCTAACCACTGTGGTGTCCAAGTAGAGCTGGAGTGTTGACAAAGCACGGTGGGAAGCATTCATGTACAGAACTCACCATTTCAAATGATATCTTTGCCTATTCACTTTCCCTGAAACTTCAAAACTGACTTGTTCAGATGCAAGTATGTGGTTTCTAATATATCTTATGCTATGTGGCAACGCAGCTCATTCATGTACTGTACAACTCCGCCTGCACATACTCCGTATCGTTATCCGCTCCCCCACCAGCTCGCCCCGCAGCAACTTTTTTTTTCTAGCTCTTTTTCCAGGCACGGACAGTGACTTACCATTCTCACTCGATTTTGGTCGCATCCTCCTAGACCGTCTATGCCAAACGAATAATATCATACACCATTGATGACCGACCCCTTTTATGGCCCCGCAATTCAATCATAAAATGCGCTGAATACCATATCTTGGAGAAGTTTCAGAAGTCCAGTTTGAATGCGACACGCCATCCGACAGGGCCGCTACTACCGCACCTAATCTCCCTTGGCTGGTCATCTTGCAGTTAAGCATCTTCTATAGAAAATGTCAGAGCCCCGGCTATTCACCGTTCGACCACTCTCAAAGCCAACACGGAGCGATCACAAAGATGCCTTCCGGGTCTGCTTCTCCGCATCGTCGCTCGCAAACCTCAAACTTCGCGTTGGAGATATCTGCAGCATAACGCATGCTGATGCGCCTCCCAAATCTGCAGTCGCCTGGAACGCCGCCGAGAATATCCAAAATACCGTGGTACAGACGTCCCGGACCCTCCAAGACTGCTACGGCATCAAGCTCGGAGAGAAGGTCACGATCAATAAAGTGGAGGGGCCTTTGGAAGAAATAGATTCGATATACCTGGTGGAATGCTCGGATGCCGAACGAATTTCCAAATATGGGCCCCTCTCGCCCTCGGACGTGGGGCATTGGTCCTGGGCCTTGGGGCATCCCCTTGAGAGATGTGATATCCTGGCTGTTGGTTTAGTGTTTGATCTAGAACTCAAAGGTCAGCGAAGAAGCTTTAAAGTGGCAAGCATTCGTCCACAAAACCCAAATACCGATAATACTTTGTTCCGATTTAGTGAACAAACTAAGGTCTTAATCGGCGAAGACTCAGACGGGGAGACAGCCAGCCGGAATCCCTTGATCCAGGTACAGTCGACAGGTCTGGGGGGTGTGATGCGCCAGATCGATAGTATCAACGAAAGCCTGTCAGATTTCAACCTGGCCGCCGAAGGGCTGGCAATGCCGCCATTCTACGAACACACCCGGGGTCTCCTCATCTACGGTCCCAAGGGGACCGGGAAGACCGCGCTCTTGGGGCAGATCCAAGCAGCGGGGTGGAAGAAAACGTTCAATATCGGCTCGACATTTACGAGAAATATCGGCGATGGAGAGGCGCGACTCCGAAAGGTTTTCCACGAGGCCGCCCGCTCCCAGCCGAGTGCCGTGGTGATTGATCAGCTGGAATTTCTTGCTCCAAAGAGAGCCTCGTTGGAGGGGCACTCGCTCTCATCGGTCTTATGCGAATGTCTTGACCTTGTGAGGGGGTCTCGAGTCCTGACGGTGGCTACGACTCGACACCCGAATGATGTTGACGATGCGTTGAGAACGCCACATCGCCTGGCGATTGAAATTGAACTCCAAGTTCCCACGGCCCGAGACAGGGCTGAAATACTCCGTGCTATCTGTGGACCTTCGTCATCGGGCATCAGCGATGCCCTCATAGAATTGATTGCGGAAAAGACCCATGGCTATGTCGGAGCGGATCTTTACGCCTTGCTCCAGGCTATATGTCGTAAGGCTCGACAGCGGTATGTTGCCAATAAACAGCCTGGCGACTCTGACCCCACAACGTCGGATGATATGAGTGTAATTGGGAGTCGTGTCTCGGAAGGCGAGCCAATTCCTCTGGACATCCAAGACGACGATGTGTTGTTGGCCTTGCAGGAAACACGGCCTACCGCGATGCGAGAAGTCTTTCTAGAGACGCCCAAGGTAAGATGGTCGGATATTGGTGGGCAACATGAAATCAAACGGCGGCTCCAGAAAGCCGTTGAGAGGCCTCTGAAGGTGAGTCTTGTTCCTGGCTTCTCTGTCCAAAGACCAATCCACTGACGATCACAGCGGCCGGAACGAATGAAGAGACTCAACGTCAACAACAAAAAGGGTATTCTTCTGTATGGACCGCCGGGCTGTTCCAAGACGTTGACGGTCAAAGCTCTTGCAACCGAGGCAGGCCTAAACTTCTTGGCTGTCAAGGGCGCAGAGATCTTAAGTATGTATGTGGGCGAGTCGGAACGTTCCTTGCGCGAAATCTTCCGCAAGGCGCGGTCTGCAAGGCCCAGCATCATTTTCTTCGATGAAATTGATGCCATTGCCTCCAAGCGCAGCAGCACGTCTCAGGGTGGTGTAAATGTCCTGACCACTCTGTTGAACGAGATGGATGGAATTGAGGAGTTGAAGAGTGTCCTCGTTATTGCTGCCACTAACAAGCCCGACGTGATCGATCCGGCACTGATGCGCCCCGGTCGTCTCGACAATATCCTTTACATCGGACCGCCTGACTTCGAGGCCAGGAAGGAGATCCTGAACATATGGTGTCGCAAATCTGTGGTGGATCCTGATGTGAGCTTGGATGAGTTGGCATCGCGAACCGCGGGATACTCCGGCGCTGAGATCGTCAGCATCTGTGAGACTGCTGGAGATGCTGCATTGGACGAGGAGGAAGAAACTGGCCGGGAGCAGGATGTTGGATGGAGACATTTCGAATACGCGTTGAAGCAAGTGAAAAGGCAGATTACGGACGAGGTGGTCCAAGAATATCAGCGGTGGCGAGAATCGGTAGACACCTGATCTATCATCAGCTCTCCCATCTTTTGACGATACCATTGTTCCGTTCTATAGAGGTATAAAGAGTCATGAATGAACTGTAGTTATATAGTTAGCTGGAATGGTGACTAAGCAATCTGGGGTAGCCTCTACTTAGGCACTAGCTCCCGTCCGCCCAGCATCCAAGTACCTGCTCCGACGCACTGCGATCAATCTTTCTATCAGACAACTTTGAACACAACTATCTCTCTCTTTTTTACAACTCCTCTATTCTTTCAACTTCGCGATATTATTGCTTTTGACTGCCGCACCTCCGTCCAGCCTGCGCGTATCCCATTCCAATCCCCCGACCACTTGCGCAGAATCTTCCCCTCGCGTCTCACCTCATACCGCGCCGGCTCAGCTCCATATCATGTCCATGCGATCTCCTCGAGGACGTTCGCCGACTCGCTCACCACCCGGGCCTGGCCCCGCGCGAGATGTGCCCTCAAGACGTAGCGTGTCCCCTCGTTCAGTATCCCGAAGCTCTTCCTATGAGCGCGACACCGGCCGTCGCAACGGTCATCGCACAAAGAGCCCATCCCGATCCCCGTCGCCCCATAAGAGATACTCGCGCAGCCCCAGCCGCAGCCGCAGTCCGAGCCGAGACCGGAGTCGCAGCCGGAGTTGGAGCAGAGGATCGAGGGGTTCCCGGTGGCATAGGAACCGGAGCTACAGCCGCTCTCCCAGTCCTCCCGCAAGCTTTCCGCGAAGCTCAAAGGTAAGCTGAGCAGACGCCTGCTCCCCTTCACGATAAACCGTTGCTTATTTGTCCATTGCAGATTGTTATTGAGAAGTTAACCAAGAATGTAACGGAAGCGCACCTGCGCGAGATCTTTGGGAGGTTTGGTGATATTGAGAGCCTTGATCTACCCATGAACAAAGCCTGTAGGCATTTCCCAACCCCCTTGTTTCACTCTAATCCGGCTGACGTTGTGCTACAGTTATGACGAACCGAGGTACTGCCTACATACTCTACTACGACCCTGCCGATGCGGAAGCTGCAATCGCGCATATGCACGAAGCTCAGCTCGACGGGGCTGTGTTGAACGTTTCGATTGTCCTGCCTAGACGCGCATTCTCGCGGTCACCGCCGCCTCCTCAAGGGAGAAGGAGAAGCTTTGGTCGTCCGAGACATGGCCGAGGCCCACCCTTGGACGGTCGTCCTCCTCGACGTTCCCCGCCGAGAAGGTATGGCCGTGCCCGGCCCATGGAGAAACATGATATCTATCGGCCACGCTCTCTGTCTCGGTCGAGATCGCCCCGTCGCCCCCGATCACGCTCAGTCTCTGCATCCGTGTCGCCGCCAAGGAGGAGGGGAAGCATGCGTGGGGGAAGCCCTCGAAACCGCCGCCGGCGGAGTCCCAGCTACAGTAGCTACGATTACAGCAGTCACAGCGATAGGAGTCGCAGTCCAAGCAGAAGCCGTGGTAAATATGATGGGCCCAGGAGGTAAATTAGAGCCCTCCAAGTCAATCTTCGCTGGCCGCAGGTGTGAGCATTTGTATCCAAGATCCAGGGCAAAACATCAATGCGTTGCAAAAGCACGAGTGTACAATATTTAAGTACGTGTCTTGGGCTCTTAGCAAGCCAATTAATATGTTATGTCTCATAGGACGCTAATGATATAATGTCTCAATCTTGATAATTATGTATGATTCAAGCTGTTGCGTTGAGTCTCGCTGATTTGTACCCTGTCATGTGTGGTTGCATACATAGGTAGACGTCTCAAGAACAGAAAGCTCTAGAAAAAGGCACACCAACCTATGTACATTGCGGACAGGTTCTTGATATCAGTCGCTTGCATGATCAGCTCATCGACATGGCCATCAACGGACAGTGGAACAGATTCACCAGGCAGGAGTCCGCGGAGTTTATTGCGGGCACTCTCCAAGACACCTGCTGGGGTATCCGGGACATTTGCATGGTGGTTGCGGCGCTTTCGGATGTTAGCACTGCCTTCTGATTTAAGACTCAGAGAACTTACTTTCTTCCCGATGAAATCTGTTGTTGGATCATGCAAGAATGTCTCGAGTACCGTCATCAGTGCGTCTTCATTTTGTCGTAGAAGCCCAAGGCTTATTTCGCATGTTTTCCGGAATGGACCTGCCAACATGCCATGTCAGCTTGGTGCCGCTCATATATAGGGTTGAAGGGCAGGACAAACCGTTATAGCCATAAGCCCCAAACGCATCAACCATGTTCTGTGTCAGGCGGAAAGGAACGAGTTCGGGTTTTTCGAAAGTTAGGCCCTGCAAACATTAGCACATTGAGAATAGAGGTCTACAATGTTTTGTTCCTACCTTGTCGAATAGGCAGTTGAAATCGACGTGAATAACGCCACCTGATCCCTCCTCAAACAAGATGTTTTCACCATGTCGATCACCGAGTCTGAAGTAGGCCCTGTTAGCGGATAAGTGATCAAATAGCAGGAAAACTTAGTGCGTACCCTAGCACATATCCAACCATGGACATGACGGCGCAAGATCGCGTGTACTGGAGTCGTGCTGCAAACCATGCACCTGACTCTGGGAACATCTCGACGAACCATTCGTGCAACACCGGAGGATATCTATGGGGATTAGACGCCGCAAGTCGAGAGCACATCCCTCAGATACTTACCTTGCTAGCACCTTGTTTGTAAACCAAGGCAGTTTGGCGTTGTCTTTACAGATCTCGTTAAGATTGTTCCTGATCTCGGTGTACTGTACCATTTTAGTCTCAGCACCTTCCATAGGTATTTGCCATGAAGCCTTACATTCGGTGAGATGCCTCGCTCACGAAGTAGTTTGATAACGAGGTCTCTCAAAGTCCTGAGGTTATCGACCCACTCGATCATACCGCATTCCTCATTCAACGGCGTGACAGCGTATGTTTTGATGTCTGTTGCAATCAGCTTTGGAAATCAACATGCCCACGGTTAACTTACACATTCGTCGCTTGCTGGACTCTACATCTCTCTTCAGGAATCGATTAATCATGTTGTTGAATTCCATCAAACGTTGGTCCTTGCGAAGGTCATCCTTGGGTTTGCACAGAATGTTGTAGATCTTCCCATCGGATCCCCGGATGCTGACTTTTCGTGGTTTCTGGAGGGAGTTGAGGACTTGAGCTTCGTCGAAAACAGCTATGGAAAGTTAGCCATATGGAGCGGACTGCTTCAGGTGATCATGATCACATACCCTCGATAGTCGTGGGATCTCGAGGGAATGCTCTGAACCCCTTCAAGTACTCGGAGTCATGGTTGGCAGGCAGTGTCGGCGTCAACATGGCCTGGAACGGCACGACAAGCCGGCAAGGGACTACCTTGCGGTCGAATCCTACTTGCCGGAAGAGACTCAACTTCGAGATCTTCTCTTCGGGCGGGATTTTGAAGTTGCATAGTCCCAGCATTTCATCCGAGAACCTCTGTCCTTGGTTGATCATTCCGCGCATGTCGGATGGCGACTCCGTTTTCAGCTTCTTGTTCACCTCCTGCTTCATTCAGTATGTGAATCCCATCGATTCGTGATTGGAGCATACCGTAATTTTCTGAAGACAATTCATGCCCCTGGACGCCCGGTCTTTGGACGAGGACTTGACTACAGCAAGAACCGTCCATAACCCTTGCTGAGGGAAGAAGTTCACGGCTTTGGCGACGATCTTTGTCAACAAGTCGTATACAGTGGCATTTGGGTGACAGATACGAGCGACGACTTGAGAGAGGATGGTGAAAAGCTATGTGTGTGAGAGGGCGTCGCCGAAACAGGGGAAGTGGGTTCTTACTAGGGCAGCCGGCATGCGATTGACATACTTCTTCAGTTGCGAATGCATGTCATCGAGACTCTTCCTCCGTTGGTTGAGGGTGTGGATTTGGAACTCCCTAGATATCGTTAAATCATTGCTCTGGCAGTCACATAGTGAGGCAGTTAAGACTTCAACGGAAGCCGAATCCTGGGACGCAGCAGGACAGAGATGGAAGACAATTGTGCATTAAACTTACTCGTTATTCCCCCTTTTAGGATCGAATGGCTGATCCACGGTGGATGCATGTTCCAGCCACAGAGTCAAAACTTTGGGCAGCGATTGGAAAACGTACTTGTTTCCATGGGCCAAAGAACGAAGGTAGTTGTCGATGACAAGCTTCGAGGCCTCGCCAGTCAAGCTACCGCGAAAGCCGTTAAAGAGTGGCTTTACAAACGGATAGGGCTACTCACTATATCTGGGCTTCCTTCCCCAATGGCTTGGCCTTCTCTGAATCCAGGATTTTGTTGTAATGCTTCCCCAAGTAATAGTGCGCTTTCTCCCACCTGTTGCACGTCAGCAGGAATTTTATCATATATGAAAAGAGGAAAGTACCTCGTATGGAGTTTGATGGCTTCTCGATATCTTTGGACGATGACATCGGATTGCGTCTGTCCCGCTCTATCTGTCCATTTTGCCAGCAAAAGATGGGCCTGCCATTAACCAGGTTAGCCATGAGTTGAAGCCCATAGAACGGATAAGGAGAGAAGTGAGAACCATACCCTTGCAGCGAGTAGATTCTGGTGTTTTTCACGATGAGAAGCGGCCGAACCAGAGTTAGAATCCATCGGGACCGTGTCTGAAGCGAATTCATTCGCAGCGATTGCACCTTCGAGCGTTTGTATGGCCTTTCTGTGATGGCCATCTTTCCACAGAAGACGGGCATGCTCAATGGTAGCGGATCTATCCTTGAGTCGGGCAGCATGAAGCATTGATTGGTATGCCTGGTTTGTGAAATTTCCTTTCCGAAGGAGGCGAGTACTTGCAAGCCATGCAGCGGCGATGTCAGACACAGCGAAGTTACCACTGGATTCCTTGATTAGCACGAACATATTTAGAAAACCTCAATAGGTGAAACGTACGTCAGCTCCATTGTAGCTCTCCGTAAGCCAAGAAGATATTGTTTGTCGGAGATATGCCCTCCTAGAACATCTAGACGGCGGTTCAAAGCATCATGGAGTTCAGAAAGTGCGGCGTTTGTTTGATCACCTCGGAAACCAACGATTGCTTCTACCTCTGTCAAGGCATGGAGCTTCAGCATGCTGTCGTGGCATGACTGCAAGGAGTTGACGGCATTGGCAGTCAGGGACTTGGCGACGGTAAGCCGCAAGCCATTGAGGATATTCCCCAGCTGTTCTTTATTGCCATTCCTGTAAGCTTCAAGGGCTGAGCCGATACCGGTGTTGAAGTCTCCAGTGTCCCGCTGCGGCGAGAGCCGGAGGTAATCTTGTAGTTTCTCCCAATTGCCTGTGATCCAGGACGCTTCCACGGCAAACGGAAGGAGCTTCGAGACTGAATCCGTCTTGCGAAGGATTTCAAATCTTGTAAGAATGGCCTCTGTTATGTGTGAGCACATATCTGTCCGGGGTATTTCATGAGCACAGACCTTGTTGCCCTGATTCTTTAAGACACGTAAAGAGATTCCATTGCGCGTCGCTGTTATTTGGCTCCTTCTCAAGCTGTAGTTCATACCAACTCTGTGCAGTGGCCCATCTTCCAGCCTTTCTGTGCTCAAGAACCTGTTGGTCAATATTCAGAACGTGAAGATTAGCTGAAATGCCCTCGATACCATCTGGCTCGTCAATCTGACTGTAGATGTCCTGCAGACGTTGATAGAGAGGCTCCATATTGGCGTTAGTCTGCTTTCTGGACTGGATCTTATATTGACGGATGTACTGCTCCCAGTGAAAAAGAGCCCTCGAAAAGGACTTGCACTCAACGGCTCTCTTCGAGATGATCTCCGCGGGTATGGAAGCCAGAAGCGATTCCACAGCTTTGATATGTGCCAAATAAGTATCTTGGACTAAGCTTCCGGAGGTTTCCCTTTGCGCGCGGTGTCTGGAGCTGTTGAGCTGCTTTTTCTTTCCTTGCAGCCATCTCGAAAGGTAGTCAAGAACTTCGAAAACGCTCTATACATTGCGTAATGGCATTAGCACGCTGTAACAAATAGGTAAAAATGTACTACTTACCTGACTGCAGAGCAAAATTGTCTCATGGACATGGTTGTTGGTATCTGGGAGCGGATGAGATAGCACATTTGCCAATTCCTTCAGGAGATCCTCCTTCTCGATTTCTGTTCCTCCGACTACACGGTTCAGGACCGCGTAAGGCAGAAGAAAGGATGATATGGCGATATCTTGACCTTTGACAATGCGACTGCATACGCTGAATACAAGCCGTGCATTGTCACCGCTCGCCTTTTGAAGAAGGTCTTGCACGAACGTCCGCAGCCAGTCACCATGTGTTACATCGGCCGAGAAAAGGGGGTATTTGCAGTTTGAGTTGACAGCCCCAACGGTGACAGTGTACTTTGATGTGAGAAAAGGGGTGAGTGTGTTGCGAACGGTCTCCGGAAGCTCCAACCAACGGCGGTACTTTTCATCTGCCCGGTCATCGCGAGACCGCTGGGTGACATCCGTGTCTATATTGCAGAGCTTCAGGAGATTCTGCATAGCGTATGCAAGAAAACCCTGAGCCCTGGTGTTGGAGGCCGACAAAAAGGCTTCAACGAGCACATGCTGGAGAAAGAAAAGGATGAAGTCGAAAGTCTCCTCCATCTGATCAAAGTTCGACAACACAACAATGTCTTTCTTTTCTTTGATAGTCTCAACCCGGTTTGGATCCAAGCATCCTATAAGTCCCAAGCATTGCGCGCCTAGAAGAGTGATCGTGTCTGAGCTTGTATTGAACTTCGCACAGCAGTCGAGCAGAGATCGTGTCAACTGGGCGACGACTGGATCTGGCTGTTCACTCAGCACAGTTCGATGGAGGAATTCTTCATGCTCCGAGAGATAAGGGACGAGCTCTTTCAGAGCTTGCTCAACGACGGTTGCATTTTCATTCTGGCAACGACGGATGAATGCAAACAAATGGCTTCGAACGTCCATCCTAGTCTTGAGCTTCTGTATCTCTGCCTCGAACTCAGATAACTCTGGAATGGTAGACAATGAAGGCATAGTGTTGTATATGTCTCGCACCAACTCCTGATGGTTCTTCAAGATATGCTCCACAAGCTCATAGGCACACTTCCTGGTCTCTTCCGTGAACCTCACCCAGTATTTGATCACAATTGACAGGGTCTGATCAATAAGAGGTTCGAGCTCCTCTTCATGTAGAGATCTCACCAATACCGCCCAGACGGTGAAAGCATGGTTACATAGATCTTCCATCTCCAGCGCAGATCGAAGACAGGCACATATCTGCGGCAGTGCGCTGCTAACATGACCCCGAGCAACTTTCACCATCTCACCTATGGCGATGATGTTTCTCTTCTTTTCAGCCACTGGTTGTCTGATTTGGAAATCATTCACTGCGTAGGCGAACTGGGTGATAATTCCAAGAACATGTTCTTCAATAAAGGGGCCTATATGACTTGTTTTCTTGGAAGAGTGAACTGATTTTCGGGGGACATGGTCGGCCAGGAGATGAAGTGCTCGACGGAACCTTGCTTCATTTTCCACGCCAGAGTCTCCAAGCCGTTTCAAGAGATCACAGGCAATCAATATAGGCTCGATCCGTACGAGCTCAGCCAGAGTACGGCCTTTGAAAGCTGGGTCTATCTCCGAGAGCGTGGCCATTACCATCTCTTCTGGCTTCGCTGAAGGCTGGCTCAGCAAGAACGAAAGGATGGCGGCGAGGTTGTTCTTCTCCGAGCAAATATCGAATGGTGATTTTGTCTCCTTGTAGCTTGAGGCTAGTCTCACAATAATGTCTCGCTTCCGTGCGAACACCAGATAAGGCAAAACATGGATTTCGGTCAGCCTAAGGAAATCGTCGACCTTCATTCCCAGCAAGTCACACAGCTGCTCTGCCATGTAAGGGCGAGTTTGGAAGTTCTTCACCACTGTTACGGCAAGAGTTCTCCAGAACGGCCGGAACAAACCAGCAGGAGTAACCGTCAGCTGCTGCGCGAGTTTTGATAGCTCGGCATAAGCCACAGCACCTATGAATGGGTTCGGATGTCCCAAGTATTCCACCAGGCGAAGAAGGATGATATTCATTTCCTCGTCGTTGGATAGCTGTGCCAGGTGACACAAAGTCATGATGCCGGTTTCCTGCAGTGGCGCCTCTTGCTTTGCAAATAGGTTCTCGAGCCACTCTAGAATGATGACAAAGTTTCTCCGGCGTAATTCATGGCCCAGACTCTTACGAACGAATGCCACAATCGAGTGTCCGGTGACAATCCTCAACTCTCTGACTGAGCTGCGCAGGGACTGTAGACAAAACTGGCCAAACACAGAGGCAAGCTGTAGATGGGTGGGCGTTGAAGTGTGCATCAGAGTCTTTCTCAATGCGATCATTGCATTTATGCGAAGGCTGGGGGTGCGCGTGAGTTTAGGAATTATGCAAGCCAAGCTATTGCACAGCTCGTCGATAGCTGGAGCTGGCAAATCTGATCCTTGAGTATGTTCATGCTTTTCGTCGTCACATCTATTACAATGCAGCATGCCCTTCATTCTAGCCTCTGCTTCTGAAGAGTCTCTGGCTAGGGCACATGGGATCTTGCTCATCAGTTGCAGTATCTCTGTCTTCACATCTTCTGGAAGATCGGCAAAATGATCATCCCTTCAAGTCCTGTTAGTATTCAAGCCCCAGCTTCAATCTATATTGCAAAAACTTACGTGATCGCAGAGCATACATCTTGCAGACTCCCAGTATTCTCCAGGTCCAGTTTCTCATGCAAGGAATCGACCAGCTGCTTGACTGAGGCATTGTGCGTCCAACCATCGGCCATTGATGGGCGAACCACGAGGATTTGAAGCGTATTTTAGCTCTTTAGCCAAATTAGATTTGGTTGGAATACCGGATGGTTGGGAAACGGCGGTCGGATCTGGCGATTGGGAGCCACACTGACTATCGTTGTAGTCCCGCAACATGCGAACCAGTGCCTCAATAAACTCATGAATCGAAGCCTTCCATTGTAAGTCACATTGTCACATATCCGGGCTAGTGTTGAATGCTTTACCTGCAGTTGTGTTTCGAGCAACGGATAAAAGTCTCTCTTTTGAAGCTGCTGGAGGGTTGGCAGGATAGCTGCTTTCCCGCAAATGACAAGGAGCTCTGTATGCTTGAGATAGGTGGTAAGATCAGATATTACTTGACCCAATTGGAGTTGGGAAGCAGGCAGTTGATTCAGGATATCTAATGTAAGGAGCCGACCCAGCATGTGGATTAAGTCAGAAGCAAGCTCGGTCTGGGTGGAGAGGAGGGATAAATGCATGTAGCATAACTTGACTCGTGACACAAACTGCGAGCATATACGGTCTTTGGATTCAGTAGCTGCAACTGGGACTTGAAGCCAACGAAAAAGCGGCTTCCACAGGCGCTGGTATCCGTTCAAAACCCAGGCATGATTTTGCCGCGCAACAGAACTGTCCTTGAATGTAGAGGAGGGGCCAGAATTTCTCGGACTCAGGGAGTCAAGCATCGTAAACATTGCTCTGCATACTTGCGGAAAAGAGCCGATCTTGACTCGGCCATCGAAAAGTTTGCGAGGCAGGCTGAGCCGATCTAAGTCTACAAGTAGCGTCCCTTGCGATGTAGGCATAACGAAAGTCGCCGCATGGTTCCCCCCTAGTTTGAGGGGATTCACATGATTCATGCAGTGGAGGATCTCTGAAATTCATTAGCTCCGCACTTCCTTTGATACCTGGGACCTGACAAACCTGTAGCGCAAGCCCGGAGAAGGCCCGTCGCTGGGGAGCAAGCAGACCATATCTTGGCGTGTCTTTGCTGCGTACAGACTAGGCTCGAGAAAAGCTCAGTGATTGCCTCTGCAACAATATCGCTGTTCCAGATACTAAGCAAGTGGAGCAGTCGCACTACCAGCCAAGCATATAAAGGAGCCCGGGCATTTACACCCAGGGATTCAGGATCGGGACACTCGGTCAGCGCACGAGGAGCCTTCTGGACGGCGATTCGGATAATATCCAGACAGTCCAATATCTGGCCTTCTGACTCGGGGTTCGCATCCTGAGCACGATGCTCCAGACCAGCCTCCAGAACGATGCAGATTAACTTGCAGACATCGGTGGTGCTATCGTCCAGATGGAGCTGGCTATATTTCCCTTCGACCAGCTCCCTGCGGAGTTGAGAGAAGGTTTCCCTGTTTAGATTATGCGCGTGGTCCCCTCGAGACGAGAGACGCGGTGCTAGTTGAGCAGCTAAGGTCGACGACACGGGCTCGAAATCCCAGCCGCCATCATCTGGCGCCATATATCCGGACGCCCCGAGGTCACCCACTGCCATCAGGGGTGCAATCGATCATGCTACATAGGCGCTTCGCGTTCAAACAACAACACTTGATCGCATCGCGTATGGTTCCAAGTTAATCTGTGGCAGAAAACGTGGGCGGAGATGATCGAGAGAAGATGTGTAAACCGTATGTATGGTAAGAGCCAAAACACGAGGCGGTAAGGGACGCTGGTAAAATTACCACTTATTCCGTACCGCACATGCGCAGAGCACAAGAACTACACATGTATAAAATTTCTAGCAATATTGAACAACCCTCCATTGCCTGTCGCTCATTCATTCCTCCTCCTCCTTTAATCATAAGTTCTTCTTGCTGATCTTATTGCCAATACCCGCGGGGATTTCACTTCTGCAAGCCCGCTGCACTGACGTCGTTGACAAAGTTATCAAGACGACATCAATTAGACAGACACAGCGTTTTCAGCATGCAACTAGAAGATCCTAAGCACGCCTACTTCATGCAAGAGGCTCTAAAAATGGTATTGTCTCCTGATTGAAACATACTACATCCTCGTCACTCACCGGCTTCATAGGGAGAGAAAGCTCTGGAATCCGGTGAAACACCTGTCGGGTGTGTGCTAGTATATCAAGATAAGATTGTTGGCTATGGGATGAATGATACAAACAAGTCAATGAATGTAGGTAAGGCGGGGAGCATGCCTACAGTGGGCAGATGCTCCTTAGACTAGTCTCTATTCCCCGTCACCCAGCCACTGACAGTAAAACAGGGTACAAGGCATGCCGAATTCATTGCTATTCAGGAACTTCTCCAAAGTTACCCCAGGTCTATTCTGCATGAAACCGACCTGTATGTCACAGTTGAGCCATGCGTAATGTGTGCTTCCGCTCTTCGACAGTACCAGATACGTGCGGTTTATTTCGGCTGTGGAAACGAGCGCTTCGGTGGGACGGGGAGCATCCTGTCATTGCATTCTGAGTTGGTCATCTCCTTCGTATGGTGTGGTTCCTGATGGCTAACTCAACTCAGTGCTACGATAGATCCGCCATATCCCGTGTATCGCGGATTGTTCCAGAACGAGGCCATCATGCTGCTCCGACGTTTCTACATTCAAGAAAATGAAAGAGGCAAGTGAATCTACACTATATGCGCAACCGTGGCTAACTTGACCAGCACCAAAACCTCGACCCAAGAAGAACAGGGAGCTGAATACAAAGTTTGACAACAGCGCGGAGTAATTTGCATGAAGACTAGATTTAGATACGCGAATCATATGGACATCGTCTGGATATCACCCACGCAGCTCTTGTCGCTTGAAAGAAAGAATTGTAGGATTTTCACATTGCGCTAGGGAAATAAGTATACATGCCTCTGCGATAACCCTCTGTTTGGAACCGGACAAATCTAAACCCTCACGCCCCTATGCGTTCACGCAGACTTGGCCAACCGCTCAGCCTCCAGCTCCCGCTCAGCCTGCTGATAGTACTTTGCCGTATCGACACCATGCTATTGGTCCTCATTAGTACGAACATACGAGCAGACAGACTGGCGAAGACGTACCTGATCATGGTTGACAACATTGAACCATGGGAGCACATGGATGAAGAGCTGTGAGTAGCGCGAATTCCGGGCCGCAACACCCTGCAGATAAGACGAGACACCGGAAGAGCCGTACAAAGGCTCACCCTTCTTCACCTTGTCAACCATCTCCTTCATGTCCATTTCCACCTCTCGCGAGTTTTCCGTGAAGCCATAGAACCGGTCTACTCCAAAGTCAGTCACGATGCCCCGGGGGCACCAACCAATTGAGAATGGACGTACTGCAGGATCTTTGGTAGAGAATGTGCAGTCCTCCGATGAGGCCGACGGCTGTGGCGAGCCGCATAACGGGGGAGAAACCTCCGCGGCCGACGTGGGACGGGCTCACACGCTCCATCGCCCAGAATGCAAGCGGGGAGGCGGCGGCGGCACCTCCGGCGACCGCGTAGTCGGAAGGCCGGGCATATCCAAAAACTCGGCGCAGGTGGCTATATGAGGTGAGTACGTCGTCCATTGGTTCTGAATTCGAGGGGTACATACGGGTCGGAATCGATCAGCTGCAATTCACTGGTTGTTAGCGGCGACTGATATCAGGTCGGGCAAAGGGAGAGAAAACTCACGGGGTAGTCGGTGTTGGCCCGCTTAGCGGGGATGGTCATGGTTTTTGAATCAGCCGCCATTTCGACAAGGAGGGAATCGAGCGGTGCTGCGCAATTGAACGGACTGAGGTATCCGCGGTGACAACGGAGACGAAGTTGAGGGCGAGGAGGTGTGCCAAGCCCGCGATCAGCCCGATTCGGTTTAGAGCCGCTGAGTATTACATGCTGACTCATCTGATCCGGAACCAATGAGCATTACTGATTACTACTAGCTTTTCATGCTCTTTGCGATAAAGTACCTTAGTAGTGTATAGGAATAGCAGCATAGGAAGATGTTGTCTTTTATGAAATACGTTTAAAAGCGATTGTACGAGCTGTATATCTTGGAGTACACTGCATGTCGTCTTCATTAAGCAGAGCACCCTGTGGAAGTGGCCATACTACCTGTCGGACACTAAGGTACACACGATCAGATGCACTGAAGGAAGGTATGTGCGGGAGGTTAGTAATTATGACTGTTAGAACCTTAGGTACCTAAGTACCATCATTACTTTATACCAGTACTAACGTAAAGAAAGTACAGGTACTCTCCATCCATCAAATACCGATTAGTACCGCTCAGCTGTAACCCGGATTAGCATGCCTAAGGCAGGAATTTACTCCATTAGGTAATCCTGTACGCGACGCGTTCGAATGTCACGCGTATTGCATAGCTTCGAACCCATTATCGCGAAAGCAATCTATACCTCCACATCCCGAGTTCCAACTTATCGCGACTACTACCTGCGCAAATTTGTCACTTCCTCCTATACAGTAACCGTGCGCTTCAATTCCCCGCCATCCCAACCATACGTACCTATGGACAAAGAGAACGCTGCGGACGCTCAGCCCGCCACCGGACAGACTCACAATGATCTCTTCGATTACGACGTCGATCTAGATGCGATATTAGGGGAATCCTCGACGCGATCCAACATCAACGCCCCTCAAACGTCCGAAAGTCGTGGGTTAGGACTTGGGTTAGATGATGAAGTGAAAGTCACAAGGAAGCGGCAACCAATTGCGAAGCTAGATGAGGGACGGTGAGTTGAGCTCCTCCACCGGACACAAAACGCATGCTAATCTGGCTACAAGGTTACTATCTCAAGCCGGGATCCCCAAATTGCGCCGCAGCGCGAAGCAGAAGCTGAAGTTCAAGGGGAAAGGCCATGAGGTTTGTGCGCCGATTCCATCCGTGTCGCCTGCGCTAATATTTGAGGAACCAGTTTTCCGATGCTGCACGGTTATTGAATTTCTACCAATTATGGCTCGACGATCTCTTTCCACGCGCAAAATTCACAGACGGACTCGCGATGATCGAGAAGCTAGGCCATTCGAAACGGATACAGACAATGCGGAGGGAATGGATAGACCAGGAAAAGCCACGACAGCGGGATGATGACGATGAACCACTGCAGGAGGCGGAGGGTAGCCATCATAACGAGACAAGCAACGCTGCGGACCAGCCTTCTGACCGTCAATCGAATTCGCGCCAGTCACCTCACCCGAATGACGATTCGAATGATCTGTTCATGTCGGACGAAGGAAACCCGCAATATGTGGTTGATAGACCGGAGGCGCCCGAAGAGGATGACCTGGAGGCGCTTTTACGAGAACAAGAGGATGAGGTGGTTGACAAGCCTGATGGTCCTGAAGAGGATGATTTAGATGCGCTTTTGCGAGAGCAGGCGGATGTGGCAGTTCCACAACAGAAGACGTCGACTGCTCCGTCAATGGATGAAGATAGGTATGCCGATGATATGGAAGCCATGGGGGACCTGGACATACCTATGTAAGTCATGTAGATTGAGAGTCCCCGTGGACCACCTGTATGATTGTGACGTCACGCATAGTATAATGAATGCATTGGGAACACCATCGAAAGAAGACCTGTTCCCTCCACAGTTTTACCTAGTCTTCAATGTAATAGTACGAAACGTAATTGTTCCTTCTAATATGATGGAGTGAAATCACATTCACGAATCAAAGGCTGCTAATGTAACAAGGTCCTAAATTAAAAGACATAGATGGCGTTCAACCAGGAGGTCCAAACAACCAAGATTTTCAACCACACCTTGACAATCCATATCAAGGTTACCTCAGAAGCCATCCCTAAAGGAGAATGACCCCGGAATACTCATATCGTCCCCAGTCTGAAAGAAAAGCTCACGAAACGTACACCCTTCAGAGGTTGGCGGGCTCCGTGAAAACCGAGAACTGTCCACCAGCGCCGGCCCAGTTCAGCTTCTTGCCCCGAACTGCAGTGTTCTCGACGATGGTAGCCACCTCGATGTCATCTGAAGTGCCTTGACCCGTCTGGTAGGTGGCGGAGAAACCCCAAGACCAGGGCCGGCCCTCGGCATCGATCGCAAGGGAATGATCAGAGCCTGCTGCTACATGAGTAGCCTTAATTCCCGGGACGGCGGTTGGTTCAATCAAGATACGAGGCCGACCCCGTTCGTCTTTGATAACCGCATTGTCAGGAAGGGAATCGATCTTCAGACCGGTCTGGTAGCCATCCAACCGACCCCAGACCAGACACTTTCCATCCTTGGTGGCAGCCAGGGAATGATGAGCACCGCCACAGATCTGAGTGATCTCCTTTCCAGACAAAGAGTCCACAACGACAGGGTGAAGGATGGCCGCCTCGTCATCACCTGCGTTGGAGCTAATACCGGTCTCTCCAAAGCTGTTCAGACCCCATGCATACACCTTTCCTGATTGGTGCACAGCAAAAGAATGGAAAGCACCAGATCCAATATGCGCAATGTTCTTAGGCAGACCGAATTCGCGGGGCTGGAGGCCGTTGAGCCTGTTACGCTCAATGATACGACGGCCCAGCTGGTTCTGCTGACCGGATCCCCAGGAGAAGACAGCCCCCTTGTCGTTCAAAGCAAGAACATGGTTATCGCCGCAGGTCAAGTATTTGATCTTCTTGAGGGACGGGATGAGGATCGGAGTTGATTGGACCTTGTGAGTAGCGTCGAAACCGAGAATACCGTCATTGCTCTAGAATACAGCGTTAGCTAAACTGGAGGGTATGATGACCGGTATAATGAAGTGGAAACGTACTCTGAAAGTTCCCCAGCCATAAACCAGTCCATCATCTGTAAGAGCAAAGCTAGAACTGTCTCCAGCGGCCACCTGGACGAAAACAGTGTTCTCAGGGAAGGCTTCAGACGGGATTGCGGTAGGGGTCGACTCGCGAGGATTGAGAGCAGGGTCATCGTCATCCGAGTCTGAATCGCTTTTGTTGTCATCAATGTCCTTGTAGCCACCATCCCAGTTCGTGTCTCTTCCCAGCGCGCCTTGATCATTCACACCCCATGTGAGGATCTTGTTATCGTGAGTGAGAGCAACGCAGTGCATGCCACCAACTGCGACCTGGACGACACCGACGCGATCGGCCGGCAGATGAGGGTTGAGGCGCGGTCGCTTCACATCAACAGCATTCTTCTCAGCTCCGAGACCAAGCTCTCCCGAGCTACCTTCACCGCAGACATAGACGTTCAATCGCGTAGTCGGCGCGGTGTTGATGACGACCTTGGGTTTGGGCGCAGCAACGGGACGGGGCTTCGCGACACGGGCCTTCTTGGGTTCACGAGGAGCCGGAGCTTCTTTCTCTTCCTTCTCGACGCTTTCCGCCTTGCGCTTCCGAGATTCCGTAGCCGCGGCGCGGGGAGCTCTCTTTTTCGACTCCGCGACAGACGGCTTGCTAGCTGCGCTCGTTTTCGCGGCGCGCGCCTTGGGTGCGGTGGTCTTGGAAGAGGAAGTGTTCTTCGACGCAGCTGTAGGCTTCGCCGACGCCTTCGATGCGCTCTTCTTTGGAGGCATTGTGTAGAAGGTCAGGGCTCAAATCGAAGGGAGATACAACAAAGGTGATGGTCACGGAGAAGCTCGACCGGGGGAAAAAAAAAAAAAAGTGCAGGGGAGGGAATAATCGGGAGGTCCCTCGCAGCGAAAATGTATCCACTTATCCAAAGAGAAGTGTACGAAGAATCGAGATATGAGGAATTGACTCTGCAAACAGAGAAGGGGAACAGTGGTGGTGGTGAACAAGTCGATGTTGTTATGGGGGATTTTTATTGTTGTTGTTTGATTGTTGCTCGTCACGCGCTAAGGCCAAAAGAGCATTCCGACCATCCGAAAGGATCCAGTCGCCATCGTTCCCAACAACCCTTTTTCTTTCAACTTCCTTGGCTCCCTACTTATTCAATTATAATCCTCGATTGCGGACGTCTGAACCGTTTCTAGTTGATTTCCTTTGTTTCCCAGAATATACCTAGGCAGACATGCCCAAAGCACATGGTATGCGCGGCGCCAAAAGAACTCACCCTTGCTCGAGGTTGTCTGACACTCAAGAAATGTCCGAATGGCAGGCGTGTCATAACTTCGTAACATATATAGTATTGGTATCATGTGCTCTCTATATTCACAGTGCTGGGTTCGACAGGGGGCGCCCGAATCTTCCCACACATAATGACATTCTGTCCCAGTGGCGTCCAACTCACTTCCCGCGGATTGAGGGCGGCGTTCGGTTTCCCTTGTTCATCGCGCTTGGAATTGGGACTAACTCCCACGCCGCCACTGCCCAGATAGGTTGGGGCGACGGTCACGATGATGGTATCGATGAATTCGGTATATTCGGGGTTTAACAGTTCGCTCAAGACAGTGCCCCCTCCCTCGATCATCACGCTTTTGATTCCCTCGGAGGCTAGTGCACGGAGGATGCCTTCCCACCGCAAGCGCCAGTTCTGGTTGTATTCGACGATGCGGAGAAAGTCGCCGCCATATCCTTTCAACATCATCAGCTTCTGCGGGTCGATCTGAGCGCCCGGCGACACGACAACCCACGGCGCTTTGCCTTTGCCTTCAACAGCCGTCCGTAGCATCCTGCATTCCGGATGGACTGGCCACCTTCCGGTGGGATCGATGACCACAGGCCGGGGTTGCCACATCCTTCCAAGGCCCCCAAAGCCTCCTGCGCCCTCAAGTCTACAGTTGAGACCCGGGTTATCGGCCAGGACTGTTCCCACCCCGATCAGAATCGCGTCGTGGCGCGATCGTAGATAATGTGTCATTAGTTTTGCCTCTGGCCCTGAAAGCACTGTCTGCATGCCTGGAAGCAGAGAGATCTTGGAGTCCATGGAAGATGCATAGGACAGCGTGACGTGGGGGAATTGCCGTCTTTCATCGTACTTGGGGAGGTACGGTTCCAGAAAATCCAACGGAAACTGAGGAAACGATAGCGTGTCTGGTGGTAAAGGGAACGTGTGGTTGACCTTGGGCAATCCCGCCTTCGCAGGGGATTGAGGATGGCTCTCGGGGCTCGTTCTCCTCACGATGCCATGGCCTTTTTGGTACTCGTAACCTTCATGTGGGACGAGCTTCACCTCCGGGTTCTGTATCCTCCATTTTGCTGAAACGTTCCGAACGTCAGTAACTGTGCAAAATTTCCCTCCCGCTTCGGCAAGCTTTTCTGGTTCTTCCCGGAACTTCGTGTAGATGGACGACGGCAAATAGCCCTTCACAGCTTCCTTGCGCGCAAACTCCATCAGCCCGGAATTTCGTTTCACCTTGTCAATGTAGTCAAGATCGTGCGCGTGCACCTGGCTGCTCCCGGGAGTCCTCGATATAGTAACCGTCGAATATGCCCCCTCAAACCGAACGACTTTGATCTGAAAATTGCACAGTCCACCCTCGCGCACTCTCTTCTTCCGTGGACGTTTCCCCTCCGGTAGGGGCCGCGTCTCCGAAGTGCGGTGCGTCGGGCGTCGAAGCCGGCACATGTAATAGTCGGTGGTACAGTGGCCCTCTTTGCTGGAGTTGGATCTCTGTTTGACCCACACATTGTCGATGAACGGCCAGTAGGTCTCAAATTCTTCCAGACTGATCTCAATCGGCTCCTTGCACTCGAACATGACCTGTCGTATCCTGGCTAGGTTTGGAGGGTTGCTGATGATGCTATAAGAAGCTGCAGTGGTCCCATTCACTGAGTTCCCGGGTTCATTAGTGCTCTCTGCCCCTTCCGGCTCTCCATTTTGTTGTAAAGTCGCCGCGGTGTTCTCACTAGCAGTATTTCCCGTACTTGTACTTGTGTTATTTGGCGTTTCTGTGGCATCGTCGGCGGGTTGTGACCGTGGCGGATTTCTCGACGTCGATTCGTGCGTGGCAGGTTTGCGATCGAGGTTGGTGTCTTCCGTCTCCTCATCCGAGGTCGTCTCCAGGGGCCTTTTCCTCAGCGCGACAGCTCCATCGCGCTGGGCGGTGACGTCTTGATCAGAGGCCGACAAAGACTTGGAACTTGCATCAGACACGTCATTATGGTCATGGTCCATATCGGGGGGGCTATGATCCATGTCTAGCCCGACGGGCTTCGAAGCGCATGCGCTGTGCCCGGACCTTTCTCTATCGACAAGCTGCCGGCCGGATATTGTAATTCACTCAGTTCATAATGGAGGATGCAGCGGTAGACTAATGAATATGTAGAAAGCGCGGTCTTGTCGTTATGTCCTTCTCGGCGAGATCGTCCATGTTGGATGTTGAGGAGACGGTCAGCTCGGGCCAAACGAAGTCACTACGTACAAGCTCCGCCTGAAGCTTGGCGCTCTGGACAGCGGAAATCCTCCGCCTGCACCCTTACAGAATATTATTCTACACATAGTACTCCGTACGGCTAAGAACTCATCTGAAGACACCGGTAACCAGAGAAGAACACCGATTAATAACTCTTCAACTAGATCATTCTCCAATTTCAATACGCCCCAATATCGGCACCAGCACGCGCAAGCGTCTCGTAAACTCGTGGCGGGAGCTTGTACTTCACCATGCCAGAGAAAATCATCAAGTCCTTAGCCATAACCAACAATTCGCCGGCCAGCCCCTGTCTGATCTCGTTTTCATACGCCCCAGAGTTCAACCGCTCTCGCTCGCGACCAATACAGGTGATGCTCCACATGATTACATGGCCAACATTGCGGGAGATGATTGGAGGGAAGGACGAGAAAGCCTGGGCAGTGCTTCGGATATAAGGAACTGATCCTCGAGCCCTCAGAGGGAGGATGTTCAACTCGTTGATGGCCTGAAATTTGTGTCAGCTTCATGGTGCAATCAGGCGTTGCCGGATGGAGTAGAAGATGTTACTTACATCTAGCGCTTGAGTCCATTTTCCAGCTTCGACTTCTGTCTTCGCCTCCATCATGCGGAGGAGCAGACCACATGCATCCCGGTTTACTTGGCGAATGCGTTGGTAATAAAGGGCATTAGTGTTGTAGAGACCGATCATGTTCTTCGCCAATACCACCGGGTCCTCAACTGCCGTCAGGCTGAGGCTGCTGCCGGGTTCGACCGACTCCTCCACGCCTTGTTGTTCGGTCCGCGGCAGCAGAGGCTGCAACTTCAAGGCAGGACCGCCCAGCTCGACAGCCACCGAATCAGACAACGCCCGGTTGATGATGTCGATAACGCGATCGTAGTCCTCGGCAAGGTGGTATAAGAGGACAGCGTCAGTGATCAAGCCCTTGTCGTCCGCCACAGCAGCGGCCTGCACAGTAATCGTCCTAAGGAACTCATTCTGATCGACGAGTTTGATCAAACTGATCCGCTGCTCAATCAACCCCTTAATGCGAGTTCCATCGGCCCGAATGTCGCCCAGCAACTTGGCGAAATCCCGGGTCTCCAGGATAAATTCCCGTAGGGCTTCGTGGCACACAGAAGCTTGGTTCTTGCCCAGAGATCCAGGCAGGTCTGCATTCAGGCAGAGCAGAGTGAAATAATCGACAGCTGCTTCGACAAGCCCTGTGCGGAATTCTCTCGTGTATTGGGTTATGAGATAACCGAAGTTGATCTGCGGGTATTGTTTCACAGTGAACGATACTGTTCAGATATTAGCGATGATTCGAGGGAAGTTGATGTGAGTTACTCACGTATCTCATCACCGGAGGTGTTGGGGTCAGACACCCGCAGAAGACCATAGTACGCCAAGGCAATCGCGAAGTGCACAGCGCTGATGGGTGCATAAGATCCAAGGTATGAGATGGCTTGCTCGAACATTCCACCCAGGATTTGAAGGAGGAAGAATGTTCCGTAACCACCAGGTCCCTCCTGGCCCTTACCAAACACTCGTTGTCCAATTTCAGTAATGTCGGTCTGAATGTCCTCAAGGCCGAAGACATCACCTGCCACCTCCTCGGCGCGGTCGTCTTCTCTGGCCAAGCTGAATTGCAGCCACATCCAATCCTCAACACTCTGGCTCACGCCATCCAAGCGTCTGCGGCTGAGTTCACACCGTCCAATGATCTTGTAGCAAGCCATCCGGTAGGGGTCGACGGTATTGTCTGGAGCATTACGCGACCGCTGCTGGTACTCGCCATTAATCTTCTGTTGCAGGTCGCGCGGCAACCGTCTGTTTTGTGCAAAAGTGGTCATATACGTCACAAATTTATGATCCAGTGACCGGAACCCAGGATCCTGGCTCACATATTCTGCCGCTTCCGTGACGAATCCACAACGAAGCAGATAGAAGATGAGAATCCAGCAATAATCCTGGCCAACCATCTGTAGCTCGGTTCCGTCTGGGGCCAGGTCTTTTCTGGCGGCCCTGAGTCGGATGTAAGCACGAATTTTATTGATGACAGTCGGAATACCACCAAGCTGCGCTTCTCGGGGGTTTTTGGCAATAGCAGCCTCGATCTCGTTGTAGAAGAGGTTTTCCAGAAACGATCTCGACCCATCAACGATGCGTTTCCGTAGGTTTACAACTCTGCGAGAATTTGGCGTCTCATCCAGGTAGTCTTCGCAAAATTGCCTCTCTTTGAGTGCACCAGGGTCTGAGGAGCTCGTGATATTCACAGGCTCCTTGACAATGCTAATAAGTGCCTGGTAAGCATCAAAAAGCTGCCGGGGGACCTGATATTATTAGTTAGCTCGTATAGGAAGAAAGGAGTGGTGGAACCTACATCACCACCCGTGTGTTTCTCAATCTCTGAAAATTCGTGAAGAACTGGGAATGTGCGCGCCTGGAGCCGAGCGGAGTTCAAGAGCTGAACCTTCTCCGCATAATGACCCATCTTCTCACGCAAGAACCGCAAGTCGGGGGAGTGGACACCGGCGCCTTCATTGCGCTCCATCGGGTCATCGAACAGTTGGTTACTGGCTGCGACAGGACCAGGTGTACCGATAACGGACTTGTCGAAGCCAGACCGTCCAAAGACGCTCCTACGAGCACCTGAAGGACCGGCACCAAACGGCTTGGATTGTCGTGCGGAACGGCCAAAAGAGCCTTTCATGTCACCAGTATCATCCTTCTGAGCTAGACCGAAATGCTGGAAAATCTTCCGGCGCTGTTCTTCCCAGTCCAAATCGACCTTCTCCTCCAGGAATGCATCAAAATCCTTGTGGGTCCGAGCGAGGCTCTCCGCAATCATTGCCTGGCGCCCACGCTGCTGCATGTTCCTGAGGAACTTTTGATTGTCCGGGTCAAACGTGTCCTGCTCTTTCGGAGGGGTCGCTATCGAAACCTGAGGGTCCAGGGCTTTGAGGTCTCGCAGAGCATGCCCAGGTGAGACGCCCGATGCGGCAAGGAGATAGTGGCTGAAAAAATTGAAGTTAACAACGAGACCGGTAAAGAAAAGTGGGATTTCGATTCATCTCAAGGCAATTGCTTACCCTTTACTGGTGAGACCATGTTGGGGTTCCTTGGATCCTCCGGACCCAAGCTCTCTTGCCTTCCGTCGAATGTCATCGAGGCCCAATTGGAGGCTGGGAAGCTCTTCGAAATTTGTGCTTTGACCAATTGCAGAAAGCGGTCTCTTCTTACCACGTTCCAAGAGGCTGTTGAAAAAGGCGGGCTGCGTCGCTTGGTTCGAAGGTCGCGAGTTTTGCGCCGCATTATTTTGCGCTTGACTTTGTCCAAGGATAGAAGACTGGGCGGGCTGTGGTTGAGCTTGCGACTGTGCTCCAAACAAAGATCCGCCAGAAGGAGCTTGCGTAGTCGAAGTGTTGCCAAAGGCGCTTGGCGTATTGTTCGTGGAGAAGAGGCTTGACTGGCCTCCTCCGAATAAGGAATTCGACATGGCGCAAGGGTTCGACAAGTTGTTTGATAAGAAAGAGGGCGAAATAGCAGAGTAATGGAGATCCCGTATGGGAGCTCGAAGTCGCCGATCAAATTCGCTGCGGAAGGCCAAGTCAGATTCGTCGGCGGTACGTATTAAGGATTGAGGAGACGGTAGTACCCACACAACAGAGGTCAAAGAACTCAAAGAGTGCCCAGGATGGGCGTTGAGTGTAGAGTGCTGTGTTCGATTGCTACACAGCAACCAATAATGTTTATATCGAAAACAGCTTTGTCGCGGAGCACCTTTCCAGATCAAGTTACGCGGTCGGATTTTTATTTCGCCGGCGTTTCTTTGCCGCGGAAGACATCTCTGCCTCAGGCTGGCAATAACCGTCTGATCGATGCGATTCCACGAACACCAACCACGAAGGATAAACTGTGCCTCTGGGTGCTGTATTTTCTCCTCTTCATAATGCCTGCTTTTCAAACGAAAACGTTCCGACGCGCTACGACAGCATCGTCTACGCTCGGAGAGCGCATCGGCGCAGCATACCGAGCTACTTTGCCAAAACACCCATTCCTTCTTTTCGGACTTCCCTTCGTCATGATCATTGTTGCCGGCTCTTTCGTGCTGACTCCGGCTACGGCACTCCGATACGAACGATATGATCGCAAAGTGAAGCAGCTTAGTCAAGAGGAGGCGATGAATCTAGGCCTCAAGGGCCCAGATGGAGAGGAAGGAATCAAGAGGAATCCCAGGAGACGGATCCTCGGAGATGAGCGGGAAGAATACTACGTGAGCATTCGTCTTTTTATTTCTTGGGGGTAAACAGGGGTTTATACTGATCTTCATTCCTATCCACAGCGGCTGATGGCGAAAGACTTGGACAACTGGGAACAAAAGCGAGTGCAAAGGTTTAAGGGAGAGCCGGATGGGAGAATTTGAGCGGTCGGATTGTTTTCAGATAGTCCATGTTGAAGCACAACATCCATACGGTGACTCTCGCGATGGACTTCACGGTCAGCCGAGTGCGACGCTTCTGATCTTCGGGTCAGCCGGGTTATGCGTTGTATATGGTCGCGGTGAAATCAAGGTCGCTACTACTTTTTGGTGCGACTATACTCAATCAGCGAAGTCGACGACACCGGTATCTCCGCTCCTGTGTTCAAACTACCAGCAGACTTGGTACATGTTGACTGCGACATGGCAGCCTTGGGTAGTCTCAGCCCAGTATGCCCGAAATTGGGCCGACAGATCAGTCAAACAGGGATATAACAACGCTGCAATTATTGCCGGATGTTCTCAGTGGTAGTAGGCTCGCCTAGGTATATACTTGGAAGATAAATATGAAGGCGCCCTACTGAAGTCTAGGTTGTCTCCAGAGTTTCTAAGTTCCTTTTCAGCTATTGGTCACAGGAGTACCTTAATGTATGTAAATATTTTGCTAGTTGGACAGGTCTAAATCGCGACGCTCAATTGCATTTGAACATTATCATGCGTAGCCATCCCTTTCCCGAGAAGCATTCAGAGATGGAATTCGATATGTGGTAGATTTTATGCGTCATTTGAGTTGGGATGTTTAGCTGTATTTCATGGGACGCTGATGCCAATTAGTGAGTCCTTGTTATTCGATACCTTTATCTAGATCTGAGTGATGAATTGTCGTAGGGCGCCATGGTTGGTAGATCTACGAGTACATGCGTGAAGGCCTAATCCGTTCCTGGTAAGCGTGTTGCCGAATCAGGATCCACCAAGTATCGGTATCGGAGTTCCTAAATAGGTATACGGTACTTATTGTGTAGTAGGTACCTAGATACTAGTATTTAGAATATAAAAGAGCGCATTTTCTGATTTTACTCGGTATGCGGAGAAGCCATTCATGACTCTTCCCGTGCTCAGTCAGGTATGTGGGGGCTGGATTTCACGGATTCATGCTGTAAGTATGAAGTTATAAAACTTCTTCATTTAGTGATATGCGTAGATTGTAGTGCTTATAAGATAAAGCCAAACAATGTGTAGCCGTCTCAATCTGGATACTCTACCTAGGTACTCCGTAGCATCGACTTTACTCCGTACTGACATGCTCTTGTACTCTGAAGTACTGGGTACTCCCGATTCGACAGAACATGGTGGACCTTAGTCAGAAGAGTGTAGCCGAATCGGGTAAGTGGCTTGTTCCCCATACGTCATATCCAGAAAACAACGTCTGGTCGCTCCAATTTTCCCAAACCTCGATTCGCCCTCCAACCTTCGCCAGTCTCGCTTATTGAGCCATTTCCTCTTCGTTCGGACGATTCCTCGCATCCCGGTGGATCAGTGATATCAGCCAGACCCCTCTTTCTCCCCCCACTTCGGCCTGTTGCCAGTGCCATTGGCTCAGAACCTCCCTTTTCTGGTGAAGAGTGACGCCCCCCCTTTCTGTGCTCACTGTGGGAGGCCCTTGTTGTGGTAGACCGTCGCCGCCGCCGTGGCCAGAACCTCACCTATCTAACCACCACGCTCCACTAACACAACCCCTACCGAATTTCTGTCGATTCTTCCCTCCTTCCTGACACTCCCTCGCCATCTTGGTCTGCTTATCTTTCTCCTGAGAGCCTCCTTTTTCTAGAACCCTTCAGTTCCGTGGCTTCGAAAAGCCAAATCTCGATTTACTTCTTTCGCCCCTTTGGCTCGAGCGTATTCTGCCGGTTTCTCCGACAACGTCATCTTTCTTCTTTTAACTTCCGTTAGTCCCAGCATCGTGGGAGATCCCGATTCGATTGTATACGTTGTTCTCTCGTTCTTCGTCTGAATACACAACGCTGTCTGCAACTCTGGTTGTACTTACCTCCCTCGGCTGCTCTTCTTTCGGACGTGATTACATCGCGATGGCAAATGGACTCCATGCGTAACAACGCCACCAGTCATTATATCGGGGTTATCAGGACACAGGTTCGTGGATGAATATCATGTCTGCTATGACAGGCCCAAGATCGCCTACTTCGCCGTGGCCTCAAGAGTCCCCAAGCCTCCAGCTTCCTCCCGCAACACCCTTCTTCTCCTTGTGCGACAATCGCCCATCTCCGTTTAATCCCAATGTCGGTTCCCAGAATGCGTCGGACTGCTCGGGCCCCAGCTACTTCGCCCTCGGCGTCGACCACTCGAACAATACGAGAAACTCTCGGGATCCGCTGCCCTCTGGTCAGGCGTCAGTATCCAGTCCGAAACCTCAGATTCTATCACAGAGAAATGTGCTCGAGAGTTACATGAGCCCTACGAACAAAGGACCGGTAGTCGGGGAACGCGGAGGCTTTCCTCTTTATACACTGACCGTGGGCAACAACGTCGAAAATAAGAGCCCAACTTCTGATCTTCGCAAAGCCACGGCGTCATCAACAGCACAGGCGAGTAGTCTGTTTGTCTCACCAGAGCGCTTCGCAGAGCTTCTTCAATCACCTCAGTACGGACTTTTGACATTCGATGTTCGACCGTATACTCACTTCGCCAAGGCGCATGTCAAGGATGCGCTGAATCTCTGTATCCCCACGACTCTTCTCAAGCGACCCTCGTTCAATACGCAAAAGTTGGCCAACACATTCACCAATGACGGTGACAAGGCGAAGTTTGCCCAATGGCACTCTTGTGAATTTATCATCGTTTACGATGCAACGACATCTGAAATGAAGGATGCCGCCCCTTTGGCCAACGTTCTAAGGAAATTCTCCATCGAAGGCTGGGGTGGGAAGGGGCTGATCTTGCGTGGAGGGCTCAACGAATTCTCCCGCAAATTCCCTTCTCTCGTCCAGCAGCAGCAGACATCACCATCCGGTGTCAAAAAACCTTTCTTGCCCAAGTTGGATCTTCCGTCAGCTGCGCCTGTCGCCGGTGGGTGTGCTTTACCAGATGCATCCCACCCAGCGATACCTTTCTTTGGCAATATCCGGCAACATATGGACCTCCTGGGTGGGGTAGGACAGATCCCCCTCCAGCTTCCAAACAACTTGACAGAATCCAGGAAGCACGCATTGCCTCTGTGGTTACGCAGGGCCGCTGATGATAGAGACAAAGGACGCAACGTCTCTGAGAAATTCTTAGAGCTCGAGAAGAATGAACTAGAGCGCATGAAACAGGCACTGTCGTACGAGAAGTCGGCAGATGCCTCGTTAGTTGGAGCCTCGGGAAAGTTCCGCGTTGCAGGCATTGAAAAGGGCTCCAAAAACCGATACAACGACATCTACCCGTTCGACCACTCTCGAGTCAAGCTGCAGGATGTATCCCCCAATGGCTGTGACTACGTGAATGCCAGTTTCTTGAAGGCGGAGTACAGTGATAAGCGTTATATAGCCACCCAGGCACCGGTGCCGGACACGTTTACCGTACGTTTATCTGATCAACCGGTATGATGTTGTATGACTGACATGTCGCAGGACTTTTGGCGTGTCGTTTGGGAGCAGGATGTGAGGCTTATCGTTTCCCTCACTGCAGAAGTAGAAAGAGGCCAGACCAAGTGTCACCCATACTGGGTTTCCGGGAACTATGGCCCTTTTCAGGTCAACAATTTCTCTCAGAAATACATCTATCTGAATTCTCCTGGCATGCAGCAGGTGGATTCTGGACCAGACCCATCCTTGGCAGCAACCAATGAGGACTCCAGCAACCCCTGCATCATAGTGAGACACTTTGGCCTATCACATTCGGCTTTCCCTTTCCAGCCGTTGCGTGAGGTGATGCAACTCCAATATCCATACTGGCCTGATTTCGGAACGACATCGCAGCCCTCTCATCTGGTCCGACTGGTCGAGCAGTGCGATAGGATGAGGAATGTAACGGCCACAACGCCCTGCGGCGACTGTGGCTCAAGACCTGAAATGCAGAGGCCAGTCTTGGTACATTGCAGTGCAGGCTGTGGACGCACTGGTACCTTCTGTACCGTGGACAGTGTGATGGACATGCTGGGCCGGCAACGTACTAGGAAGGTGGCGTGTCCGAGGTGTGCTTCCAGTGGTGAAACCTGCCACGACGGATGGATGCAGGATGAAAACTCCGACCTTATTGCGAAGACCGTCTCCGATTTCCGCACGCAGCGCCCCAGCATGGTTCAGAACTTGAGCCAATTCGTACTATGTTATGAGAGTGTCTTGGAATGGATCACCTCTCAAATGCGGGGAGAGACTGACTCGCACCGATGATACAAAACCCGATTCAGAAAGCCCTGGTGGCCCGAATATTCTTGCCGACATATACTTCCAAGATCCGTATATACATACGCACTGGTATACGTGTGTGTCCATTTTCTGGCGTAATTGCATGGCGCATGTAAACGCCGACGCATGTCTAGGTGTTCGGGGACAACTGATTGGAAAGGCGTGGTGGGTTTGGTCGCTCGGTCCGGCATTCATGATATATCGCATATAAATAGCATTCAGTTTGCAGTCTCGGTGCATCTTGATCTTCGTGATCTCGGAGGGATCAGTAAAAAAGTGTACTATACTCCGTAGGCATCGCCGGGGGTGCCTGGCTAGAAAGTCAGGGGTCAGGCAACAGGCGGTGGGTGCCTGAGAATGGGGGCGGCGTCCCCCACTCAGTGATGAGACCCATGGTAATCAACCTCGTTTTATAGTCCTTCCTACGCAATATAAATTCTACCATCACCATCGTCTTCTTCTCCAAATCATGCTTTTGGTGAAGGCCCAGTTGGTATCCTCGCAGGCCACCCTCGTTACACATTTGATTCATCTCACAGTTGCATGGTCGGAGCCGCACGCGACGAACCTTCTCACATCAGCATTATGCTCCTAAACCTCCCGGCGGAGCTGGTCCAACTGGTCCTCCAACATTGCAGGACGCCAGATTTCCTGGAGGCCGCGTTCTCCTGTCGGGCTCTGTACGAAATCGCAACCAACTGCCGGGAAGTCCTCCTGCATCACTTATATCTCACTCCAGGCGCGGAGTTTGACTCCCAACTGAAGTCACGCCAGCTGTTCCGACTTCTTGTCCGCCGTGCGTTCCAGCAGCTGTACGGGACGCAGTTCTACGCGTCCTCTACGCAGTATACCTTTGGGTCGGCGAAGCAGACGCTCGACGTCAAGGCATCGGCGTTCTCCCATGACCGGACCACCCTTGGCATTGCGCTGAAGGGCCACGGGGATGTCAGGATCTTTCGCGCGGAGAACAGGAAGCTCCGGCAGGCAGGCCGGCTGTGCTCGCCGTTCATGGCGCAGTCGGGGTCGGTCGAGGTCCTGCGAACCGCGTTCGACAGGGACGGCGGGGTCTATGTGCTCCAGCGCTTCACGCCGGCCGTGGACGCTGCGGACGCGGACCACCCGTTTGTGAGGCAAGCGTTGGCGTCGAATGGCGCCGGATACGTCTATCTCGTTCGTCATTCGTTACGGTCTCCTCACGACCCGGTCCGGATGTGCAGCTTTCCCGACCATGCAGAATATGAGCCGCTGGCTCTTGCGGCGGCGCATAGAGACACGTTTGCGATCTCGTGGCAGCATAAACGCGACGAAAACGACACAGAGGTCGTCCTGTATAACATCCAGGACCAATCGAGCAGTGCCGGCGCCCTGGGGAGATTGATCGGTTGGTCCGCATCGTCCTAGGTCTGTCAGAGGATGTCAAGCTAACGCGCCGCAGAACTCGAGTATAACTCCTGTATTCTGGTGGGAGGCACTCAGGAGAATGACGACGATGCGCATTTCGTCCATCCCAGCATGATGACCTCGGCGCTGCAGAACCGAGGACCGATTATCAACCTCGCGTTCAACGACCGCTCGTCGCAGTTACTGTACTACTACAAAGCGCGGACGCTGTACGGCTCGTTCCAGCGCGTCAACATGTCTTCGTACCCGGTGCAGCCGACCATGTACGGCAACGCCTGCACGGTGCAGTTTGACGAATCGCTCGTGCTTCTGTTTTCTATCGACATCCCTTTCTTCGGTACCCATGAAACCATCCAGCAGGACGGCCGGTCCATGTGCCACTGGAAGTATCTGTCGTTCGGGGTCGCGCGGCACCGCTCGGAGGACTGGACGGTAGCGTGTCTCCTGCGGTCTGAAGCGCTCTGCTCATCGCACAATTGCCAGCATGTGCTGAATCTCGAGCGCGGCCGGCGGTTCCCGGACTGGACGATCGTTGCGCGACTGTGGGGGTTCGAGGATGCGACGGATTCGCTGGGCTGTCGTGTGGCTGCGTCGAAGCGTGGCACGCGCATCGCCGTGGCTAACTGGAATCTACTGTATGTGTGGGCGGTTGAGCCGGGCTCGTTGATCGAGCAGAATAAGGATGGGTTCTACCCGCCGTCGTCGCAGGCGGGCCCCGGGGTGACGGTGCTGCAGCCCGTGGTGCTCCCGCTGAATGCGGTTTGTTTCCAGCTGCAATTCACGCAGGACGAGGACGAGTTGGTGGCTATTACGGATCGGGGACTTATGTACTGGAATCTTAGTCCGCTGGGCGGAGGGCGCAAGGTAGTGGAACATATTGCTAGTTAATGACGATAACAGCATTCGCATGGTCCAGACATATATTAGAAAGTTCGTTGTAGCCTACGTCCGCAGCCTTTACGCTATTGTAGTGCAGGCCACATGGGTCCACCACCACTCGGCGTGGGCAGCTCTGCACACTACCTTGCAGCCATACAGGAATCCGCTGTATAATCCCGAGGGAAGGAGAACGTAGTTTAAGCAGTTCCATATAGAAGTCTACCATTATCAAAAACGATTTTAGACCGTCGGCAATCACTGTCCCTCTCCGCCACCAGACATAGCCAGGAACGTCACGATGAGGATAATCCACCAGTACCTGGCACAGACAGTCAGCGCACCGCCTCCAGCGAACCAAACGGGTATAGAGATCAACATACTTCTGGAAAAAGGTCTTCTCAACCGGTTCATCCGGATTGGCACCGTCGGGCCCAACAACCACAGGACGATTGAGATGCGGGCGCGGCCCCGTCTCGGGGCCAACCAGCTCGACAATGGGACTTGACGACGACGGGCTTGTCGTCGAGACATTGGCAGACATCACAGCGACATGGTAGACCTCCTTGGAGGGCCCCAGATGCAGCTGGAGAATGGGGGCGTCATGTTCGCGCAGGGCGGCCAGGGAGGTCAGCGAGCCGACCCATTGGTTGGGGCTGGCGGGGGTGGAGGTGTACAGGCCGACGCGGACGATCTGGTTGTCGGGGAGGTCTTCGGACACGGGGGGAGGCGTGTAGGAGAGGAGTTCGGGCTTCAGGGAGGTGGGATCGTAGGCGATGCGGGCGAGGAGGGCGGGTTTCGGGGCGGAGAGCGGCCAGTAGAAGAGGTCGGTGGTGATGGATTGGGAGAGGGCGAGGGAGACGAAGGAGAGGAGGAGGAGAAGGGGAAGTGTCCCCGTGGAGAGCCACATGGTGAGGAGTGAGTGGCGTTGGTGGTGAGGTGAGGTGGAGGATGGTGATGCGCGGAGGTGAAGTTTGCGGAGGTATCGGAGGTCGTAGAGCGTCATTTCCTGACTAAGGCACTCAACTCATCTTGATACTACCATAATTTATATTTATATTTATATTTATATATGATGAAGGTATATAGGATGTTAGGATAGGACAATTGTATATAATAAATAGTATTATAATTATACGGAGTATAGGAGGATACCAACCAATGTATGGATCTCTCGCTATATATTTGCATCTATACTCCGTATGTACTAGGTACTTTGAGATCATATTATTATCATTCTAACTTATTGTCATTGCTCCTACTAATTATTATTGAATACTTCCCACTACTCTATAACCATCCTAGTACTCAGGTACTATTCATACTACCTAGAGAGTACTCCATCGTGAAATTTCCATAATAGGCAACCCAAATGCATGCGTCCGACTCGACTGTTCCGGATGGATCAGCCAGAAATCTTCCTGATTCCTTCGCTTTGATGGCAAGATGCTTTCTTTTTCTCTACGGAGGAGTGTCTTCCAAGGAATCAAGCAATCCCCAGCAAGAAGCGGTCAATGGATGCTGTCATTGCTCCCCTCCTCCATGAATAATAAGAAATCCTCTTAATCTCTTCCCCCAACTTCCCCACGTTTTTTCTTCTTTGTCTCTCTCCCCCACTCCCTCTCTTCTTGGTCATCAAGAGCTTCAACTTTCTTCTCCCTTTCTTTCTGCCCTATTCCCTATTCTCTATTCACCTCCCCTTAGCTGTCTGACTGAACCTGGAGCTCTTGTTTCCCCGCCCAGCTCCCCACACATTGGCGGAGCTCCAAATAGCGGGCTGATAAGCTACCTCCTGTCAAGTCCCAAATCCCCAATCTGTCTGTTATCCCCCCAATCCCACCGGATACTATCCTAACCTCTCAGTTCGTCATGGCGTCCTCCATGTCCATGCCTTTCCGCCGCCCCTCTCGCCAGGGCTCCCGCCAGGCCTCCATGGATGCCCGCGAGGACATCCAACCCCACCAGGACCACTACATTGGAATTGATGTCGGCACCGGAAGCGCACGCGCCTGCATCATCGACAGCAAAGGTGACATTGTCGGATTGGCCTCAGAGAACATCGGTCTCTGGCAACCCCAAACCGGTTACTATGTGCGTTCCCTCCTCCCACTCTTCAGCCACTGGTAAATTGACCACCCCTCCCAGGAACAATCCACGACCGACATCTGGCGGTGCATTTGCCTGTCCGTTCAGCGCGCCATCAGCCAGCACAACATCGACCCCCAGACCGTCCGCGGTATCGGTTTCGACGCAACCTGCTCGCTGGCTGTGTTTTCGACCGTCACTGACGAGCCCGTCTCCGTCACCGGCCCCAATTTCGATTCAGACCGCAATGTCATCCTCTGGCTGGACCACCGTCCCGTCGAGGAGACTGAGAAAGTCAACGCGACCAACCACAACCTGCTGCGCTACGTCGGCGGCAAGATGTCCATTGAAATGGAGATCCCCAAGGTCCTGTGGCTGAAGAACAACATGCCCAAGGAAGTCTTTGATCAGTGCAAGTTCTTTGACCTTGCCGATGCGCTGACCCACATTGCTACCGGAAATGAGAAGCGGAGCTTCTGCAGCGTCGTCTGTAAGCAGGGCTATGTCCCGGTGGGCGTGGACGGCAGCGTCAAGGGCTGGCAGGAGGATTTCCTGAAAGAGATCGGACTGGAGGATCTGATGGAGGACAACTTCAAGCGCATGGGTGGTGTCGACGGGGTGGTGAGCCTTTTTCTTATTTCCCCCGTGTTTCTTCTCTCCCTGCGTCCAATATCATGATGCATGATAGTCTACTCTTCCCGAATGTTGACTGCTAACGGATCCTCTGCAGAATGGTGATTATCTCAGTGCCGGTGAACTGGTGGGCACTCTCTGCGAGAAGGCCGCCTCCGAACTAGGCCTTCCGGCCGGCATCGCCATCGGTAGCGGCGTCATCGACGCATATGCCGGCTGGATCGGCACCGTTGGCGCCAAAGTCAACCTCGAATCAGAGCAATTGAGCGCCGACGTCGCGAAGAACGACAAGACGCAGGCCTTCTCGCGCCTCGCTGCCGTCGCCGGCACGTCAACCTGCCATCTCGCCATGTCGCCCGACCCCGTGTTCGTTCCGGGCGTGTGGGGACCGTATCGGGACACCATCCAGCCGGGATACTGGATGGCCGAAGGCGGGCAGTCGGCGACAGGCGAGCTGCTCAAACATGTCATTGAGACGCACCCTGCGTTCAACCAGGCCCTGTCCATCGCCGAGTCCTACAACGCCAACATCTACGAATACCTGAACGAGCATCTAAAGGAGATGGCCCATGACCGCAAGGTCCCCAACGTCTCCTACCTAGGCCGCCATCTCTTCTTCTACGGCGACCTCTGGGGCAACCGGTCTCCCATCGCCGACCCGAACATGGCGGGCGCCATTGTTGGTCTGACCAGCGACAAGTCCGTCGACGGTTTGGCGCTTTACTACTACGCCACGCTGGAGTTCATCGCCCTGCAGACCAAGCAGATCGTCGAGACCATGAACAAGGCCGGCCACAGCATCACCTCCATCTTCATGTCGGGATCGCAGTGCCAGAATGACATCTTGGTCGGCCTGGTCGCCTCAGCCTGCCAGATGCCCGTCCTCATCCCCCGGTACATCCACGCCGCCGTGTGCCATGGCGCTGCCATGCTCGGCGCGAAGGCCGCCAGTGCCGATGCCGAGGGCAAGACCGAGGACCTGTGGGAGATCATGGATCGCATGAGCAAGCCGGGCAAGAAAATCATGCCGACCAACGACCCGAAGGAGAAGGCCCTCCTGGAAGCCAAGTACAAGGTGTTCCTCGAGCAGTGCTACAAGCAGCAGGAATATCGGGCGCTGGTGGACAAAGCCCTGGAATCGAACTGACCTGTAGACGATAAAGGAGTTCGAAAGATGCTGCAACTTCTACGGTTATAATGAGATATTGTATGGAATATGGAAAAACGGGTTTCGGTCATGAAAATAATCGCATATTCTGCAAATTCAATTATCTTTCCTAATCTATCTGCTTGAGCGGTCTGACCCAAAAACGAAGCTACCCGTACGTACAGGTAGCATGCAACAAACCAACAATTCCATTTACTATCCAAGCACAGAATGAATGCCATTCTACAGACTTGAGGAGCCCTGATACAATGAAAAACGCGCACAACCATCATCTATATGCAACACCGTTTCTGGCCCGACCGATAGTATAGTACTTTTCGGAGTCGACGGGACCAAGGGCGAGGGTATCGAAGCGGTCGACCCCCATCGTGTCCAGGTTACTGTACCCCGACAGGAAGAAGCCAATCACGACGACCAGGTAGGTGAGGACGAGGATGGAGCCCTTGAAATAGTTGCTCTTGCCTTCGCCGTGGACGTACGAGAGGAGGAAAACGCAGAGGATGACGGTTACCATGTCCCACTGGGGGAAGAGGAGGCTGTAGAATATACATGTTAGCGAAGCAAAGCGGACGGGATGGGGGTGGCTTACTTGAATGTGTGGGTCAAGAGCTGCGACGGATCGAGGAGTCTCGCGTAGAAGGCGCTGAATAATACCACGGCGGGGATCTGCAAGAGACAGACTTGCAGTGCGTAGGCAGAGCCGATTTCCATGGACAAGGCAATGTTGCCGTTCATGGCGAAGGAGATGGCGTTCTAGGAAGTGTAAGCAACGTCATGTAGGGGCAAAGGAAGATGACATACTAGGAACTCTGTGGTGTTGGGTACCAGAGCAAAGAGAGTTATTCCAAGGAACTTCTCGTCAATGTCCACGCTCTCCAGGACCACGTCAACTGTGTTGACCAGGATCTCAGCAATGACCGCATACAGAATCGTCGCACCGAGAAGAATGATGGAGCTTCGAGCTTTGCTCCAGTTCGGAGCGTCATGCCCGCCGCTTGCATGGGTTTGCTCGATCCCATAGTCTTCCTCAATCATAGCTTTGACGGGATCCGCGGGACTCTTCGTACCATGGCGTACTGTGCCATGCTGAACGGAGGGCTTGCGTGTCCGCGCCGCATCGCGGGCAGCAACGGCTGCGGCAGTCGCAGCCACCTCTGTCACTTGACGAACCAGATGCTCATTCTCTTCGCCGGAGAGACCGGCGAAGCTCTTGAACCCATGGCTGTCATCACCCGCGGACCGCGGAGGGACTAGATGCGGCGTTACGCCCTTGTCATGAGCGGAGGAGCTAGACTCCACTTGGTCGCCAGAATCGGCCGGGTTGTCTGACAGGCCAACGTGCTTCAGTGACTGCCCCAGAATCCGTCTATACAGTTGCGATTCGCGCACCGAACCCTTTGCCCCGGAAGCCCCAGTCGGAATCCCCGATTGGCCGTTGGGGTAAAGTAGGTGCCGATGTTCGTCAGCGGAGTGCTCATGAGGTAGCGCTGCGGCCTTCTTCTCCTCAATTTCTGTGGCCCAGATGAGCGCAGCGTGAGTTCTGAGAGTGAACCAAAGACCGATAACATAGGAGAGAAAGAGGAAGATAGCAGCGACCCATGAATAGGGTTGGACGGCTTTCCGGAAGAAGCTGTCGTTGACAGCTGGGACCTGAGAGAAATAACAACGGCGGCAATCACTGCTCTCTGTTCCCGGGGCTTCGAAGCATGGATGGCAATTGAGTTCGTGCTATAGCGGAGGGCGTCAGTGTTTATAAAGGGCGAGCAACAGAGTCAAGACTTACACTCCCATATATCTGATAGAAAAGGGTAGGTCCAAATGCAGCAATCACAGCAAACATCAGCATCGTGGAGGTAACACCGGCAGACTTGACGTTGAAACGCTGTGTCTTCCGCTTGATGGCACCAAAGCACATCGATAATCCCGGGAGAAACAGAATACCTGCAAAGATACTGCCGATAATGCTGCCCTCGACCAGAGCGCCCTTGCCCTCAGTCAAGGCGACACAGTAGAGATAGACCTCAACGACAGTCGAGAAGAATGCATTGACCGCCGCGCCCATGCCCATCGATGACTGTGCTGAAATTGACGCCACCGCCTGTCCAATGAAGTAGGCAAGAGGGATAATGGAAAGTAGGGCGAGAGTGAAGATCAAACCAGGGTGTGTCAGCCATCCCTGAAGACCCAAGGTCTTGTCCAAAAGGAAGTAGTCAAAAATGACGAACAATACGACACCAAGGAGATTGATCAGAAAGATGTTCGTTCCCCCGACTGTATACTTCCAGTATCTCAATCCAGCAGCACGATAGGTGCATAACAGAATGGACGATGACGCGCCCGGGGCATGCCGGCTGGTATCCGAGTGATACGAAAGGGCCAATGGATGCCGGCGAAGGTGGTCAAACAGGATAATTGTTACCCGGCCCATAGGGATCCAGAAGACCAGGAGCCAGCAGAGCAGGGACACCAGGAGCATCAGCGGTCCGACTAGGAAATAGAAAAAGACAAAGAAGACGACGCGGCCAAGCGTCCACTCACCACGCCCAAACAGGCGTCGTTTGGGGTGCCCTAGAGGACTGTTTCCGGAACTGCGTCTCGTGGTTCGACCCAGCAAGCTGTCCTGTTCACTGGCCGAATCGACGCTATTTCTCCTTCGGCCCACAAGCGAACGGTCACGGCGAGGACCGAAAAACAACCGGCCATTCTCAATATCGCCGTTCTGCCATTGCTCATATTCGCTGATGCTGCGCCCTTCACCCTCGTCCTCTTCCGCGTAATTCTCATCCGTGTCCAACCGGACGTAGGATCCGAACGGGTAGAAGAGGTACCACGACAAGCCCGAAAATGCTCGCCCGTATTCCACCGCACTGGGCGAATAGGCGAATATAAAACAGGCGACAGCACTGATGAGGGCAGCAAAGGCAAGCCACCACCCGAAGAAGATCGTCCATAACAAGTTCGACAGGAACAGCACGTTCCCCACTCGACCCCCGGGGGACGAGTGGATATCGCCCTCCGCCCTCTTCTCCACAGATCGACTCTTCTTATATAGCGCGGGTTTCCAGATCCTGATACCGAAGGGATGCGTTTCGTTGATCGCCTGTTGGCGATCTTTCAGCGTAAAGCTTTCCGCATCGCTTGTCTCTTCGTCGTCGTCCTCGTCGCCGTTATCTTCACCAGACTGAACATCCTCTTCTCCGTCTTGACTTCCGCGATCTGAATGCCAGGACGATGCTAGCAATCCGGAGCCCTCCATGGCCGACTCGGGCAATCCCGCATCTTCTTCATCCGACTCCGTATCCGACTCCGCCTGGGTCAACGGGTTCATCCGGGCGGTATGTCTTCTCCTCAGAGTCGAGCTGTTGTTTCGCATGGGCCGAATTCTTGGAGAACGCTGTGGGTTGGCGGCCTGCTGCATGGCGATGTCTTCCTCGACCTCTTGGACGTCATCTTCGGTCGAGAACTCCTGTCCCTTGTGAGGCTGGCGTTTAGACGACATGCGTCGCGTTACGGGAGGTTTCCTCGGTCTGTCAGATTGCAAAGGGGTTATTGATGGCGAGTTGGACGTCGGGTTTCGCGTTGAACTCTCCGGTTGAGTGTCGTAGGGGCGTTCGACACCGGTCCTTTCGGATGAATCCAGAGTGCCTGCATGAGATTGACGGTCAGGTATGGTATAGTTATCTGATTAATAGGATTATGATGGTACCGTAGGTTCTCCGGGACTGTGCCGTCGTTCTGGACTGACGAAGGGACCCGGATGACGTGCTTTGTACATTCATGTTGACGCGCGACGAGGGTTCAGATTGTGACGGCGGCGGAGGATCCCGACTGCCTCCTTGATTGCCCGACATGATTCTGTGTTGATTTCTTTCTGTGATTTTTCTCTTCGCTTCGCGAGGTTCTTGTGGGGAAGTCTGTGCAGGATATTAGGCCTTAAAGGAGGCTGGGCGTCAAACACAAGCTAGGAAACTAAAGGGGTCGAAAAAGAACACCAATACAAAGAGTGACCTGCACTGGAACTAAAGAGAAAACAGCGATGAGATGAAAGAGACTCGCAGTTACATGGCGGGTGCGAGTGTGCAAGAGAAGAGAGGGAGAGACGCGAAGGCCGCAAAAAAGAGAAGCTCTTCTAGATATAGCTTAGATCATGAGATAAGGACCCCCGCAGTCAGCTGAGAGTTGGCACTCCAGCTCTCAGACCTCGTTGATGCAGAAAAGTGACAGATGACTGGCGGAGGGCCGGGGTTTTAATAATGTTGAATCCAGAGAGCCCGCGAGGAAGCATGAGGAGACGTCAGCAGAAGCTTGAGATAGTGATGTCGACCACATCGATGGTACCTCGGTGCTAGTACAGACCGCGTAAGGCAGCGATGTACCTCCCATGGAAGATCGTACCACCGGGTAAGGTACCGTACGCAGTAAGTCACCGCCACTGTTACCGCCTGAGGCATAAATATTAGTGGCTGGTGTGGTGGCTGGTGCGGATGCTGATATCAGCACTGACCTGACCAGCTTAGCTCTCTCTCGTTCCCCCAGATTCCTCACAGCTACCTTACCTCCCCAATCCCGGTTCTTCACTCTTCTCTATTTCGTATTTTCCCTCCTAAAAGCAGCTTATTCTGCAATATTCTGGGATTGCTGAATATTCGCATCGCTCTGTGAACCATTTCGTTGCGTGGCCATCATCCAGGAGCGTCATCCGTCGTCCATCATGGCGCTCGACAACTACTATCGCAATAAGATCGAGAGCATGAAGCTCGAGATTATCCAGGGCCAGGCAGTCCTCCGACGATTGGAAGCACAGCGGAATGACTATAACTCGAGAGTGCGCCTCCTCCGCGAGGAACTCGGCCTCCTTCAACAGCCCGGCTCCTACGTCGGTGAGGTGGTGAAAGTGATGAGTACGAAGAAGGTTCTCGTGAAAGTGCACCCCGAAGGAAAATACGGTACGACAATGCCTCCTTGATATGATATCCTCCCGATTCCTAGTCCTAATCTGATTGGCGCAGTCGTTGATATTGCCGATGGCGTCGACATCTCGAAGCTCACCGTGGGCAAGCGTGTGGCCCTGCTGTCCGACTCCTACAAGCTGGAAAAGATGCTGCCATCGTCTGTCGATCCGCTAGTGTCGCTCATGATGGTGGAGAAGGTTCCGGATAGCACATACGACATGATCGGAGGTCTGGACCAGCAGATCAAGGAAATCAAGGAAGTCATCGAGCTGGGTCTGAAGCATCCGGAACTGTTTGAATCCCTCGGTATCGCACAGCCGAAAGGTGTCCTTCTTTACGGTCCCCCGGGAACCGGCAAAACCCTCCTGGCTCGAGCGGTGGCCCATCATACAGACTGTCGGTTTATCCGAGTGAGTGGTTCGGAACTGGTGCAGAAGTATATCGGTGAGGGTAGCCGCATGGTGCGTGAGCTGTTCGTCATGGCCCGTGAGCATGCTCCCAGCATTATCTTCATGGACGAGATCGACAGCATCGGTTCCAGTCGGATAGACTCTGCGGGCGGTGGTGATTCGGAAGTCCAGCGGACTATGTTGGAGCTGCTGAACCAGCTGGATGGGTTTGAGCCGACAAAGAACATCAAAATTATCATGGCCACTAACCGACTTGACATCCTGGACCCGGCTCTTCTGCGTCCTGGACGAATCGACCGAAAGATTGAGTTCCCCCCGCCGTCGTAAGTTCTCAGTTCCTGTGCATTTTCTGCAGCGAAGTCCACGATTACTGATGGTTTCTTGATAGGGTCGAAGCTCGTGCGGATATTCTACGGATCCACTCGCGTTCGATGAACCTCACTCGAGGCATCAACCTTACGAAGATCGCCGAGAAGATGAACGGATGCTCTGGAGCCGAATTGAAGGGAGTGTGTACCGAGGCCGGCATGTATGCCCTTCGGGAGCGTCGGGTGCATGTTACGCAAGAGGACTTTGACTTGGCCACCGCCAAGATCCTCAACAAGCATGATGACAAGGAGGTGGCTGTCTCCAAGTTGTTCAAGTAGAGGGGCTGTACTTAGATGCGAGGATCACACATGAGCAATGATATGTAATAGTAGCCCTCTTGGCGACAGTTGCCATTTTAGACTCGCTACATCGGCCATAAGTGGGATGTGAATAGTCTCTGATAGGCGCGTCTGAGTTTGTTTGAATGCAGGATCCTCGTCCGATGCGGTAATGGCGAGGCTGTGTTGTGCTGTGTATCTACTGTAGGAGTAGTCTCGATAGCTTGGCATTCGCAAATGGTCTCAAATGGTGTTTGATCTGCAGCGGATCATTGAGCAAGGTTCGGGTGCCCAAGTCTACGGAGTACAGATTAATTAGGGACCCTATAGTAGTTCGTGTTAGTTTCTTTCCTCGGAAGTCTTTTGGGTGCCTCTATTGCTCATTATTGTTTGAGGACAGGAGACAGGACACGGAGAGAATATAATTCCGACATTGCCAAGTCTACTTGTACATCCAGCTTCCTTACATGGCGCGGTGGAGATCGAGGCTCTCCTAACGACCGATGGTCTGCCTAGAGCGATGTTGATCTTGCATTCCGTATGTAGGGAGGAGTCTTGGCTGGTGATCCTGAGGGTACCAAGTGTTCTACAGACCGTACGTGGCGATCACGTTGCTGGAATGCGTCCAATGGTGGTCTGTCCTGCAATCTAGGTTGTCGGCCTGTAAGACAGACGACTTTGCACAGCAGGCTTGGGGCGTGCTGGAATGGGGGCTCGTCAGTGGACGCTCAGCACCATCCGGGGGAGATGGAAACACAGCAGTGCTGGGGGGAGGTGCAGGAGAAAGCCGCCAAGACGGGATGCAGATGATGTGTTCCCCGTACGGAGTAAGGTAGATAGTGAAGGTGGAATGGAGGCTATCGGTGATTGATATGATGATCTGCAAGGGTTGCCTAGATAGGACGGATAAGAAAGGAAAGCAGAGGCAGAGAAATGAGACTGGATTCTGGAGGAATGCGCTATGCTGTACGATTGCTTGGCGATTGTCGACTATCTAACTATGTACTTGTACCTCGTAGCGTGGACAGGAGATCCTCTGTCATCTGGAGTACGGAGAGACGGAGATGGACAAATCGGGAAGTGAGATATGTATCTCCACGGATTCCGACTTCCAGGGCCGATAGACGACTGCAGCCATTGTCGGCAGGAAGGAGATATACTCCTGTCGAAGATGGAGTAATAGATATTGATCATGGAATCTGGATGACTGATCGTCGGTTGACGCGTTGGGGGGAGAAGTTTGACGTGCGCGTGACCAGTGGAGCCTGTTCTGATTGAGGAAGGGCACATTTGTTCTACTGTCCAGAAATAATAATAACAATTAAAAAGGGTACTCCGAGAAAAAGAAAAAAAGAAAGCCGGTGGGGGCCCAGATCCGATGACCCGGTGGATCTGGTGGGCCAATCTGGATGAGCAGCCGTTGTCCCTGTACTTACGGACTACATTGATCTTTTCTCCTTATGCTTTATTTTCAGATTGTATTCTTTTTTTTATTTTGTAGGAGTATACGGAAGATATTCGACCCAGAGTATAAGTATACAGCTCATCTCCATCTCCCCGTGTAACGAACTGCCCATCTCCATCTACATAAATACCTAGGCATCCCCAGATCCCACCTTCTAGAACTCCTTACCCCTTCGAATACGGAACAAACCCTCCCGGCCCCTTGTCTCCGGACGGATTGATTGCCCCGGACTTGCTCGTTTAGTGCTTCCCGTTCCTATCGGCCCATTTGGCCTCCCCACACCACCGACTGGAAGATCGCCCACTGCTTGTATGGTTCAAGGTTGCTGGCCATTTATCCGGTCGAGTCACCCCCTCCCCTAACGTTGTTCACCGGACTTGCTTATTAAAGTCCCCCCCTCCATCCCGGACAATTCCCTTTTTCATCACTTTCTTCCTGTCCCTCCCGACAACATACTCTCTTCTTCCCCACCCATGCCGGAAGGTGAACTATGGTCTTCCCTAGTCACTGCCATCGACCCCGGTAATATCAAAGCCATGCCGGCTGTCTTACAGTCCACCATTGATCTCCTAGAGACCGAACTGGCCAAGGCCAGGGCCGCTCTCAAAGAGATCCAGCCCAATGCCGCTCCCATCTATATCCAAGGCGATGATATCGCCCCCGGCGCCGTGGCCGCCTACCGTCAGAATCTGATCGGCCGCGCTCCTGACTTCTTCTATGGCTCCCGTCGCTTGTCGCCCAAGGACGTCGGCCTGGTTCCGGTCGTGAAGGAGATCCAGGTCGACGAGGTCGAGGTGGAAGAACCCCGCCATGAACCCACATATACCATCACGGTGATTCCCCCCAAGCGCGCATCGCTGGTGGATATCCTGTCCAACAGCCTCATCCTCGACCATATGGCCCCGTACCTGTCAGTTCCGTCCTTGTTTGCCTTGGCATCCACCTCGCGCCATCTTCGAACCATGGTCATGGCCACCCCGTATGTCTTTCGACACCTCGATCTTTCTCAATGTCGTGGCGCACATCTGTCCGACACAGCTCCGTTAGACTCGGGGGGTCAGGTCTGGAGGAGTGAACGGATGGACGAGTCTTTGACGGAGGACGAATTCTACTCCGGACCGTTGCGGGGAATCTTCGCCAAGTTGGAGCGGCAATCGATTCTACAAGACGTGCGCACTCTGGTGCTGGACGGCTTATCGGTCCCAGCGGATTTGGTTGCGGATATCATCCTGACGGACCGCTTCAACATCAATATCCTGTCCATCCGGGACTGTCGCCACCTGAACGAGCGCAAACTGATGCAGGTTCTCCAGTATGCCGTGCGGCCGTCTCGCCCCGAAGGAACCCCGCGAGTGAAGGGTATCTATCATTTTACCCCAGTAGCCCATCCCCGGGCCATGGTGAGGAGCAAGTATCGTGACTGGTGGAGCTCCCGATGCGCGCCAACCGCAGCAGAAGAAGAGTCGACTCCGTCCGAGGACGAGCAGCCGTGGTTCCGCCAGAATGCGTGGTACCGCCCTTCCGGGAAGCTCTTCCCTCGCACCATTGAAGACGGCTGGGCTCAGACAATCCAGAAGTGTGAGGGAATCATCGCGTTTGATGCAGTTTTATGCCGGGGGCCACGGCACTCTCCCGATTCCCACATCCCCGCTGCTCAGAACCAGAATGGCCAGGGACCCGAGAATCAACTTCTCGGCCCAGCGATTGCAACCGTTGCGTTAGGTCCGCAAGGATGCGACGGGTGCCATACCTCGCCTGAAGGCCCGGCAATCTGGGGACAGTCGCCTGACTCGCAGTTCCCACTGCTGATCCCGCCCCCATTCCATTCATCCGCCGTATCAGCCGCCAAGCGGCCCGCTCTGTTCCCTGATGAGCATCCGGTGCTGATTGCTCGCTGTACGGATTGTCTGACCGACCGCTGGTGCCACCGCTGCCACAAATGGTTCTGCAATACTTGTTTGCCTCGTCCGGAACGGGCGGAAATCAACCTATCACCTCACCAGACTGCCGTCCGGGGACCTCGCAGCAGCTCTGCGGACTCGGAGAGAAGTGTATGTTCTTGTCCTGGTATTGTAGCTGCAAATGACACTAACTTGGCATGTAGAGGCTTGAATCTGGAGTGAGTAAGGATTGCTGGGAATGTGGACCGACTGTGAGTGAGGCCTCTTTTTCATGACATTTCCCGACTAACGAGTCAGTGCGCGGCCTGTAAACTTGAATGTCAACGCACATGTCAGAATTGCCAAGGGGATTATTGTGTAGAGCACAACGAGGGATGCTCTCCAACCATGGTAAGTCCAAGCACGATATATAGAGTCGACAGCCACTGATGAAGTTAGTGTGACTGGTGCAATACTAGTGCACGACATCGCATGAGGGAGCTCTATTGACAGCTGAAGAAACTCCTTTATTTCGATCTTGACCTAGACGAGGAGCAGGATCTCCGGGGGCGGTCTTGGACTGTCTACGATGCTATGATATTCCTTAAAGCGCAGCGAGTCTTTTGTAATCAGTTATCAGTCAATCATCTCCACTGCTACTGTTATGATCAACAATTCGAGTAGAACCGTCGGGTATAGATATAGATCTGTACTATGTCATCGGATGACAAATCGGGCGGTAAGTTCCAGAACGCCCGCGGAGCTTCTCCAACTTCTCACCTCAACATCAATTAAGATGATTCCCCTCGCTCCCCTCCCTTGACCCTGCTCACAATCCCCGCGCAATCATGGCGACGGTACACGACACTCTGCGCTGGTCGTCGCAGTTCACCGTCACCCCTCCACAGCGCACGCCCAAACTCCCCGGAGACAAGATCATCCTCCCGCAATCCGCGCTCGAGCAGCTCCTCGCCGCCGCCCCGCTACAAGAAGTCTCACCGCAGGGCACGAGCACGCCCCCTCGTCCGTACACAAGCACCTTCGACCCGTTCAACCCGCACACCTTCGCCGCCGAGACGCACGCGCGCGAACGCGCCCTCGACCGCCAACATCACCTCCCCCACCCGCTCACCTTCCGCATCGTCAACCCGCTCAACAACCGCGTGATCTACGCGGGTATCCGCGAGTTCTCCGCGACCGACAACGAAGTATGTCTGAGCGGGGTGCTGCGGGACGCCCTTGGGATCGACGATGCGCGGCCCGCAGAGGCCGACGATGCGACGGGCCCGCCGCCGACGGTGACGGTGCATGCGCAGCAGCTCCCGAAAGGCACGTACGTGCGACTGCGGCCGCTAGAGGCCGGGTACGACCCGGAGGACTGGAAGGCGCTGCTGGAGCGGCATCTGCGGGATAACTACACGACGCTGACGACGGGGGAGGTGCTGGATGTGTCTGGGGGCCGGGAGGAGTCGTTCCGGTTTCTGGTGGACAAGGTCGAGCCCGAGGGGGATGGTATCTGTGTGGTGGACACGGATTTGGAGGTGGATATCGTTGCGTTGACAGAGGAGCAGGCGCGCGAGACGCTGCGCAAGCGGCTGGAGAAGGCGTCGCGGGCGCCGGGCACGAGGACCGGGTCCTCGATTGGCGGGGTGCTTAGGGTGGGGGAGGAGGTTGCGGGACAGGTTGTGCCTGGAGAGTATGTCGACTACGAGGTTCAGAAATGGGACCGAGATGGGCCTGTGAGCGTGGAGGTGGAGGGCGTCGAGGACGCGGAGGTGTACCTGTTCGTCAGTCCGTTGTCTGCGCGGCAGAGGAGTCGACCGAGGGACGATGAGCATGTGTTTGGCGAGTTCTCCAGCCGCGCGTCGAAGCGCATCAGCATTCGGCCGACGAATGTGGAACTGGAGGGCGCGGAGGCGCTCTACATAGCTGTGCATGCGCCTTCAGCTTCGGATGATACTACAGAGTCGACGTCGCCTGTACGGTATACGCTGCGGGTTGGAACGGCGTCCGACGAGGAGCAGACAACAGAGACGGGGGAGACTCATGACCCAGAAGACGTCCAGTGCAAGAACTGTCTCCAGTGGGTGCCCCAGCGGACGCTGATGCTGCACGAGAACTTCTGTCTCCGAAACAATGTGGTCTGCACGCAGTGCCACAACGTCTTCCAGAAGAGGTCGCCCGAATGGCAGAACCACTGGCATTGCCCCCATGATTCATCCCACGGCAACGATGACGCCAGCAGGCACCGTCACGACAGCATCTTCCACACGCAACGATCCTGTCCCGCCTGCGGCGTCTCGACCAACGGCCTCCCCCAGCTCGCCCGTCATCGCACAACAGACTGTCCATCCAAGCCGATCCTATGCCAATTCTGCCACCTGGTCGTGCCCCAAAAGAGCGAGACCGACCCGGACCTACACGACCCCGAAGTCCTCGTCTCCGGACTCACGCCTCACGAGCTCGTCGACGGCGGCCGCACAACCGAGTGCCACCTCTGCAACAAGATCATCCGCCTACGCGATATGAAGACCCATCTGCGCCACCACGACCTGGAGCGACTCTCCCGCCCGACGCCGCGTGTCTGTCTGAACCAGAACTGCGGCCGCACGCTGGACGGCCGGGGCGCCCAGAGCGCCGTCAGCCCGGGCACCGACACCCTCGGCCTGTGCAGTATCTGCTTCGGGCCGCTGTACGTGGACACGTACGACCCCGAGGGCAAGGCGCTCCGCCGCCGCATCGAGCGCCGTTACCTCTCGCAGATGATGACCGGGTGCGGGAAACCCTGGTGTCAGAACGAGTATTGCAAGAACGGGCGAGTCGCGCGGGGCGGAGCGGACGCGGCGCCGTCGGCGAGCGCCGCGAATATCCTCGCCTCCATCCGGCCGCTGGTCTCGGCCGTCATTATCCACGGTGACGTGCCGAACTCGGCGCCGTTCTACTTCTGCGCCGATCAGGCGGGCCAGCAGCGCCGTGTGCTGGCGGAGATGATTGCTGCCGAGGACGCTGCCGCCGGTGGCAAGTCGTATGACCTGCCGTGGTGTGTTGCTGCCGTGGAGGCGACCGGAGGGGATATAAGCAAGGCGCGAGAATGGCTTGAGAACTGGGCGCCGACCAAAGGCGAAGGCGCAGCAGAATAATAATGAACAAGACGTCATGACGTAGATTACGAATCCAATAGTTCCAACACAATACAATATCCAGTATATAGAGCGTGATTCATGATATTCGTACAGTAATGCTTGCTTGCATGCTTGCTTGTCAACCAACACAAAATCCTATCTAACCGCAGCCCACTTCCACCCATCAAACAGCCCCCGTCTTCGCCGCAAGGGTCCCGCTCCCCCTAGACGAGAAAATGCCCATAATACCAAAAACCACATAAAACAACGCCAGCGGGTACGCAACCAGCCCCCTCATACCGCGCATGCGCGCCACCGCACAGAACATGCCCGACGAGCTATACGTGCACCACCCGACCGCCGCGGTCGTCAAAAGATACCCGAACATCGTATCCATGGGGATCAAGATACCCACCAGACTGGTCAGGACGAGCGGCAGGAAACAGTACCCGAGGACGCTGGCGGAGCGCGGGAACGTCAGGGTGGCAGAGAAATGGCCGGCGGCGGACGCGTCCGAGAGGGTCGGCTTGTGATGGGGATCGTAGTTTGCCGGGTCGGCGGCGTTGGGAGAGGGGCTGGGGGCGTCGAGGGCGGGCGACATGAGGCTGAGGATGAGGTGGAGGGCGACAGTGCCGAAGACGGCGACGCCGTAGATGTAGCCGTAGAAGACCTTGCCGGAGAGCAGGAGGAAGGTGCCGTAGAGAACGATGTAGAGCAGGGCGCCGTAGAGGTCGCTGTCGTCCATGAGGTGCTGGTCGATGCGGGCGAAGGGGTTGAGCACAGTCAATGTCTGATCAGGGTCAGCGAGTCTATTCCCCATTTGTCTGTTTAACTGTAAAAACAGGGAGGCTGTACCTTCGTCCGGATATGCTCGAAGTTCACCCCCAGCTCCTCCAGCAACGGCGGCTCGCCGTCGTAGCCCTCGGTGCCGAACGCCGCGAGCCATCCCGTCCGCAGACCGCCTTGCTCGCCCATCCGACCGCTCACTCCTGCGGCGGGGGATCCGAAGCCACCGTACGCAGCGCCTCCGACGGGGTAGGCTGGCGCGCTGGGGTTGGGGGCGCCGAAGCCATAGGAAGCTTGGGACGGTGTTGTATGGCCGGAGACGCCGCCGTACGACGAGGGGTAGAACTGGAGGTTCTGGGCCGAGGCGGAGGCCTGGCCGTAGGACTGCTGTGGGTAGTACTGGGCCATTGTGGAAGATAGGAGTGGGGAGGAGAGAGAGAGAGAAGAGAATAGGGAGAAGAGGACAGTTGAACGAGCTATGCGGAGGGACACTGGGAGAAAGTGATGACAGGCGGTGTGCTGACTAATATGGTGCCTGGGGAATCTACGTAGGTACAGGTAGAGCACACCAGTAGTATGAATAGATGCTTGGTGTACATGATACTTCTAGTAACTAGATGTTCGTGTCTACTGACGCGACCAAACTCCGTGCATGATACTCTTCAGGGAGATATGTACAATACAAACACCAGCTTCTATTTAGCTGTATCGCAATAACATCATTCAACCACTATTTTAAAGGAAATTAATACCAACCCCAAACTGCAATCCCTTCCGGTGATCCTCGCCCTTCCGTACCACTAGCGGCACGGAGAAGTTCAGTTCGAACCGCGCAACGGGGTGAGCATACACCAGTCCAACACCGGCCGCAACGCTAGGCAGGCCGTTTCCAATCTCCGAGATGGTGGAAATCATCGCGTCCTTCACCTCTCCACTGGTAGTCGGCACGTCCTTGTTTGCAGTGCGCAGAGGCAACAGCCGACCGCCGTTCATAAAGAGCTGAAGGCGCAGGGGGTTCTCGACACCCACCCGGGGGAGAGGGAGCATCAGGTTGGCGCTTCCCGCCGCATACACATCCCCGCCAACGGCGTCCGCTCCACTGTGGGGTCCAAGGCCGCAGAGACGGAAGCCACGGACATCAGTCGGACCACCAAGGACGAACCGATCGTTGACGCGAGAGAGCTGAGGACGGGAGTCGGAGTCGAGGCCAAGAGGGTAGAGGAGACCGGCGCGGAACCCGGTGCTAAAGGACACGCCACTGTCACCCTTGACGCCCGGAATTGGAATCGGCACAGCACTCTGCGTTTCAATCTCGGATTTCCAGAACGACACATCGCCCTTGAGCGGACCCCAGCCCGCCAATTCGTTGAAAGCCTTGGCATAGTAGCCGCGGGTGGGAAGAAGCGCGTTGTCCCGTTTGTCCGTGGTCCAGCTGTGGAAGATGCTGCTCTTAACACTGTCTCCTGCGTCGGCGCGCACGGTGGGGGATGCATTCTCGGCCAGGCCGGTCATCTGGCGCCAGAAGCCACTGTAGCCAACCTCTTGGCGACTGCCGGACTGGCTCATCCACCGAAGCTTGCTCCAACCGCCCTTCAAGACCTCCTCATGGCTAGCCCAAGGCTTCTGCGTGGCACTGGCGATTCCGCCCAGCTCGAAACGGAAGTCCGGGTCACTCAGGATTGGAGTTTCGAAGGTAGCCTGGTAGGCCGACTTGGTCCGGGTGCCCAACGAGGCGTTTAGGTTGAGGTTTTCCGCGCCTCCGAAGACATTGCGGTACAGAAGGTTACCGTAGGCAGATCCCTCAGTGTTTCCGAGATCAGTCCCGGTCTTCAAGAGGATGCGGGGCTTCTCCTTGACGGAGACATAGACATCAAGGTTCGGAAGGCCGGTCCTCACATCTGCGTCGGGGGATTGATCCAAGTACACGGAGACTGGCTGTTGGAAGATATCTAACGCGACCCGTTAGCTGGGTAGTAGGTGGCTAACAATCCCGGAGCTACAAACCAAATCTATTAAGCTTGTCCGCCCGTGCCGAGACTTCCTGCAGGGCTTCGGAGAGCGTGTAGGCTTTCTTTTGATTGACGCTTAAGAGAGGATTGAATATACGTTCCAGAAAACCTCTGCGAGTGTGGGTGGCATTGAGGACCTGGATCGAGGAGATGGCGCACGGCAGGGTGGAATTCTGGTCGATCTGATATCATAGATACTGTTAGCTCTCTAGATGTAGACCGGCGCCAGGAAGGGGGTGAAAAGCACAAAGGGAAGAGATCCCATACCAATTCACCGAGGCGCAATTGTGCTTTTTGGTAGATCGCACGCATCCGTTCGTTGACGGCCTGCTGCTGTTCTTCCAGCACCTTCGGATCGGCGCGCTGCTGAAGGCGCTCGAAGATCTAGCCAATACAAGAAACCGTTAGATAAAGTGGCCTTGCGGTGAACCAAAGGACCTATGGGATGTACGTACGCCTTCATCTTCGGCAGACAGTGGGGAGGACATTGCGGCGGCTGCAATGGCCAGGAAACCGTGGAAGACGTTCTCGGGTATCTTCGCGAGTCGCCCGGAGCTTCGCGAAGATGAGGCCATCCCCCGGGCACGTGACCCGCCGCCGACGACTTTCTTCCTCCTCCACGTCAGAGTCCTTCGTTTCACATACACCGTACCTTGACGTCGCACTCTCGACACGCAGGCGATTGACCAGTTTGGCGTGAGGCTGATAAAGACAAGCATTTGGGCCGGATTGTTGGGAGATACTCCAGTCTTGCCATCCCAATCTTACACTTCCAATTTCCCCGATATCCATACCGCAACGAAGATGGCGACCAAGGCGGCGTTTAAAAGAGTCAGTTGGTCTTCATTCGTGTGAGGCTCATGTAAGATACTGACCGCATACAGCTCACTCGCGAGTACCAAAACATCCAGAAGAACCCCCCGCCGTTTATCATCGCGCATCCGTCGGAATCGAACATCCTAGAGTACGAAGTTTGCAGAACCTTTCTTTGAAACGACGTTGACGAACAATCTACTAGGTGGCATTACATCCTCACGGGCCCTCCTGGAACGCCGTATGAAAATGGACAATACTGGGGTACCCTGATGTTTCCTCCGGAATACCCATTTGCGCCCCCGGCAATCCGCATGCATACTCCTAGTGGGCGTTTCCAGCCCTCGACTCGACTCTGTCTCAGTATTAGCGACTTTCATCCGAAATCCTTCAACCCCGCATGGGAGGTCTCGACCATCCTGATTGGACTGCTCTCGTTTATGACCAGCGAAGAAATGACAACCGGGAGCGTGAGTGCCTCGGAGGCCGAACGGAGAGTGTTGGCGGCACGGTCGCGATGGTGGAACTCCACTGGCGGTGGCTCCCACGTCTCGTCGACCCCAGGAGTGACACCCACGGCCAAGGGAATCAACAACGTTAAAGCTGGTGACGGGGGGCTGAAATTCCGTACCGAGTGGCCTGAGCTGGACGAGGAGAACTGGAAATGGATGAAAGATAACCGCATTGATACGACCACCGGGCAATTAATCCCTGATCCGAATGCCGCCGCCACCAAATGCTCGCCCGAGACGAATGCTCTCCGCCGACGTCCCAACGGCAGCGCGCCAGGAATCGGAGCCGTCGTGGAGGGTGGCCAGGTCGCCAGAGAGGCCGGACAGAGCTGGGTTCTGCGCAATGGACTTTGGATTGGCCTTGCGATCGTCTTTGGGTATGCGCTTGTGACGAGATTGGTCCATGATGTCCAGGTTTAAGCCGTCCTTTTCCGTCTTGGGATTTTGAGATCTCCGAAGCTATCTGGAAATGGCTTGGTCTTTGTCTGGGGCTCAATTTCTTCGCCTTCCTTCCATTCTCTCACCATCTTTTCTCCGATGGCTTCTTTTCTTTTGTCTTTTAATACCATTGTTTCTGTTCTACACCATCTTTTGTTCTCCTGTTCTCCTGTTCTCTGAAGATTGGGCATTTCGTGTACGTACTAGGCATATTACCAAAGACCAAGGCGTCTTGACGAGCGGGCGTTTAGGAATACAAGATACTCCATTTGTTTTGGGAAGAAGAATCCGAGTAAGACCTACATAGTGAATAGTGAACGACATCATTGTCTCCGGCGCAAAATGCGGGGGCCCTTCTAGACTAGACTGTTTTCTGGCCCCCCGCGGCTGAGCGATTCCGCATCCACGGATCTGCTCCCCTTTTTACTTTGCCATCTCCTTGCCTTCACCTCCGAAAGTCTCTCAGCACCATCACCGAATGCACTATCGTTGAGCTCCTCTCCTCGGCATCCGTCACTTTTCTCCGCATCGATTCGACTGGCGATCAATCGCCTCCATCTTGCGATCGATCCATCTCCGCCACGAGGAATGGAATGGCTGCACACTGGCCCATCCACGAGAGTGCCGACACTGCACCAGAGCTCGTAGTGTGGCTTCGATCCTTGAGAGCCTGACAATCGAGGCTCATCGACCATGGATCGTCCACGCTCGTCGACAAATATCCATAGGGCTCATCAATACGGTTCAGGTGGGTGGGTTGACGTTATCATCTCTTCAAATCACCAGACAAAACCAGACTTCGATTATCGCTGGGTCCTTTAATCAGATGGTTCTGTTTCTCGGGGGGCAACACGTCCCAGGACTTTATGCGTCGAGAACAATCTATCCTTGCGTACAAAAACGCGGCGTACGGGTCACATCCAGTCTTCGTACTTTTTTCTTCTTCGCTCTCCCACTCTCGCCTCATACTTATAATTCACTAACCATGAGTGCCTAGGACTTACATCACCAGTTATGGCACCGACAAACCAGCCGACGTTCACTTTTATCGATCATGACGACGATTTGAGCTCCAAGCGCATCAACGATGCCAATGCCCGCAGGGCGATCCGGTCCCACGTGATGCGTGATGTGCGTAGACGCGAGCGAATTGCCGGATTAAGACGAGTTTCAAGACGCGGCAGCCGTGCAAGGAAGAAAGAGACCCCGTTTATGCAGTCGAGCGGCCTGAACTCGTCCGAACACATCTTGCCTCGGAGACGCGCATCCGCAAAAACAGAGCCTGTAGGCAACATGATCGTATTACACCAGCAGCCACAATGTCGGGCCTCCAGCAATATGGCGTCGTCTGCATCCTCTTCGAGTCCTGAGCCACTTATTGATTCTGGTCTGGCGCCGTCGCTTCTGGATCCGTTCGTCTCATTGCCTGGAGCAGAGATGTGCACTGATATGGTCAACAAACTAGTTTTCTATTGTAGGTACCCGTGTGTACGATGGATATCCGGAGGCCCTCTGTCTCAACGTACATCTTAGTCCAGCAAAACTGACACGTCAATCAAAGGGAAAACCGTCTTCATTCCGATCACGTTCCCAAAGGAACATAAGCTCACCGAACAGTTCAAAAGAGGTCTCTTGGTTCACACCTCATTCACCGATGCGGGCAGTTTCTTCGGTCTGATGACCATGTGTGCTGCCCATCGGGCTATCATGGCCGGGCGGCATTCAGACCTACAGCGCGCTTCAGAGAGCACGAGCCATCCGCTCTATGACCAAGACTACTATATCATGAAGGGAAAATGTATAGCCGAGATGAGCGCGAAGATTCATGATTCTACAAAAGTGCTGAGCAATGAGGCGCTTGGTACCATCCTCAACCTTCTGTCCGGTTCGGTATGGCATTATGTTCCCACGTATCGAAATATCGGTGTAGACCATCCTTGCTAATAGCCTGCAGCTTATAGTCGGTCTTTTTGACGAAACACGGATACACCTCCGTTGTCTCGAACACATGGTAGAGTTGCGAGGGGGCTTAGTTGATTGCCGCGAGGAGATGACTCCGTTAAAGGCTGCTGTCCTGATGTATGTGTGCCGAAACCGATCGATTGCATGGCCCAGACTGATCAACATGTCCAGGACTGATGTAAAAGCTGCAACGGGTCTGATGACAGACACAGTCTTCCCCTTAGTATGGAGTCCCAATCCGGTCCCGGCCGACGTGAAACGCCGGATAAGTCCTCCAGATGGGTCGTCACTGAAGAACCTGGGAATTGCCTTCCATAAGATACCTATTCTCAGTCGCCCGCTATTGAGGATTCTCGACGTGATGACCGACATCATCTTTTACAGCCATATGTGCAAAGAGTCTCCGTCAGCACTCAGCGATGACGACCATGACTTCTTTCGTAATCTGAACCGCGAAGTGGAGCACCTGCTGCTGAGCTATGTACATACGCAGGAAGACGGTCAGAATACGCCCTTCCCAGGGTCGAACCCAGACCCTCTTCCTCTGGAGACTGTGACCCGGGTTGCTGCGATCTGCTATCTCAATTACTTCCTTATCAAGCTGCTTCCGTCAGCGGGACTCAGCCGTGCGCTCACAAAACATCTAAAGAGCGCCCTATCTCACAGCAGTCTACAGTCATCGCCCAAAGAATACCATGCGCTGGTGGCATGGGCCCTGTTTATTGGTGGCCAGGGCTCGATAGCGCAGGTGGAGCGTCCCTGGTTTGTCGAACGCCTCGCTCACATATCACGCAGCTGCAAGTGGCACAACTGGGGCCAGGTTACTCGTGTCATGGGAGAATACTTCTATCTTCCCAGCACCAACGAATCGATCTGGGCGACGGTCTGGGATGAGGCTATGGCGGTATTAGCTCAAGAAGACAGCACGTGAGGCCTTCTCCATAATGTACCACATTAGGCGCTTGCTCTTATAGATCCTGTATATACCTGTATGCATGGGAAATTGGCCATAGATCTTTACTTAGTGGTCTTTGTATAGGATTGCCTGGCGTAGTAAATCCGGCATCGTTGATTGGCCGATAAGGCCGGAATGTCACGTGGGATAATCGGCGGGAATTTTCCGGCGGCGCATAAAAATAATCGGAGTGATGAACTCATACTGTTCATCGGAAGATTCTACGCCTTTTTCACTCCATACAGCCTTCCTCCCTCTTGTCGCACGTCCACTCTGCCTACCTCATATCCTGATTACTGCATCTCCACCATGGGTTGGTTCTGGGCAGACACCGCGCCGAAGCCAGCAATGCCTGCGACTCCGAGCCACATGTCGGCCTCTCCGGATGCCACTCCTCCTGTCAGTAAACACATCCTCAACCAGAGTCTATCTAATTCTGACCTTAAACAGCCTGCCTGTCCCATGCATGCATCCAACACACCACCGGCATCCTCTACATCCCCGAGCGCTTGCCCCATCCCACCCGAACAGCGCTCCGTCGACTCGCCATTCTTCGTTCCCCCGAAGCCCAAAACCGAGACGCCCACACCCCCCGCGGCCCCTGCGGCCCCCAGCAAACCCTCAACACTATCCAAACTCAACCCCCTCAACTACATGTTCTCCTCGATTTCCCAGGAGCGCGCCCCTAACCAAACCGTCGATCTCCCCATCGACCGCGAGCCGTCATCCATACCGCGCGGCGACACTGACGGCAACTGGGAGTACCCGTCGCCGCAGCAGATGTACAACGCGATGCTGCGCAAGGGGTACACGGACACGCCGCAGGACGCGGTCGAGGCGATGGTGGCCGTGCACAACTTCCTGAACGAGGGCGCCTGGGCCGAGATCGTCGGGTGGGAGCGCATCTTCGCCCGCGGCCTGGCGCACGGGTGGGAAAAGTGTCGTCGCGGCGAGGAGAATATCGCTATGGACGCAATGCGGGACGAGATGACCGGCGCGGCGGATGCTGAGCCCCAGCCCCGGCTGCTCCGGTTCCAGGGCCGGCCGAAGGAGTTGACGCCCAAGGCGCGGATTCTTCAGGCGCTCGGGTATGTGTATCCGGCGAAGTTTGAGTAAGTTCTTTTCCTTTCCCTTTTTTGCGCGGAGATGTGGTGTTAATGTGTTCAGGTCGAACCCTCCTTTCGACCGCCATGACTGGTACGTGCTGCGACAGACGCCGTCCGGCCCGAAGGAAGTCCGCTACGTTATCGATTACTACTCCGGGCCCCCGGAGCCCACCGGCGAGCCTGTCTTTTACCTTGATATCCGGCCCGCGTTGGACTCGCCGACTGCCGCCGTGGAGCGCCTGATGAGATGGGGCGGCGATGTGTGGTGGCGCGCCAGCGGTGCTGCCGTTCGCGAGAACGGAAACTGAGCGCTCGGTGCACTGACTTGGCCTGAATCTCCACTCTCGATACTTCTATCAGCACGGCGCGGGCGTCTGGCGGCTTCCATCCATACTGTGGGCGAATTGCTTTGCATTTGGGCATTGTATTATTATGGACTTTTCTTAAGTTGGCATTTTGTAGCCTTGGATAATGGGTTGGATGATAATGAAGCATTGTGTCTATTGTTGTATTATAGTTGCAACCAGTTCATCACATATTTACCTGGCAAGAATTACCTTCGTAGGAGTTGAATTATGAACTATTAATGTACATATTTGCATTCATGCTAATCACATCATAAACAATCGTGACAGGCTAATGACCAGGGGTACGCCAAACAACCGCCCACACCTATACAAATCTCTATCTCGAATCGAGTCAGGCCAAAGCACTGATAGGTCTAGTCTAGCCCAATGCCAAGCTTCGTGGTTGGTCCTCCTTTTAGATATTGGGAGATAAGAGATCGTATTTGACACATTGTTCGACGCTCTCAATGCTGGCTCGAAGGAGGCCACGCGCTTCCAGACCAACCCACACGCGCAGCATGGACGTGTCGCCCGATCGGATATTCTCCAAGAACGTATGGCTGGAGCCAAGGGCTCTCAGAATAGGAAGAGCACTACACAGTTAGCAGAGCGTACACAGTATAGAGGAGAAGATGTACTCACCTCTTGAAGAGATCAAGATCCGGGTCCAGGGTCCGTCCGATCCCCTCGAGCAGGAGTATGGAGATGACCACGTTGACGAAATCACCCTCAAGTCGTACGTGATGGTCGCGGACCATGGAGAGCACCTTGCTGAGGATATCTCCGATCTTCACATTGCCCAATGCGAATGTTCTTGTCTTGACGCTGAGGACGAGGTTACCCATTCGTTCCGCAAACACTTCCTGGTCGATCACCTCGTCTGGTTGGCGACACCGTTCGACCATGAGCTGGCCTGCGCGGTACCCGTCGAACTCTGCGACAGCACGGAACAGATCGAGGAAGTTCCTGCGGTTGGTGTTGTTCAGCTCGGTGACCAGGCCGGTGTCGATGAAGATCAATTGCGGGCGATACCCCTCCGCGTTCAACTGGTTGAGCGCCTTCTCCCACTCCTTTGGATCATGAGCATGCGGACGCAGTCGAGAGAGTATAGTCTCGGTGACGTCTGCTTCGGCAGCGGTTGGGGCGTCCGAGGCGCGGTCCGGCTTGCGGAGAGAAATGTCCAGTTCGCTGGGCTGGTAGAAGCGAACCATGATGTTGCCCGGGTGGAGGTCAGCGTGAACAAAGTTATCAATCAAGAGCATGTGAAGGAAGGCGTCTAGTCCTTCACTTGCAATCTCTTGCTGGTAGTCGCCGCCTCCCACTTCCAGGAACGTGGACAGCGGGATGCCATGGGCGAATTCTTCCACGAGCACCTCGCGCGTCGTATAATCCATGTAGGGAAAAGGGAACCACGCAGTGGTCCGGGACCTGAAGTTCTTGCGGAACTTATTAAGGTTGGAGGCTTCGATCCGGAGGTCCAGTTGCAGTTTCATCATTTCCCCAAACTGGTGGACTTCGTCCGGCAAAGACAACCAGTGCATCGTGGGGATTGCGTTGATCAGGGTCGCGAAGAACGACATGATCCTGAGGTCTCGACGGATCACGCGTTCCACCTTGGGGTGTAGCACTTTGATGGCCACGTAGGACGACGGGACGCGCCGGGGGCTGCTCTTCACCAGGACATCGACGTTCTTTCGGACCCGTTCACGCAGGCTTTGCGGTTCACCCGTGAGGAGCTTGCTGTCCGCCTCCGCGAGATTTGGCTTCAACTTTGCCTTGTACACCTGCGCAATGGCACCGACTCCAAGGGGCTCCTCGTAGAACTCCTCGAAGATATCCTCAAATCGCATCCCATTGAAGGCTTTGACAATGGTCTTCTTGGTGTCATGGAGAGAATGGGCAGGTGCATTAGAGTGCAGAGAAGACATGATCTGACACATTTCCGGAGGGAAGATATCGGTGCGAGAGGCAGCCCATTGTCCGAGCTAGGTCGTGTCAGCAACCAACCCCAGAACCAGGCGCTCTGGAAGAGTAGACATACTTTGATAAAAGCCGGCCCGGCACGCTCCATCGACCTGACCAGAAAGCGATACCACCACAGCGTGCCTGTGCGAACATCCTTGCGGCCTTGGATTCGTTTCCCTAGCCAGACAGCTGGGATGGTGAGGATGACGGGTAGGAAGACGACCGCCAAATGGACAAATCTGAAGCCCGTCGCAATAGGATCGTAGATATAATAGTACCAGAAGACAAACAGCCTCTGTCGCACCCTGGTGAGCCCTCGCGCATCCTCTGCGACAGTCTTCCGGATCTCTTGGCGCGACACCTCGAGCATCTGCATTTCGCCCGTCTTCTCACCCCCATCACCCTTCTCTGCGAGCTTCAAAAAGGCGCCGGGAGATAGCGAGGCAAGTAGTAACGTCCCCGCGATGGGGGCTTTCCTTCGTGATCGGCCCCATTGTCCTTGAGTCCATGATGGTACACGGCTGATGCGCAACCGCGGCGGAGGAACAATGCGGGAGGCTAGCTGCGGATTACCGCCACATCTGAGACAGAATCGTCCAAAAAGGACCGCCGTCCTCATGTTCTCATGCAGGAGGCAGGATATCGCCGTTTGGGAGAGTCATTCGTTCGCAGGATAGAGGGTAAACAGCGGCGTGGACATGAGGAGAGACGAGGAGCTCGGGTGATTTAGCGGAGTCGGTTCGGATGCACGTGCCGACGACGTCATCGCCTACTTGGTATACTCCGGAGTACAAACCGGACAAGATCAAGTAGAACGACGCAATCTCTTCTGACAGTCGTCAACATGGAGTGACAAGATTATGCAGAGATACAATAGTTAGAATCTGTGAGTAGGTCATGTCCCCACCCAAATCCCATGGGTATTGACACTGACGGAAAGGTTGTCTTGCAGTAAACAAGCGGATGTCAAGCTACATGTTTCCACGATTCCTCGCATTGCAGGAATCCAAGTCTACTCCGTACAGCCTACACCTACTGTGTAAACAATACTCACGTGTTTCCACGATCAACCCGCGCATTGCGCAAAGTTACACCATGAACGACCCACATTCCTGACGGTGGCTCTCGTGCGACTGATCCGGTCAAGTCATTCATTATTCAGCCCATGTTGACTGCTCGCGATGAGATTCTCATGAAATATCCGAATGCGGACATGAACAATGTCCTGCAGATTGGTCATTGTCCTAGCGTCGGTCTTAAGTCAACCGGCCCAGGCATTGTCGCCCTCATGGCTTCCTGGTACAATCTCGCAGTGAGTTGCCATGCAAGTAATCCAACATGGGTCGTCCTGAATATCAATATGACCTGGAAGCACGTCGGGAAAAGTCTACCCGAGATCCATACTGGATGTCTCCCATGATATGGAGCATTGTCAGCTCGATCTGCGTGACTGCAGTCTTCCTCGGGCTTTATTCCTCGTTCTCATCCTTTTTTGACCTGGGCATTCTCCCTTTATTCGCCCAACGATACTCTGCAGTCCCATTTCGCGCCTTTTCCAAGGGATCGGGATACCTCAGCAAACCCCATGATTTCAAGATCATCGCCGTCGTCCCGTTTTACTCGTCCGCGCGGACAGAAATCCTCGACTGCTACTTACAAGTCAGATACTTCTTCCCCCGCAAGAACACATGCTAATTAGGCCGAAGAAAAACCTAGCATCTAACCGCGGGTTCATCGACGAAGTCATCTTCTTCCCCAAGACCAACGACACGACAAACCTGAAATGGCTCGAATCCCTCATCGACAGCTCTCCCCAGTACACAACATCCCAACCCGGCAATGACGCCGCACACGGCGAATCGAACATGTACATCTGGATCGACGGCGACGTCGTCTTCCTAGAGGACCACACAATCCCCACGATCGTCAAGACAAAGCTCGACTACGCCGGTTCGGCCCTCGTTTCCGCGAACGTGGTCAACCAGGCGTCCTTGAAGACGCTACATAGCCACCCCGGGACCGCGCTGCCTTATCTCCCCGAGCTACCGCCAGCGCAGTCTCAGGAGCACGCTGCGCAAGACTGGCGCGTCGCTGACCTCCCCCGCTGGGAGGGACCGGCGAATTTCATAGCCAATGGGGAGTTCTCAGTACCACCGCACAGTCACCGCTGGCTTCTTGCGGATGAGGAGGACATGGATCGGACACCTATCGCTACGTCTATGTATGGCGAGGATGGTCCCGGGTTGGACCATTGGACCGTCCACGCGCAGCAGCATTACTCGTTCCTTTACCATTTGCAGGTGGGACATCTGTTTCGGTATAAATTCCCGATGTGGAGTAATCCCGTGGAGAGTATTAGTCCGAATTTGCTGTGTTTGCGGGGCGACGAGGATTTCAGCACGCTGCAGCTTTTGCTCAAGCAGAGTGAGTCGGGCGTGCTGGATTCGAGGACAATCCATGAGGCGTACGGGGACACACGCCGGATCATCATTGATGGGAAGGGGTTAGCCGCGCATTATTCTGGCGGAGATCCAGATGGTGGTTTAGATGCTACCGATGTTCTCCAGCGATATCGGCTGTACGCAAGGGAGTTTGTCTGCCCACAGACGTCTTAATGCTGAGATGCCTGCATCCAAATGTAAATACGTTAATGAAGTTGAATTGGATAGATTGTCTAGGCAAGTCTTCATGCATCCAAAACGTCCGCTCTATCTACGCTGAGCTGCTCTTCAAGTGCTGGGCGACATGCGTATTCATCAAAGTCTGAACAGTCTCTTTCCAGTCATCGGGAAGAGACACAGTCTAGAAGGGATATTAGAACGTGCCTAACCGCAACGAAGAAAGACATCTTACCTCATTCTTCAACAACTCCTGAACAAGAACAATGATATTATCACGATCCTTCGTCAACCGGAGTCTATCCGCTTCGTCTGCGGTCTCAGGATTCTCTCGCAAGACTTCCTCTATCAACGGAAGCAGATTCTGCTTCAGCAAACAGCCCACCACAGCCCCAGCTCCCAGTTCGCTCGACCCCATCAACGCAAGCGCAAACCAGCCCTCACTTCGCACAACAAGCCACTGCGTCTGGGCGATCATATCACCCAGCGGGAGCGCGACAGCGTCATGCATGCTAAATAAACGCTCAACCAGTCCCCGCGCGGCAGCATCCTCTTCCCGAGATTTCGGAATCACCGTCCGACATATCGACGCCACGATGCGCCCGATCTCAGTCTTGATGGGAGTCGAGTCTGTCTTCCCAGACAGCGCCAGCAACAGAGACAGATACGTCTGGGTCTGGTCCTCGGGGAGCGTCTCCAGCAAGCGGGTGATGTTCTCGACAGATGAGATGATCAGCTGGCGGGCGATGCTGGTTGCCGCGAACTGGACCTGCGGGACGGTCTCGTACGACCAGAGATGTGAGACGGCCGGGATGATGTCTGCTTCGCCCAGAGCCAGCTTGTTGTCGCCTGCGATTGCCAGGTTCTTCAGGAACCCGAGGGCGGAGTGGAGGACGGCGCCGCGGGCGTCGCTTTTGAGGATTTGGATGAGGTTCTTGTGGATTTGGAGTTCGCGGACCATCATTTCGCACACTTCGTCGGAGCGGGCTAGGTTGCCCAGCATCACGCAGGCGCAGATCTGGAGCTGGTCCTCCGGGGAGTTCAACCAGGTCTTCAGTGTCTGTGACAACGGCGAGCCGACGGGGTAGACGTCCGCGAATACGGGGGACGCGGAGACTTCCGAGAGGGTCTGGTTGATCTTTAAGCGCAGCTGTGCCAGGGCTTGGGTCTCTTCCGGGGCGAGCGGACCGGCTCCGATGTCCAGTGACCGTTGGAGCACGGACAACACGTCGCTCATCATGTTGTTCGATATGCAGGTGTCTTGGAATCGCTTGTTGTCCAGATACGCCGTCAGACAGTTGACGATGGTTACGAACTGGGAGATGGCGGGGGTGGCTTGCTTGTCAAGTGCAAGGTCTATCAGAAGAGAGATGGTTCCATTGGGGGATGCCTCGATCCCTTTTTCTGTGTCGGTCAGTATGGAGCAACATAGATAAGTGTTGTAAAATACCTTGTTCTGCGACTAATTCCATCAGCTCATAGGCAAAGGTGAGAAGGGTATCGTTGTCTTCAAAAGCGCCATCCTTTAGTAGCTTCAAAATGATATACACGATTTTGTTCGCAGCCACCTGCGACTGGGAAGGTTCTATGACTTGTTAAAAAATGGATGCCTGGCCTGGATTGGATACTTACCGTTATCAACGCAAAGGTTGTATATAACAGGAATCACCACTTTGACAAGTTCAGGGTTCCGCAGTTGCCGAAGAATGACAGCGGTGTAGTTGTCCTTTACGACGACGGCTCTATTATCATCTGTGAGTGTCAGAATGAGGTCGATACCAGACACACGGTATCAGACTTACCGGTATCCGCGCAGGAATTGCCCACTAGCCGCAAAGAATGAAGTCGGACGCCGGTATCAACATCTGCATTCGAAGAAAGCAGTTGAAGAAAGAAATTCAAGATCCCAGTCTGCCCGTATGGAAGTCGCCATGACGCTATAACATATTAATCAGATGAAAGACGACGTCAACGGGATACTCACGGTTTCGACTCCCGTTTGCCAACGCCTCCGCAGCCTGCGGCAGGTAGCGCGATCTGCAACTCCATAGCTTGGATAAGATGGTTGGGACGGTCTCCAGCGAAGAGAGATTGCCATCATCTGGGCTGTTTTCCGCTTCCATGAGGGCACTTTGCAGGGAGTTGAAAAGAGCTTGGTCTTCTTCGGATGACACTGACGTAGTGGCTTCATCTGATGATGCTGGAAGAGGGCCTAGGTCGGAGAGGACCTGGTCCAACGGAGGAAGATCCAATCCTCCCGAATTGGAGGCCGGTATATCCGAAACTGAGAGCGTCTGCTCCGCGGATGCTTGGTTTTGGTCACTCATCCCTTCTATGCTAGCCTGCGAGGTCAATATATGGTGGTCTATAGAGGAGGTCAGTCAATGTGTTTGCTGCTGACTCGACCAAACGTGTGTGGTGACAGACTCTCCGGACTCGGTCAAGAAGACACGCAGTACAAGACCTAATATCAAGTGAGAGTGATGGGATGCAGCACAGTCAAGAATCATCGACGGACTGAAGGTAGATGTTTGTGAGAAGTCCCGAGTGGACCAATAATGGTGATGGGTGTGGGCGGCCTGAGGCACCACATGAGGACATGTATAATTCGTAGTATACCACTAGAAGACTACCTCAGATACAGACAGGATGATACATTATCTACATTAAAAGATAATTATAGCATTATTTCCTCATAATAATACCCTTCTATCGCAATCCCAGGCTATAGTGGAATACGGCAGCCCCAGCGGCCAGGAGCGCATTCGGAGACGACAGGAGACCGACTTACCTAACGCGTTCAAAGGCCAGACCACCTCTCCAGTTCTCCAGTTCAGTTCAACTCTCCATTCCCACGTCCCTTCGCGTCTCTCTTTAACCCATTATTTCCTAACTTCATTCTAATTCCACAGCCATCCCATTCTCTAATTTGCTCAATTCAATCCCATCAACCATGACGCGCGCCCAACAGACCCTCTCCGTCCTCCTGCTCGTCTCCTCCGTACGCCAACCACCACCCTGAATCGCACCCACGCACCAGCTAACACCATTCTCTGCGACAGCTCTACCTCGTCCTCTACTTGGGCCTGGTCCCCCTCAATGAGACCGTCCAGAAGGAGGTCATCCCCGTTGTACGTCTCCGCATGCAATACACTGCCTCCCGCACACCCCACTAACACCCACTTCCCCCAGCTCCCCTTCTACGCCGTCATGTCATTCGGGGCCTACCTCCTCGGCCGACTGGGCCTGGCGATCCTGACCTTCAACGACGTCCCCGAGGCACACGCCGAGCTACAGAAGCAGATTGAGCAGGCGAAGACCGAGCTGCGCGCGCAGAATATCGATGTCGACTAAGCGGTTTCCTTTTTTTCCCGTCAGAATGTGTTGGTTTAGGCGATTGTTTCGATCGACTCTCGAGTCTATGTCAGGGGTAATACTGTCGAATGTTCTATATATACCAGAATCGTTAGGCGTGGCTCGGTACGATATCCGGCTGCGGTTTGCCAATTGATACCACATGATTTCCAACTCGTAAGGAACAGTGTAAGGGGTGATCGACTAGGAGTAGAAACGGACAACGCCGGGCTAGAGAATGAAGCGGTCTATGCATTGCATCGTTATGGCTAGTTCTCAAAATTGACTTTTTCTATCGGAGATCATCAAAACACCATTCATATCGTAACATGTGCACCGTGGCGCAACTGGCCAGGCGGGAGATTATGTGCAAGCTTGCGAAACCAGTATGCAAAGCAGGAAGCTGGATATCTAGATGCGCGGGAGTCGGAACCAGGAACGTAAGGATAAGGCTCTATTAGACCGCTCAGATGAGAGGGTTCTCGCTGGAGAGACGGTCGTGCTCGTCGATATCCCTAAACGAACAGCGATTAGCCACGAACTAAACTAGACATCAGGCGCGCGGTTAACATACTTGGCCTCCCAGGGATAGCAAATCCAGACGTCATCGGTCGTGAGGGCGGCGTGGTAGTGGCCCGACTCCATCATATCAGCGGGCAAGACGCCCTTCTTCGGCTTGTTCTTGTTCTGTGGCCAATATCAGTTCCACCCATCACGGCGTATGCTTCAAAGAGGGTATACGTACGTGGAGCACAAAAACGAAAAAGTTCGTCTTCTCGCCCTCGCGACCAAGCTGCTTCTGGGCCAGCTCGACATCCTTTTGGAGCTCGCGCACGGCGTACTCCAGGGTCGTCCGCGTGTCATCAACCTCGTCGACGATGAGAATGTTCTTGCCGATCAGGTTGGCCATCTCGAGGGAGCTGAGATCCAGCCACTGGGTGCGGGTGACCTTGGTGCCGGGGACCTCTTCGGGGTCGCCGCGGCCGAGGTCCTCATAGAGCGAGAGGCCGATGGCCTGGATGGGGATGTTGGGCTCGCCGGAGCGCTTGAGGAAGGACCTGTCCGGATGAGATTAGAGTCGGGCCGCGGGAGCGATTCTCGAGGCCGGTGTGGGCATACCGGAGGATACGGGCAGGGACATAGCCGCCGCCGCCGATGGCGATCATGAGGTTGGGGTGGAAGGCATTCAGGATGCGGTCGGCCGAGGTCTGGCACAGCTTGTGCACCTGTCAAGATCGGGGAATGTTAGCCAGGTCATCCGGTGCGATTGGTGGACCGTGCATGGATATTGCAAATGCGCCTGTCATCGGACGCCACAAACGTGCACTTGACTGTTGTCTGGTATGTATATGCAAGGTAGACCCTTTATTTGACAGTGTGTGCAGCGCTGGTGCAGTCGGTATGTGATGTATAGGTATGGCGGGGCAGCGTCGGAAAGTGAAATTTCGAGCGGGCGAACAATGAAGAGCATACCTGGTTGTAGGTAACGTAAATCTTCTGCGGCATTTTGACGATAGGGATTTGATCCTAATAAGAGTAGAAATCTGCCAGGAGATGCAAAATTCAGATCACCGCAAACGATGGTCTGACAGATCGAGAGCACGAGACGTCAAGTCAAGGCAGAAAAAGAATGGGGGCGACAGAAAAAAAAAAATTATCTGCGGCAAGAGGTTTAAGTTCCCGCATTCCATACGATGGATTTCCTTATCGGGGAAGGAATTATTTGACAAAGCCAATCGGAGGCTGATTTGCAGACACACTATTCCATCTTTGGAAATTGCCGGCTTTCAGAGTCTTGGCCACAGACATGATTGGACGCCATTTTTATGTCTGTGTTTCGTAGGAGAAAGTATGAAGACACAATTGAACAAATTCATGGGGTATATACATGCAACGCTCAAAAGCAGGTAAATGTATATAGATATCATCGTCAGACCCTACACTGGAGTCTGTTCCTCGTCGGATTCGGGTTTGATCTGATGCACTTCGAAGCCTCCCTCATCCTTGTCCTCACCCTTTTGAGGCCAAAGGATCTGCTTCAATACAATGGCCCGGACCATCATATAAAACACAAAAAAGTACATCAGAACAAGGAATATTACCATGGCACACCCGATGACCAAGATGGGTTTGCACGAAAAAGCTTTGCCAATAGCAAAGGTCGCAGTGACCAACGCCGTGTTGGGAAAAATAAACGAGAACCATGCCATGGAAAAGACCAGTCGACCCGGTCCAATGACGGACCAGTGGGCACCACTGGCGATGAAGAAGAAGAATATCGCCAGTCTAAACCATCAGTCAATGTCTTCAAAGAAGGTGTAGCGTGCTTACCCCCACAGCCACAAGGCAGAGAAATCAACCACGACTTTTAGAACGTCCGCAGCCAAGGCACCATTACCCATAAAATCGGCGGGAAAACATCGTTTTGCGTGATCGGCCATGTTCACAATCCCTGCCACGGTAAAGGCACTCGGACCAACGGACACGAACATTCCGGGCCGGACGTTCTCCCGGGGAAGCTTCTGCGACATCAGTCGGTAGATGAACGCCGAGTACACCATCAACGAGACCAAAAATCCGACCCCCTGGATGGTGGTCCCGCCGATGATAATGCGCAGGGAAATGAGAGGGTCAAGCTTTTCGCTGAGAATACCCGCATGAGGGCCGATGATGAGCATGGGGTAGGCTGGAAAGATCCAGATGGGAGTCATCTGGGCGATAGTGAAAGTCTGCGTCGACCACCTGATTGAATTGGGAAATAAGCGGCTGGAGATGTTTGGAGAAGTGTTCGACGTACAGCAGAAGATATATACCAGCAGAAAAGACTACCGCAAGACCGGCATCAATCCAAAACAGAAGTCGCACGGCCTCCGCAAGCCACGGCATGCTGTGGCTCGGACCATATTGCGAGATATTGATCAAGATTGTCCCAAAAGACACCATGGACGCAGGGACAAATAACGACTCGGTCGGGTGCAAAAAAGACGCTTTGAAGGTGTATGGATAAAAGTAGAACCGTGCAAGTAGCAGACCCCAGATCATCAGGTACAGCGCGATATTGAATATGAAGAATACAATTCCAATGGTATCCAATCCGCGAAATCGATAGGGTACTGCTCTTGGTGTCAGCACATCCCAATCCATTTTGAATGAGACGGGGGCAATACTATTATACAGTGCATTGGCGATACCGCCCGTGGCCATGGTCAGGGTAAAGAAAGCCCAAGTAATATGTCTAATTCGTTTCTTCCAGCTTAGGTTAGACGGGGAGTGCCCTGATTCGCTTCGGGGAAGAGTCACATCATCCAAACCAGCCTCATCCCCTTGGGGTTTGCGGGAAAACGTGCGGTACACATTCTCCAGAGCTGAAGTGTGGGCTTCGCTGACAGTGGCGCCAGCGGACGGGTAGGTGCAGAGGTTCTCATGCTGGAAGCTGAAGTCACGCTGGGTGTCCTCGATGGTGGGAGTGCGATATCCATCGTCCCCAGGACTCAACATATGTCTGGGAACTGGAAGTTCGAGATTCATTGTGACTCTTTACAGAACGATGTCACCATAGTTGCTCGGTGGCCCGTACTTCAGCTCGTCAGGGGATAAGGCTGGCTTTATTGTGTTATGAATGAGGTCGATCACCATAGCAGATTTCTGATCTGCATCAAGGAATGCGATGAGCGTGCCGAAGAAAGGAGAAGGGGATTCTTCAGAATGAAATAGTCTGGTAGACTGGCACTTTCATCGGCCAGATATGCAGGAGAACCTCATATACGAGATGGAGGTGAAACCTTCGATACCCGACTGCCCGTAGATAGATCGGAGCCAATGAAGAGGACTCGGGGGCGCCAGCCACTCCGATCCCATCCGACAAATGAAATGAAATAGGATCTATCCGAAGTATGACATCGACGGAGCGATCAGGAGCAAGGGGAACATGATCTACTCCGGCAACGTAGGGCAGAACAACGCCTATTTATCAGGTCGTAGAACTGGAGAAAATTTGCCCCTCACCGGGTAGGCTAAAGCCTGGAAGCAAGAAATAATGCCAGTGCGAGCGTCGTAAGGCGGAAAACGCAATTCGCGGATGACGCCGGCGTCGGACATCGGCACGTAGTGTGGGGAAACACCAGGCAAATCAGACGGCCCGTAAGGCTTGGTTCTGTTCTCCTCCAATCATCCCGGTGATCATAATAACACACTTACCTTACTAGGCATCTATACATAGTAGGCAGGTACTCAGGTACTGTGTAGTAGACACGGAGTGACTGATATCTGCAGCTTTGATAACAGTCATTGCCCTATGCACAAAGTACATCGGTGGGTCATTCCAGCTATCGGCATACCTTCGGTCCATGATCCTCATACATGCAGAGACTACGCAGCTTGCATACTGCACTATGTTGATCCTGTCCCAGGGGTTTATCCAGCGGACTCCCTGATCGACGGGTGGAATATGTACGAGACTATTTGGCATGACAAATCCGAGTCATCTAGTTACCTAAAAGGCGTGATTAGTTCTCAATTAGGTGGGAGTCTTCTTGTTCCGCACATCGAGCTTCTTTTGTTGTACATTGTCACTCAATACTATGCTCTATCCACTCGAGGAATAGTCGCTAAGATTTGCTGTTCATTACCTGCTTGAACTACGGTATCCTCTATAGTATGCTCATGGCTACGCCGCCGATCTTGAAAGGGATATCACGAAGAAAACATCTTAGAAAATCCATGATATCGTCGTTCCTCCTTGCTGATGTCACCTTGCCAAGCATCCCTTTAGTCCAGGCACCGCTGTTACAAGCTACATCTGCGCCAAGAAGCTCGATGATGCAATGTTTCGAGCGACTGTTCTCGGCCTACGTGATGTGGAAGTTCCGTTCATTGTACACTGTTGAAGGACCCATGGTCATATTCGCAAATTACCACAGCCGCGAACTTTCTATCGTTGGAATTTGAGCCGTCTGTTCTTATGTCACCTTTCACCTGCTCTCAATGGGTATTGAAGGAAAAGTATACTGCTATTAACACTAGTAAATTATATAGTCATTCACAATGGTCAGTGGCCTTTTCAACTAGACTGTCTCTGGCAAAGCTTCATTGCTTCTCTTCAATGTCCCAGTGACTACTTGTAGTCGTTTGGTGGAGACACGTTTGATATACTTCGCAAAGCTCTATTCGGCCTACTCCGTATACTGATGCTTTTGTTTATCAACAAGTAAATCTCAAAAAGAGAAGGTTATCTTTTGGAAGAGACGAAGAGAAAACGAAAGCAAAGCAATGTTCTAATCTCAATCGAAAGGGAAAAATAATCCTTATCACAAGCTGTACTTCTGGCGCTAGACGCAGCACGTCCTCCCATTGGCTAATAAGCGGAGCTCCAGTGGTGACGACGTAGGTACCGAGGTTGACAGCACCACCGCCTAAACCACCGTGTTAGGGGATATGCACTGGCAACATCCACAACTTCTTCAACCTTAACCTAAATACTTGTTGGAGATTTTCTCCGCAATACCGGGTACTATGGCGAATGCAGAGGATAAGCGCAAGTCCGTCCTGATCACAGGGTAGGTGCCACCAACGCCCCAAACGTCGTACAGTCGCATCGTGGTCACTCTGTAACACTTGTCCACCCTTACTAAACCTATGTTCCAGGTGCTCCCCTGGCGGCATCGGTAACGCACTCGCGCGTGAGTTCCACCGTCAGGGTTTGCGCGTGTTCGCAACGGCGCGAGATGCGAAGACGATCGAGGACCTGGCCTCGGTTGGGATCGAAACACTAAGCCTTGTCGTGGACGATAAGGAAAGTGTGCAGCGGTGTTACGAGGAGGTAGTGAAGTTACTTGGAGACAAGGGACTTGATTATCTAGTTAATAATGCGTGAGTTCAATGCGTCAAGTATGGAAGTCCACTACTAACATTACGCAGGGGCCGGAGTATGCATTCATCTCTGGCGATCAGGGGAGCATAGTGAGACTGACGTGGTGCAGATTATACCGTTCCCGCGATGGAGGTGGACCTTGCAGAGGCGCGTGCAACCTTTGAGACCAATTTTATCTCCGTGATCTCCATGTGCCAGACGTTTTTGCCGCTCCTGATCAAGGCGAAGGGGACTATTGTACAGATCGGATCTGTCGCGGGAGTTCGTTGCCCAACAACACGCTCAGATCTTTTTAAAGATTATTAACATCCTCAGGTTATTCCCTATGTATTCGGGTCTGTCTACAATGCCTCGAAGGCTGCGTTGCATTCGTTCAGTGAAACCCTACGGGTGGAATTGGCTCCGTTTGGGTACGAATACTTTCCGTGAATGAGATTTCTCCGTCACTAACTGAACAGTGTCAATGTGACGACTGTTGTTACTGGAGGCGTGCAGTCGCGCATTGCCCGGACGCAGCGGAGTCTGCTACCGAACTCGATATATGCTCCCATTGAGGATGAGTATCATCGCCGGGTGACACATAGTCAGGACGGTGCCATGCCTAATACGGCCTACGCGAAGAGTGTTGTCGCGCAGGTCTTGTACGGCTCTGCACCTTGGCGCTGGTTTTGGCCGTGGGCCCAAGGCCGGAAGAACTGGATCTGGGAAGGGAACAAGAGTTGGGTGGTCTGGCTTGTGGCTGGAGGCTGGGGATGGACAGGGCTGTTCCAGCGGATCATGGCACGCATGTTCAAGCTGTATCGTTTGAAGGGTGCCCGAAAGTGAGTGCGGCATCTCATACCTCATACCCGAATGACCAGGAGACGTTGCGGCGATGAGTGTCGGGAAGGATATTCCTGACTAGGTGGGCATAATTATTGCCATACATATGCAATTATTGTTGCGCGATTCAAATGTAATTGACTTTTCGACGCGCTTATTGTGTGTTGTTGGATGCCCATATAGATAGGTGGAAGTATACTAACCCGTATAAACGATTTGCCGTGATGCCAAGTATCGCAACACAGGACTGAGGGCTGTTGAGAATGGACATCACGCGAATGGAGACACGCTTTCAATAGGCACTGACACACCAGACGTGAAGAGTCTCTTCTATCTACCACCACTCCTCCCCAGCAGAAGAAGAGATATCGAACCGACTCCGATGGCTCGGGAAGAAGACATAGCAGGCTTCCGTTAAATTCGCGTCGGAATCGCAGTGGCTGAGTCATCCCGAGAGCGCACGCTGGTTGGCCCGTCAGGTGACCGCGCCCGTCCCGTACAGCCAAGGCAAAACGAACAAGATCATCCCGAGAAGCGCAGCCGTGAAAAAGAAAGCTGTTTCCCCCCGATCAACAACCCTCCGCGGTCTACTCCCTCTTCTTCTCCTGGCAGAATAATCTCCTTCCGGGATTCTCCCCAACTCTCCTCTCCCTCATTACTTTTCAGTCACTCTCTCCTCTCATTTTTCGTTTTATTCCCCTTTCAATATGTTCAGAATCGCCCGCAGCAGACCCGTTGCGACGGCCCTTCGGGCTGCGACGGTAAGGGTCAACCCGATGGCTATACTGGGAATCATTTACGACTAACATGTGGTCTTTATAGGAATCCTCCGTCCAGACTCGTCTCGGTCAGCAGCAGAGAAACCTGTCCATCCACGAGTACCTTTCCGCCAACCTCCTCAAGTCGGTCCGTACACCCCGGTATTCGTCGGATTCCTATCTCTTCAACATCGCTGATAGAAGACTATAGTATGGCATTGGTATGCCCAAGGGTGAGGTCGCTCGCTCCGCTGAGGAAGCTGAGGCCGTCGCCAAGTCTCTCGGTATATCTCACCCCGTCCGCAAACACTGGTTCGCGCGGTGCTAAGTCTGATCCCGCCAGGTAACGACGACATGGTCATCAAGGCTCAGGTGCTTGCTGGTGGCCGTGGTAAGGGTTCCTTCGACAACGGCCTCAAGGGTGGTGTGCGCGTCATCTACTCGTGGGTTCCCTTCGATCCCTATACCTGGTTTCGACACTGACTGAGAATTTAACAGCCCTACTGAGGCCAAGATGTTCGCCGGCCAGATGATCGGCCACAAGCTCATCACCAAGCAAACCGGTGCCGCTGGCCGTCTTTGCAACTCTGTGTACATTTGCGAGCGCAAGTTCGCTCGCCGTGAATTCTACCTCGCTGTCCTGATGGACCGTGCCTCCCAGAGCCCCGTTATCGTCGCTTCCTCCCAGGGTGGTATGGACATTGAGGCTGTCGCCAAGGAGAACCCCGAGGCCATCATCACCACTCCCATCGACATCAAGACCGGTGTGACCGACGAGATCGCCCTGAAGATCGCCACCGAGCTCGGTTTCTCTGAGCAGTGCATCCCCGAGGCCAAGGACACCATCCAGAAGCTGTACAAGGTCTTCATGGAGAAGGATGCCACCCAGATTGAGATCAACCCTCTCTCTGAGACCTCTGACCACAAGGTCATGGCCATGGATGCCAAGCTTGGCTTCGATGACAACGCCGAGTTCCGTCAGAAGGAGGTGTTCTCCTGGAGAGACACCACCCAGGAAGATGCCGATGAGGTCAAGGCTGCCGAGTATGTATTGCTATGACTGTCTGAACGATTAGGCTCTAACTGTTGATAGGCACGGCCTGAACTTCATCAAGCTTGACGGTGATATCGGATGCTTGGGTAGGTCATTCGGATGATCTACAGTTCGATCACTTGCTAATGGATCTAGTCAACGGTGCTGGTCTTGCCATGGCCACTATGGATATCATCAAGCTCAACGGTGGTTCTCCCGCCAACTTCCTTGACGTCGGTGGTGGTGCTACCCCTGCTGCCATCAAGTCTGCTTTCGAGCTCATCACCAGCGACCCCAAGGTGACCGCTATCTTCGTCAACATCTTCGGTGGTATCGTCCGCTGTGACGCCATCGCCCAGGGTCTGATCAACGTTGTGAACGAGATGGGTCTGCGCATCCCCATTGTTGCCCGTCTGCAGGGTACCAACATGGAGCAGGCTCAGAAGCTGGTACGTCATTGAATTGGATTGAAGGGACCTTATACTGACTTCTCTAGCTCAACGAGTCTGGTCTCAAGATCTTCTCTATTGAGGACCTCCAGAGCGCTGCCGAGAAGTCTGTGCAGTTCTCGAAGGTGGTCAAGATGGCCCGCGACATCGACGTGGGTGTGGAATTCACTCTCGGTATCTAAACTCCATCTTAGACTCCGGAGCCGTTCTGTTGTGTGATGTTTATTAGTCACTGTATTTTTGATTCTTTTCCGGGTGGTAAGATAGATGTCTAGGGCAGGACTGGATAATCTGGAATGCATGACCTTTCTTCCTGGCCTCGAGGCTAACCTGGTCCTGCTTCCTGGTAACTGATGTGGGAGAAAGTGGGCGATAGGACTGCTCGACGATAATAGAGGTGACCGATGTGAAACGGTGGAGAGGATCTATAGACATTGATGGATTTGTATATCGTCTAGTTGTTCTTTAATGTATTTGGTATCGCGTGACTTGGTTAGAGATGACATTGTACGTCCTCTGATAGAAGTAAAGATGTTTCTGCTATGATCATTCTGGACGGTTAGGAGAGGTCACAGCTCACGCCCGATACATGTTCTCCTGACCTGACCCGACTCAATGGCGCTCTACGAAATGCGAAGACCCCTACTATAAATATCTAGACCTCTGGCTGAAAGTCCTCGAAGGTCCATTCTTTTACAGACTCATTGAAGCACCACACCTTCATCCCATTCTCATCCACCATCAAGACAAAGTCTCGGTCTCCCATGAGGGTAAACGCACCCGAAGACGAGTAGACACGACTCGTCGCCTCGCGGGGCAGCTGGGGATCGACAGCTCTAGCCGGACGATGCCGCGCACCGGGTAGCGCATCGGGATTCGAGATCCAGACTCGTGGCTTCCCACGGTCGTTCTTGAGGTAGTAGAGGAGGTTGTGGTCGACGGGCGCCGCCACGCACCGGTCTTCGAAGAGGGCGTCTTCGCCGGGGAGGAGATGTATGGAGACACAGTCGAGGCAGTCGTCATAGGTGGCCGCGACGAGGCGATCGCCCTCGTCGAGGGTTTGGTCTTCGCGGTGTCGCGGCGTGAGGCGGAAGTATCCTACTGAGCTTGTGGATTGGAAGGGGGCGGGCTGCGCCAAAGTGGCGGGTATACCGGGGAGGTCTAGCGTGTACGACGCCGGGAGGTGGTTCTGGTCCTTGGGGGTGGCTAGGGGGTGGTTTGCGATGCGCAATGACGCTTCCTCGATGTGAGCGGTAACGAGAAGGTTAGGCACAGGGTTGAGGGCCATGAAGACGATGGGCTGCGCAATGCTGATGGTGCGCGCGACGCGAGAATGGAGATCCCAGTGAATGACGGAGCTGTCTTTACCGTCGATGGCGATGGCGACATGCACGCCGCTCACCACGAAAGCGGTGCAGTTGACCGAGGGGATTCTGAAGCTGACGGGGTCGGTGCCGTCGTAGCCGCTGGCCAACAGTTCCCAGACTATACAGTATCTGGTACGCATCAGCCGGGGATATCTCATTCTGTGCGATACGGGCACAGGGGTGAGGCTTACCCGCGCGGCGTGATGGCCGCCAGGATGGAATCAGAGATGCGGATGCGACTGAAGATGTCGCGGTTCTCGGTGCAGAAGGCGCGCGTGTGTCGGGTGCGCAGATCTTGGACGATGAGGGTGGCGTGGTCGTCGTAGATCCAGGCATATCGGCCCTTTGCGTAGTCCATTCGGGCTGTATTAGGAGTGAGCAAGATGGGCCGGTGCGCGTCGACGGATGGATGGATGGTCCAGACCGGGAGTCCCCGTTCGAGACGGAGACGCTGACGGGCATACTCCTGGCGCGTTTGTGGGGAGGTACCGCGTGGCCCTGTATACTTCTTGTACACTGCGTCACAGGCAAGTTCGGAGGAGAGGAGTGACCTCCATGATCGAGAGACCTGAAGATGTTAGCGGGGAAGAGCTTGGATGGGGTGGAGGATTGTGTATACTCGACGGAGAAGGTGTAGCTCGGACAGATCGAGATGCTTGACGATCTGAACGGCGAGTTCCAGCGGTAGAGATGCTACGATGTCGCGATGAAAAGAGACCTGGTGCAGACGATCGCGGACATCGCGCCATTCATGAAGCTGGAGCTGGTCGAGGAGCTGGTGATATCTGGAGACCGATTGGTCAGTAAGGTAGTATGTTGAGTCGGAGAGATCGGGATGTCTTACACGGTACGTCGGGCTGGAGGCGAAAGGGTGGTGAAGTGGGAGAGAAGATCGTGGAGGGGATTTATATCCATGCTGGCGATGGCGAGAGGATCATACGTAGGTCGTCCGAAGTATTTCGATGTCGATCCGATCTGTCCCTCCGGCTGAGTTTATCTTCACCTCTCCCCTTTTCCTTTTCCTTTCCCTCTTCTTTTCTTCTTTTCTTCTTCTTCTCCACAGACTATCGACTGAACGTCTCCATTTCTCTGTATTATTACCTATATTCTCAACCAGAAAAAGAAAAGAACAGAACAGAAACTACCGAACCCTATGAAGCCGAGCGGCGGCCAGGGTTGATCTGCTCGGCCCAGACTCTGCTCTCTGTCTTCACCCACCTTAAACTCTCCACGAGCGCCTCATCTCTTCTCCTATCCTTCTTCTCTCCTCCTATTCTGCTTCTCTTCTCTACTCTTCCTCCTCCTCTTCTTCCTTCCGCCTACTACCCATCCATCCGGCCTTACCTACTACCCATACAATCCCTGGCGGTGCCCCTCTCCGGCCCGTCGGCCGTCGTCGCACTTTTCCTCATCCACCCCTGGTCCGCCATGAGCGGTCTCGCCGATCCTCCTCCGTCCAGAACTCCCGTCGCTTCTGATGCGCCGCCGGGCAAGACACGACAACTGCCCGTCCTCTCTTCCTCCGTTCCTCACTCGGCGCGTCACTCCATGGGCGATCCCATGGATGTCACGCCCGCGTCGACGCCCGCAACGGGCGCCGGTGCCCCCGTCCACTCGTCCGATGGCGATCGACCAGGCGCAAACAAGACCCTGACCTCCAATGGCTCCGGGGATCACAGCAATGTGAATCGGAATCATACCCCTCCTGGTCAGGCTATCGGAGCTGCTGCCGCCGCGCAGCAGCCCAAGGTCGTGCAAACCGCCTTCATTCACAAGCTTTACAAGTACGTTGATCGGGGGATTCCGTCCGGGGAATTCGGGCTAATCATCGCATCCTCGTCACAGTATGCTGGAGGACTCCAGCATCCAACATCTCATCTCGTGGTCGAACACGAACGACAGTTTCGTCATGTCTCCCACCTCGGAATTTTCAAAAGTGCTGGCGTTCGTCTCCCCTCCGGTTGCTGTGTACACGGCGGTCGGCACCACTAACACTTGCCAGACAATACTTCAAACATACCAATATCTCGTCGTTTGTCCGACAGCTGAACATGTACGGGTTTCATAAAGGTACGATACGTTCAAAGTCCGGATGGTGGACCTTTCTAACCCCTTCGCCACTCCAGTCAGCGATGTCTTCCACACCGGGTCGCCCGAGTCCGCCCTCTGGGAGTTCAAACATGGAAATGGAAATTTCAAACGCGGCGACTTGGTGGGATTGCGCGAAATCAAGCGGCGTGCCTCACGGCATGCCTTGATCCATCGCGACTCCTTCCCCAGCCATAAGGCCGCCGCCTCTCAACCGGGGACGCCCGCCGAACCCGTCCCCGATGCCACCGAAGCCCGCCTGATGAACCTAGAACATACCCTGTACGACATGCATGGCCGTCTGACCCGCGCGGAGGAAGGGAATGTAGCTCTCAACGCCCGGTGTCAAGCCATGGCGGAAAGTCTGACAAGGTGCTACCATGTACGTCGAGGCATCTTTCGCCAGCTCCACGGTTGCAGCCCGTTGCTAATCGCGTCTTTGCCTACAGTGGTCCCATTCCATCTCGCGCTTTCTGCAGGGCATGATCCCTGACCGCGAGAGCCTGTTATACCGCGATGGTGCGATCTTCTGTCCCCTTCCGCCCGAGCTCTTCCTTACTAACACACCGTAGTGACCAACATGCAGGCGGAGCTGGAAAAGCACCTGGACGCGATCCGCGCGCTGGAACAACCGCCCGACCCATATCTATCCGTCCGACAACCCTATATTCCCACGGTCTCCGTCGACCCCGGCCCGCCGTTGTCCCCGCGCCAAATGCCGCATGATGAGCGCCGGGGGTCCATGATGGATACCGGTCGATCGGGCATGATTCGCCCGCCCGTCCCGTCTCATTTGGCCGTCTCCCCTCGTCGGTATGGATCCATCGGGGGTCCCAATGCCTCCCCAAGCTACAATCGCTCGCAGGCTCCTCCCGCGCCACCACAACCTCCGATGCCCCATCCTCTTTCTACTGCGTCGTCGCCGCCAGGTCCGAATCTGGCTCGCCGGCATACGTCGGCCGATATTCGACAGCATGGCTGGCCGCCACCGGGGGTGTCTCCCTTCCCCTCGACCCACCAATCGGGCACGGCCACAGCGCCCTGGTCCCCATCCCCCCATCGGACTCCGACCTCCAGTGAACAGCAAGTCCGAGAGGTCCTGGCACAGTATGAGATGGGTGCACCGCGGCGGTTTCAAGAAAACTCCCGTCACGCTACACCGCCGTTGCACCCCGACCAGCCCGCTCCACCCCCAAACGACAACGGTTGGGGTTTAGGACCTAAATTCCCTCGTCACGAGTCGTCTCTGCCGGCGACTCGGCGTTCTAGCATGGCCAGCAATGTCCACTCCCTCCTCAATCCTGCTGACACCGCCGAACGGCCCGACGAGGACCAGTATGCGGACGATCGAAAACGGAAGCGGTTAGAATAGGTGGTTCGAGATGTCTGCTCGGGCCTTGCTTCATCACATGGCGTTAACCGCATTCAGGGACATATCTGCTCTTGTGTCTATTGCTTTCTTTTTGGTGAAACATCCACTGTACAATCATAGATGGGATCCAATGGGTGCCATCCTTTCTTTGCAGACTTTTGGGGGCGTTGCTAATAACCTGTTCATTATTCCCATTTTGCTTAATATAGGGATCATTGGTGATCGTTCGGCTGTTATACGACTGACTGTCTTGGTGCTCCTCGGGCTGCGGACAATTCCAACTTGCTTACTACTCTACCTCATATACCCTAGGGCTCGTGGATCAAAAGTGATTCGGTTTGGCTTAGAACCGAGAATGAAGCTGCTTTGAGACGATGCTTTAGACGTATCGCTGTGGACTAGAACACGTATTGGGTATATATATGGTTTGCTTGAGGGTTTCCAATGGATCACTTCTTCCTCTTCTTGGAGCGTTGGGCCAGAATTTCATCCAGAAAGCTCGTCGCTTTCTTCTTCCCTTTCGTCCCTGACGGTCGTGGCTCGGCTATTTGCTGTTTGGCCTCGCCACCATCGCCGTCCGCTCCCTCCGCAACGTCCGGTGTATTCGTCTCACCCGTGTCGGGAGTAGATGCTGCTTTTCGCTTCCGCGACTGACCCTTTTTCCCAACCACAGCCGTGCGTCCTTCATCCTCGTCGTCCTCGTCCTCGTCATCTCCTCTTGTCGCAGTGCCGGGCTTCGGCTTCCCAGCTTGGCCCGCAACGGGCGTAGACGTAGACGTATTCTTCGCTGCCATGACCTTCTTATAATTCTTCCCTAGCAGCTGTTTCCGCAGTTTATCATTCGAATCCAGCTCCGTGCGATTCCAGCTTCCGTCCGCCGCTTTTGTCGGGAGAGGCGCGCCGACGCCGAGCCTGCATCCGCTGTTAGCATACATTCACGCCCTCAACATTGCACAGATCCGTCGGAGATAAATAGAAGCGAAGGATGGGGGAACGCACGTCTCAGGCACAGCGGTAAAAATCTCATCTTCTTCGCGTTGCAGCTCTTCCTCGGTCTTGGGGTGCGAGAGCTCGTCGGCGGTCTGGGGTGGCAGCCACGAGGCGACAAGGCGCTGGCTGCGGGCTAGTGCGACATTGGCTTTGTTGAGAATGATGTCTGTTTCAGATTTGGATATCGACATTGTTGGGTTTGGGGGCGTCGTTGTCTTGTGGTTTGGGAGGGCTTGCGATGACTTTTTTGATAGCGGGCGGAGATGGATGGCAGAATTTTGTCCTCTACGGAGTATGGATGTATAGATCCGCGCCACCTTACGTGTATAGTTGGTAGGAGTTGCCAGGACACTCGTTGGGGTAGGTGGTACGCTGCTGCTGGTATATTGTCTAAAGGGGGTGGTAGTGCTGGTAGGATGGTAATGACAGGCAATTACCACGCAGTAGAGAATATATATATCACCATGATCCCTGCAATGTCTCCTACAAGGCAGTATATACATCTATTCTATATCTAATCATAACCTATATACAAAGGGTATACAACACAGGCCTCAAGCCGCCCCCTTCTCCTCCAAGTGCTTCTTCTTCAACCTCTTCTCCGTCTTCATGAACTCGCGAATCCCAACCGGAATATTCGCAAACAGGTCATCATCCACCTGCCCCCCAACAGGCCAATTCGTCTCACTACCGCCCCCATCGTCATCCATACTGGTGCTCGCCGACGCGACCTCTGCCCGCGGCGCATGGCGCATCTCCGCCTGCGGTCCCGACGAAGCAGCCCGCGCCTTCGCCTGCGCCACGCGCGCCGCCCAGTCCTCCATCTCATCGCGGAAATCGTCCCACACGCAGTGCACGCAGCCGCTCATGCAGCAGTTGTCTGGTTCCTCGGGACGCGGCGGTATCGGCACCCCGTTGATCGTCTTCCATGTTGCTTCGGGCGAGGTGCCCGGGTTGTACCGCGACGAGCGGCCGGGGCCGGCGAGGCGGGTGCCGAAAACGATGGCCATTCTTTCTTGTGGTGTTTGCTCGGAGGAGGTAGTTGTGCTTGTGGTTGCGGACGAGGTGCTGTCCGATTGTGAAGTTTCGGAGACTGCGCGCGCGGTCGGCGCCTGTCGTCGATATGGGGAGCTCGACAAGATATCGGAGTAGTATCCTGATAGCGGGTAGGCCTGATGCGGACTGGAGCCGTTGTCGAGAGAGGGAGGCTGTTCGTGGGCTTGGACACCCGTTTGTCCGGCTATGTATCGGGCGGACGAGGGGACATGGTGGTGGATGGGAGACGCCGACGGAAAGAGTGCGTTTAAGTGTGGCTTATTTGCTGGTGACAGCAGGCTGAGGCTTCGCCGTATAAGCGAGCGTCTCGCACTCATGGTTGTGTCGCGGGCTGAGGATCGGGAAGAATTGGAGATGCGGCGGCGAAGTGGTTGTTCCTGCGGGCAGACCGAGGGCCATTATGTCATGCTGCAAACGCTGCAAACACGCTTTCCGTTCTGGGATGCGCTCTATGCTTATCGTGCCGAATGTTTTGGCCGCATACCTCCAGCAGAATCAACAGAACCAACGCCCCCGAACAGTCTCACACACTCTCCCTGACGACACATAGCATTGGACGACAAGAAGATGTTCTCTTCTCCCCCCAAGCGGCGCAAAACCGGCAACGCGCCACCCACCGCCGACACCGACGCGTCGCAAATAAACCCTCCGCCCCCTCTTCGCCCCGACACCGACAGACGCTCCATTGACCGCGCCTCTTACCAGTCTCCAACACGCGCCAGCCTGGCGCGCTCACACCCGGACGTCCTTCAGCGTGCCCTCAGCCGCTCGCCGACAAAGAGCCCGCAACGCACTACCCAACATGCGCAGGACCCCTCCGAGGCGAGAGTCTTCGGACTGCGCGATCGAAAGGCCCTTCGCCCCTCCATCGGCATGACCGGCAGCCCGCTCGACCCGTTCAAAAAAAGCGTTGTGTCGCCCGCTCGACGAGCCAGCGGCATCCAGGCATTCGCGGCGCCGCCGCGGCGCGTCTCGCGACGCATCGTCCCCTCCGATCTCATGTTCCAGTCTCCGACAGCGGCCAAACGCACAGCGCCCGAAGCATCGGTGACGAACACGCCAGAGGTGCAGCTGGCGTCGGAACTTGATGGCGCAACCGGCGGTGGGGACGGGGCGGGGGATCTGCCCGGGGACCTGGATCAGGGGCCTTCCTTGCATGATGAATTTGAGGAGCCGGACCTCCCGCCGACGCCGACGCAGCTGGGTCTGGAGAAGCCGCCTGATCGGCCAATGGGGCTGGGGAGTAGCAGTCCCTCAGCGCGGGCGAGGTTTGGCAAGCGACAGGGTGATATACCGAGTCCGTCGAAACTCAGGAGTGTCGAGTATGGTGCTGATGAGGAGGGTCGATCGGAGAGCACAGATACGACGGGTCGTGCTCTGCTTCCGGAGCCTGTTTCGAAGAAGCGGAAGCTCAAGAAACAGCTTACGGCGGAGGTTGAGCAGCTCAAGAAGGACATTGCGGAGCTGGAGCGGTGGTCTGGCAATCTGGATCAGGAGGGAGGTGCAGATCAGGACTTTGATAAACTGATGTAAGTTACGGAGATCTGGTATGGGAGTATGTGCTGACTGCTTGAAGTACCTTGTTAGTGGCCCAGGAGTCCCAGACGAGTCCGACGAAACCTCGTGCGAAGAGCACGCCGATGTCGTCGTTGCTCTCTACATTGCTACCATTTTCAGCCAAAATACCCCCCAACGCTCCCGAGGAACCTCTGCCAAATAATACGTTTGCCCTGGACCAGTCATCGCAGACAGATCCGTTCCTGACCGTGTTTGGACCACTCAACCTCACGGCCCATTCGAATACCGTCACCAATGAAGAAACGAACGCTGTCCTAGAGAGACACGAGCTTGTTCTCTCGGCACCACGTCCCTTCCCTTCCGAACTGTACAGTATAACAGTTGTCTACGAAACCAACCCCGAAACCCAGTCAGTAGTCTCGGTGACGGTGCCCGGGCTAGCTTCCAAGGTGCCGGAGTACCTGCGACAATGGATCAACTCAAGACTAGCCAACCCGCTCATGAAGCTGGACGTGACAGGTCTCTGCTGGGGTGTCAGCCGATACTGGGAAGCGGCCGTATCTCGTGCTCGAGTATGGGCCCAGATAGAAGAGCGCCACGCCGCATTACTTGGGAGACCAGGCAACCCTACCCGACTTTCGACGACAGACGAGAACCCTGGCGCCCTCACGAGAAAGGACCTGCGCCGCATACTGCCGCACCTGGAACGCACGTCGATGCTGTTCGAGTCTAAGGAGAAAGAGCTCAAACTCATCCTGTCCTGCGAGTTGTCCATCGACGAGTGGGCCAGCGAGCCTCGACTGAGACCGGGCATCACTGTGTCGGTGCCGGGGAGTCTGAATGGAGCCGCAGGGAAGAAGATCGAGCAAGAGTCGAAGAGGCTGTTTCAAGCGATTCTGAGCGAGAATAAATCTGATCTCGCTGGGACAGCGGATGGGATTGGCGGCGACGCCATCGCCCGGGCCACTGACGGTGTTCTCGGCGTGTTGTTTGGGATGGGAAAGAAAGGATGATGGCGAGGTGATTGTACATAATATACCCCTATGTTGATAAATGAAGTGCAAGTGACATAATCATTTTCATCAAGCTAGTTTACTAGACATCCTTAATTGACCGTAGCCGTCGGCGACAACCCCGGCTCTCCTCGTCCCTGCTCAAGATAGCAACCCCAACACAGTCCATCTTCACGTAACAAGGGACATTTGCATTTCGAGAGGGTCGGAGCTTTTATGTTTAAGGACAAAAGGTTATCAAGGAGAAAAAACGCGGCGCCACGCCATGCCACCACACGGTACACTACTAATCCCGGACTTGGCTTTGACTTTGCAAATAAACCCGATCGATCATCATTACCTGCGCAAGTAACTTCACATTTATTTCTTGGCGGCAGCCTCCTCCTCGGCCTTGTCCTTGGCACGCTTCTCCCGGATACCCCGGTGGCGGGCCTCGGAGCGGGCCTCACGCAGCCGGCGGTACGCAGCCTCCTCACCCTTGGGCATCTCGTCGCGCTTGACCTCGGTGACGGCCTCCTCGGCGGCGGGGTTGGTGATGGGCAGGACGGCGCCGACGTTAGTGGCGTAGCCCTGGGTCTTGCCCTCAGCGGCGAAGGCGGCCTTGGCGGCCTGGACTTCCTCAGCGGAGGCGTCCAGCTTCTTGAACTGGCCGCTCTTGCGGGGGAAGAGGATGAGGCGGGCCTTGTAGTCCTTCAGACGGGCGACGTTGGCGACGAGGGACTCCTTGGAGTAGTTGACCCGACGGTGGTCGACGGCGATGCCGATGGTGGGGGCGAGCTTCTTGGGGATACCAGCTTCCTAATCGATTGTAAGACTCCCTTCATTGATTGCCCTTCAATCGTGGTAAATACCTTCAGCTCAGCAAGGGTGAAACCACGGCCGGCACGGACACGACGGTTGTACTTGACGGTAGGGCACCGCACAACGGGACGCAGCTTGTCAACCGGACGAGGAGCAACAGCGGCAGCCTTAGCGAGACGGGCCTCACGACGGCGGTGCTTGCGGCCAGGCTATCGAAAATTCAGTCAGTCGGCGTTCCATGAAAAAATTTTCCCTTTATCCCTCTGTCGGTGACGAGTATGTCGTTCGTAGCGCGAGGCGGGAGATAGAAAAATCGAATCGTACCTGGTCGAAGTGCACGCGCACACGACGCTGCCAGTCCTTGTGGAAGTCTATCAAAAACCATCAGTCACCGTTCGCAATAATTTTTCTTCTTTTCTTTCTGTCTGCTCAATCCATTGCCGTCGCAGACATTTCATCCAAGGTGTACTCACGCGCGTTCTGAACTTGGTTGTTGTGCTTGATCGCCTATATCACCACACACAGAACCCATCAGTATACCATTCCAAGACACCGGGAGACCGTAAGAAAAAAAGAGAGAGAATGCTCTCTCTCCATAATCACGATCATTTCGAGGGCATTCACGCACCATTGTGACGGATGGGGATCAAGACCGGGAGATTGTCGTCGTCGTCGTGGGTGGTTGCTGGTCGGATCTCGAAAACTCCTCGTTTCAATATTGGGTGGAACTTTTTTTGGTGTGGCCAACCGCGCAGAGCCGCATCGCCTCGCTTAGCGAGCCCTACCCTGGTTGCCTAATCCGGAATAGTCGTCCGCTCCATTACAGACATATTACAGACAGAACAGAGGCTACTCTCGAATTGTTCGATTTTGGCATACGATGTGATTAATTATGAAGTTACGAAGATATGGATAGTCACTTTGGATGAAGCACAAGAGGCAGTGAGTTGATTGTGTTGCTGTCGAACGACGCTTAGTCATCGCAGCTGGATGCCGAATACAACAGACTTGGATACCGTCTGGTCCAATTCTTCCTCTCTATCAAACCAATTTCCACTCAATTGCCATCATAAAATAAACCAAACTCCAGCCGAACATACAGGTCATCATTCGTAACAGTCTCCCGAAACCAAAGCGAACCCATCAAGCAAAGGACGCAAACCAGACTCGTCATACGCGTTACATGAACCAGACCCAACTCGAACACCGTACACAATCATAACTTATGCACGAGTCGTACTGTCATTCCAAGTGTCAATACCGAGACCCACTCGGCCCTCCGCTTTGGGTTTCTTCGACGTCGCACCGTCAAAACTTCCTTTGCGTTTGAGACTGCTGGGAGCTTGTTCCACGCCGGCCTTCCGCACCTGGCCAAACAGTTTCGTCTGGAGCAACGTGCTGGTCTTCGGTGCTGACGTCGCACCTCGAGGTCCCTGGTGATAACTGGGAGGATGACGACGGAACATTCCATTGGAAATGGAACTGGACTGAGGAGGACCCGGCACGTCTTCTTCTGTCTCAGCTTCTTCAATGTCCGACGCTGAAATGGTGCTGTCCCGGTCACGGTGCTCGTCCTGGGAGTCTCTCCCCGGAGTGAAGTACTGGTGGTCTCGCTGAGCGAGTCTCGTCTGAGACGGAGTCATGGGGAGAGACGAGATAGAGTGAGATCCACGGACGTGGCCATTGGCATGGTGTCTGTGGGACCGTCGATGGGGGGTAGAAGCGACACTGGCCGATTCCCGGTTGAGAACCCGGTCGGCAGCCAGCAGGGCAGCAAATGGATTGTTGCTGTCGCTGTCTGTGAAATGAGGGGCGGGTCTCCTTTGAGGAGTATGATGAGCGTCGATCTGAGGGCTGGGGGACAGGGAGCCATGCTCGATCATCCGAGAGAAGTGCTCCCGATTGTCTCTAATGCGTTTCTTTAACAGGCTGTTCTCCTCCGCGAGCAGGTCCGACCTGTCTTTCTCCTGTTCAATGAGCTTTTTGGCTCGCCGGAGCCGTCGGTCGAGAGTGGCATTGACTCGTTCGAGTTCCTGACTACGCTTGACGGCCAGCTCGAGCTCAACGTTGGTGATCTCGGGCGCTGGCTTCATTTCAGTATGGCGACTGCGATACTCCGAACTCTGGAGGATCTCCACTTCTCGTCGGGCTAGCTGATGCTCGACTTCCGCGCGCTTGATAGCCTCGTTGCTCGTAAAAGACAGTAGACTATTCTGCAGCTTGAAGTGCAAGGCCGACATACGAGCCTCTTGCGCTACACCCAAGAGTTCTTTGGCGATCGTACGAAGTTTGGTCTCCTCAGCGGCATCGATGTCCTCCAGAGTAGGTAAGTTCTCCGAGGCACCATATGCCACGCAGAGGGTTTTCTCAATATCTGGGGGTGATGCGAGGAGAGAGCTCGACTGCGACCGTGATCGCCGAAGGGGAGCTCCCGGGACTTGCGACGATGGTGGAGGGGTCATATCGGATGAATGTAGAGATGGCGGGGAAAGGACTTTGGTTTTGTCTCCCGGCGAGGCGGGACTAGCAGCCTTGATGCTCAGATCTGGCGAAGGCGAAAGGGTCCTCCGCTGGCTGGGAGTAGACGGGATGGCAATCTCGGCAGGAGGAGCAAGAGATCCTTGCGAGAGCTGGGGTTCGGCGTCCTGCGACATGATAGAGTCGAGACAGGTCCGATCAGGAATGCGATGGCCGTGGGGAAGTATCCTCACACTAGGCGTCGGTTAGTCGCGTTTGATAAGCCACCTGTAGGGCGGTCAGGCGCATACCGGAAATACAACAGGGCAAGTCAGTGCTCGAGCGATGAGCTGTGTGGGCTTCTAAACCGTCGCTGTGAACTGACAATAGGATGAGAGGCCTGGGAAAAGAGAGGAGCGGTCGATGTTGATCGGAGGCCGCTCAATTGGTATGCCACGGGCTGATTTGCGACCACGGAGTCGTCTGTGCTTATCACTGATAGGACGGCGCAGGCACGTTCAGGCCAAACAGGCGATACTAGTGACAGCTGGAGTGGAAAAGACCCGAGCGAGGACGACGGAGAAATTCCAAACGAACGACTTGAAGACGGTCAGAAGGAGCAAGGGGACATCAGAAGGCGGAAGAGATGGAGCGGATGGAAATGATGTGAGAAGCAAGGAGGAGTGCGGGCGGAGTGCTTGATGCCTTAAGTTGCAAGCGGCGGGCGTTCGCACATCAGGAGGCTGGGAAGTCGCTTGCGATCGCTCGCTTTTGACCAACCACAGGGCTCCGTTCCTATCCACGTGAGCCCAGCCGCGCGCCAGAACCGCGTCTTGCCTAATGCGGCTTAGTGCGGTGATCAGGGCAAGTAAACAGAAGCCGAACCCCATGGGTCAGCCTGGCGGTCACTGAGGCAACCAGGGCGTCTACTCCATAGTGCTTGTTCCTTCATCTTGTCAGTCATTGTGCAGAACTACTCGGACGTGATTCTTTGTCTGCTGCAGAAAGGACACGGGACGTTTGCAGGTCAGCTTGCGGCTCATGTAACATGGCTGAGGTAGTTATGGCATGCAGTGTCTTATCTCATCTTATTGCAACCGCTCTCAAGACCTCGGGGAAGAGTTCTTGAAGAGCTCTCTGATGGCACTGTTTGGCTGCTTGCTATACTGATGTTTATATCTTCGAGCTTGGCAGGTCTTTTGGCTCTCATTTATCTTGGGTATCTCAGGTACACTGTGTGCGCAGTGCGTGAACATGAATAGTACCTGTCTATCAGATGGTGTAACACATGAGGTTACATTGATATTAACAAAAAAAGAACCCTCTTCCTGCAACATACAAGTGTGCAGTTCTGTCAGGTCAGACATAGATGTGATATATCTAGCTCTCCTGATATATAATGCTTTCTGGGGTCTCTCTGGACTAGTGACGAGTTGAAGTATGAAAGGCAAGTTTGAGAGTAAAGGGAGTATATCTACTATACCAAGTATATCTTATAGACGCTTTTCTTCCGCCTTTGCTTCATGTCTGCCTATATGTATTGCTTTCGAGAGAAGTATTCCAAAGCCAACTTCATAATACGCAGAGACTATGTGGTCCGATAATCCGAAAGATATATATAACAGAGCACATGGGGGTAAGTAGGTACTGTCTTGAATGATATAATTCGAATGTTTTTCAAATGAAAGCTACACTACTCCTAGTCATCCAACCACGATAATTCCTAAAGCATGCGCTAATGTGTCAGCCCGGATCTCTTAATAGTCTGTGCCTGAAGCCATGTTGAGTTCATGATGAAGTGGAGCGAAATCGTACCAATCGGGGACTAGCGCAGTCAATCAACCGCAGACCGATTGCAGCCTCAGGCATCAACATCTGCGGCGTAAACAATTGCAATAAATATCCCCGATCAACCCGCAGCATCTCCTGAGTGTCTAAGAGCACCTCTGACACCCATATCAAGATTGAAACATCGCTGACGATCTATCTTTGTGCCGTCGTCCTTCTGCATATTTGTCATCCAGGTAGCCTTGATCTCTTCCTTTTCTTCCTACGTCTTCTACCCCCGCACCAGCATCATGAGCGACGTTTACTTCTGAGGCGACACTGTACAATAGCGACCACTTTCTCCATACCTCTCGTCAATAAATCGACCCGAACCGCAGGGTCATGGACCATCAGAGAACACAGCCGCGCCCAAGCGGAATACCCCGGTTGGCTTCCAGACTCCCGTTGCCGACATCATCCGCTTCGAAGCCCATCAGACCTTCGCCCTCTCGCGAAAAGTTACGAACAGACCCGGGTCTCGACAATTCCAGATTACGCAGGCCGTCGGAAGATCCTGTGTTCAAGAAGCCACTTCCAAAATACCCGCCGAACAGAACTCAGAATGGTCTACAGCAGAGAAGAGACATCTCTCGCGCTGGGAGAAGTGACAGCGGAAGATCGGCACTCGAAGAGATAGTGACCAACGAGAACGAAGCCATAGAAATGGAGACCGAAAGCATTGCTGAGGATGCGGAGGCGCGAGGTCGCGCGCGACCTTCGTTGTCGGAGCGGACAATCGAGACTCTATCGCAAATCCCCCCGTCCCCCGCCTCCTCCAGAAAGTCTAGCTTTTTCAATGCCAAAAGCCCGATTCGTTCGCCTTCTCGACCGCCGTCCTCTCTTACCAGCTACTCGCGATCGCCATCTAGATCATCATCGCGCCAGCCAAGCGGAAATGACTTCCTCTCGCAGCCGGCGTCGGCTATTCGGCTGCCGTCGAGGCCTCGCTCATCATTGTCGGCCAACAACATGCCAACTGAACACGGCTCCCTGGACTTCAACGACAGTCCTTCAAAGCTGAGGAGGCCGTCTCCAAAACCAAGTGCGTATGGCGATGTGACCCCCACAAAGTCAATCCGACCACCCTCCACTAGAGTTCCTGATAACTCTGGTATGGAGACCCCGCGACAATCTATTCAAGTGAAGAAAACACGGAAGACTCCAACGAATACGCCGTCCTTCTTGAAGAAGCCAGCTTCGACCACAGTTAAATCGCCATCACCTAAGCCACGTCCAGCTGACCTATCGGAAGAGCAACAATCAGAGATAGAGACCAGGAAAGTTGCCAAGTCTTCAAATGCATTGAGAGAAACGATCGCAAAAGCCAAAGCGGCACGGAAAGCGGCCATGCAGACCACTTCCAAACCTGCGTCTCAGGAGTCTTGGGATGTACTTGATACGGCAGACCCGTTCAACCAAGGGCCAAAAGATCCGAACAAAGGTGTTCTGCGGAAGCGAATTGAAACGGGCCGGACTTCAGGACACCTAAACATTGCGGCGATGTCTCTCAAAGAACTCCCCCAGGAAGTCATGACTATGTACGACTTTGATCCCGACTCGTCCACTGACTGGTACGAGAGCGTTGACCTGGTCAAGTTCATTGCAGCGGACAACGAGTTCACTGAGCTTCCGGATTCGGCGTTTCCTGACACCGATCCCTCCGACTTTGACCCGGAAGTTGATGAAAAAGGAAACCAATTTGGTGGCCTGGAGCTCCTTGATTTGCACGGAAACCTGCTGCAGTCTCTGCCGATAGGGCTCAGAAGGCTTCAACGACTCCACACTCTCAATCTTTCCAACAATAACCTGAAAATGGATGACATAGCTGTGGTGACGGAGATGGTGTCGCTTAGAGATCTACGGCTGGCAAAGAACCAGTTACAAGGGGCCCTCACTTCAGATATTGGTCGCCTGACCAACCTGGAATCCCTAGACCTGCATGAGAACTCGCTTGTTGCGCTCCCTGACGAAATCGCAGAGCTGTCTGCCCTCCGAATTTTGAACGTGGGCAGTAACCAACTCACCTCGTTACCTTTCGATGCTTTAAGCAGACTTCCGATCAAAGACCTTAGTTCTCCCAAGAACAAGCTGGCGGGAACCTTGATACCAGGTTCTGTAACCAAACTCGAGACGTTGCAGAATCTTGATGTGGCTGGAAATGCTCTCACTGCGCTCTCGGAAAATGATACGCTTGAGCTTCCTAACCTGCAATGGATCTCAATCAGCATAAACCGCATACAGAACCTGCCAAATGTGGCTTCGTGGCAGTCACTTTTGACTCTATCAGCCGAGGATAATCGCCTAGCCGCTTTTCCGGATGGGTTTGTTGAACTGAAAAACATACGGAATGTGGACTTTACTGGCAACGATATCTCAAAATTAGATGAGAGGATCGGTCTGATGGAGAGTCTAGTCACGCTTCGGATAGCCAACAATCCCCTGAGAGAACGAAAGTTCCTGAACATAAGCACAGAGGAGATCAAGCGCGATCTGCGGAATCGATGCGAACCGGAAACGTTGGATACAGATGATGAGGGCTCTGTTGCAACGCAGTTCACTCTAGCACCAGAGTCTCCGTCCCAAACGGCCGCCTGGCAGATCAAACGAGGGGTCCTCGACAGGTCACACACTGACATGCAGGAGCTCGATCTTCACGAACTGGAGAGATTGGACCCCGAAGAAGTCAAGTGTCTATACCTGCAACACAACCAACTGCACACCATTCCTATCCAAGCGCTGAACTTCCTGTCGCTTAGCCTGATAGATCTGGATCTGTCCCACAACCCATTAGAGGGTACGTCTGTTTTTACATCGCCCGTCGAGCTTCCGCATCTCCAGTCGCTCAATCTCAGCGCAACCAACCTGACGACATTGGAGCCAATGCTGTCCAATCTCACAGCTCCGTCCTTGAATGTCCTTGACATCTCATACAATCGACTTTCTGGATCTCTGCCTGTCGTGCGGCGGAGCTATCCGAACCTGTCGACGCTCCTTGCTGCCGATAATCGATTTGACAGCCTAGACTTCGACGCTGTGCAGGGCCTTCAAGCCTTGGACGTGGGCAATAACAACATCGGCTCACTGCCACCGAAGATTGGGCTGCTCAGAGCCGAGGGCTCGAGCAAGAACTGGGGCGGTGGGTCGGCTCTCAAGCGGTTCGAGGTGTCAGGTAACACTTTTCGAGTGCCTCGGTGGCAGATTGTTGCCAAAGGTACAGAAGCTATCCTCGAATGGTTAAAGGATCGCATTCCAGCCGACGAACTGAGCCAGTGGGAGTCTGATCTTGAGGACTAGGATTGATATGCATGAGGTAGCTGAGCGGCGACAATTACATTTCCTCAATGTACATACGATTTTGGATATCTAATAGATGTTTTCTTGGGGAGTTTTTTTTCATGAGATATGAGAGTTGGATATGAACGTCTATATGCCTTGACTATATACAGGGTTGATACATTGTCCTACTCCGCACCTGCAGAACCATCGATAGGCTTGCTAACCTCTTCAATGACCTTCATCCACGTCTTCGACCAAGGGACAAACTTGTCATCCGTTCGCTGCTGGCTGTCCGCAGAGTCGTCCAGCGGCGTCACCACCAATTCCACAGCCTTGACTGCACAATCCTTCGTCTTGCGCAGGTACTGCGTACACTTTTCCCAATCCTCCTCATACAACGCCCCAGCAACCTCGTCGATATTCTCCGGAATGCGCTGCAGCTGCGCCATCAAAGATCCCAACTTCTTAACGACAGCCGGCGACTCAACAGCCTTCTTCAGCCGATGCGCGACGACAGCCGGATAAACCTGCCCAACCGGCTTGAGGATGCGCAGCGTCGTCTTCTTCTGCTCATGCAGCGCAGCACTATCCCCATCCCCACCCTCATCGTCATCATCCTTCGCATCTCCCTCCTCGTCATCACTCAACAACTCATCAAAGAACTCATCCCCCTCCTCCTCAGGATCCCACTCCTCAATCTCCTCCACCGCGTCGCGCACAAGATCCCTCCACTCCTCTACGCGCCGCACCACAAACCCCACAACCCCCTTCGCCGCAACATCCACCAGCACATCACACGAGTCCCACACGCGCCCCGTCGCGACGGTGACGACATCCTTCTCCCCCTGCGCCAAGTCGGACTCCTTCTTCTTCGCCTTCTTTTCCTCGTCCTTTTTCGCCGCGACGTTCTTCACCTCCCCCAGTAGCGACAAAACCTCTTTCAAAGTCGTCTTGGTCAAGTTCCGCACCTCGCCCTGGAAGGCCTTTGTATGGAAATCCGGCGTGACGAGCATCGCGGCGCTGACGAGTGTCGGGAGCACGGATTCGTTCAGATCGCTGAGGACGGACACCGCCGCCGACGGCGTGAATGGCGACGTAATTGCCAGGAGTGACAGCTTGGTCACTTGCGCTTTGAGCGCGGTGGCGGATGCGGACAGTAGCGGGAGGGCATCTTTTCCTGAGTGCGCGGTGGAGGGGGTGGTGTCTGGGGAGGAGAGGGCCTGCTGGAATTGCTCCGCGAGCGTGATGGAGGTCGTGAGAGTTATGGGGAATTTGTCGGCCATTTTGAGAACTGGCGTGTTGGTGATGTCGAGGTTTGTTGTGAGTTGTTCGTTGGAGTGCTTTTGGGCGGGAGAAATTTTGGTTGGAGATGCGGGGCTGCTGATTAGGGTTCTGCGGGGTCACCTGCACATGCAAATGGAGCAAGTATACAGGACAATAGTTTGGGTATAAGTTTCTCGTAGAAGTACTTTGGGATCAAGTGTTACTTCGAGTCAGTCCAATCGTGGTTCTTTTCAGTCGCAACTCAAACATCGGATAATGTACTAACAAATCTACTGCATACAGGGATATCGCATCGCATTCGCTCGTAGACCAGACAGCAATCAGTACTCATAGAAACCCTTGCCAGTCTTCTTACCCATCCAGCCCGCATCGACCATTCTCTTCAGCAGTCCCGAAGGCCGGTACTTGCTGTCACCCGTCTCCTGGTGCAGGACGTTCATGATCGCGAGACAGGTGTCCAGACCAATGAAGTCAGCCAGGGTCAACGGACCCATGGGGACATTTGTTCCATTCTTCATGATATTGTCGATATCCTCGCGACCTCCAACACCAGTCTCGAGGCAGATAATCGCCTCGTTGATGTAGGGCATGAGGATGCGGTTGGCCAGGAAGCCCGGCGAGTCCGCAGAGATGGAGGCGACCTTGCCCATGCGCTCGACGAACGCAATCGCAGTGTCCAGGGTCTCCTTGGACGTCTGCAGACCGGAGATAATCTCCACGCCCTTCTGGACGGGCACGGGGTTCATGAAGTGCGTGGAGATGACGCGCGACGGAGCCTGCAGGTCTGTCGGATCGGTCGTCGTGGCGGCGGCGATCTTGGTGATGGAGATGGAGGAGGTGTTGGTCGCGAGGATGGCGTGCTTCGGGGCGACCTGGGCGAGCTTGGAAAAGATGGAGGTCTTGAGGTCGGGGATCTCCGGAACGGCCTCGATGACAAAATCCACCGACGACAGGTCGTCCATCTTCAGGCTCGTGGTGATGCGGGAGCGGGCGGCGTCGGCGGCATCCCGGGTGATCCGCTCCTTGGAGACATCCTTTTCGAGTAGTTTGTCTGGAGATGATAGGTAAGCATAATGGCCAAGGTATGAGAATTGGGAAGATATGGAACATACCGGCAAACTTGAGACCCTTATCCAACGACGCCTGGGAGTTGTCAATCAGGGTGACAGGAACCTGGGCCTTCTGAGCGGCGACCAGTGCAATCCCAAGACCCTATATACCTCTATTAGCAGCTGCAAATAGTAATTACCTGCAGGGCGTTGAAAATACCATCTGACCAGCTCCAATGACACCCAGAGACTTAACCTCGGCAGCATGGGCGGCGGAAGTGGTGCTGAAGGAACGAGAGGCAATTGAGGGGCCTCTGATGCAGAGGGTGCGAAGCGAAGAGGACAGCATGGTTACAGCGGCAGGAGGTATCCAACGAGAACCCGAAAGAATGTAGAAACGGAAGATAGCGACGGGGCCAGGAGAAAGACTGGCAATCTATAACTACAACCGCCGATGTTGATTATCCGCGGGCGGTTCTCATGTGATCCGACGTCATCGGTTATCTTCGGCTGTGCGGATTATCTGTATTGCCGCATCCCCGGGGCCGAAACGCGGCGACGCGTGAGTACGCGTTCTGATTGGCTGCGGAGGGCGCGCATTCTCATTAAGGTGTCGCGGATATTGACTGGCGATAACGTCGCTATTGAAACCGCAGGAGACCGGCGACGACTCCAGAATATCGGTCCAGCATGGACGAGGAATTAGCCTTCGGCCAGACGGTTGAAGTGGTGGACCCTGATGTCCGCGCACATGTTTACAGTCTTGTTACTGCGGTGAGTGTAAATGCTTTATCGGCGCTGTCCGTACTGACGTTGCGGTAGCTGGGAGGCTTCAATGGCGAGGATGCGGACAAATACGTCCTCGGAGACGACGCGCTGGCATGTCTGCGCGATATCAGACGGTGGTTGAAATTATATGACGAGAAGTACAATCGCATGGACGTTGCGCGATGTCTAGGAGAGTCGAATTTGGTCAATGGTGACCTCTTACCCATTCTGTCGGCATGGTGGCATGGGAATCAGGGAAGCCGATATATGTCTCGGATCGCATTGGCATGCAGTAAGTCAGATTCCACAACGCACCTGGCCTATACTGACTTCAGAAGTGGAATTGCTAGTACCCTTGACCTGGCCGCTGGAGGTCCATGCCGAAATGCCCGCCAACCACCTTCGCCATATACCATATCTCCAACATGTGCAGGTACTGTACAAACGGGGTCTTCTCAGCCGCGGCCACACTCCCCTTCTCCGAGCCATCATCCGCATCGCCCTTCCTAGCATGGCGGTCTCTCGATCCGAACGGACGACCCGTGACGAAGGCATACTCAAGCTGATGCTCTACTTGCTCCGCAATATCGCGATCATATCCACAAATGCCCGGCTCGCGGCCGAGGGCGACGAAGAGGAGACCTCAAGATCCGCGACAATCAATGCGTTTCAGGAACAAGACGCATTCGCTCTTCTCCTCACCATGTGCTCTAACGTGGGCGATGATTTCACAATGCAAGACATGGTTCTTCTCGAGATTGTGTTCCACCTCATCAAGGGTGTTGACGTGGAGAAGCTTTTCATGAGTGATGCCCAGCGAAGCGCCAAGCGGACGGACGAGCTGAGTGAGCTGTTGAGCAAAGAGACATCCTTACGAAGGGAGTACGCCAAAAACGCGCCAACGCGGCATGGTCGATTCGGAACAATGATCTGGGTGAAACGTGACGATGCCAAAATGTCGACCGTTTCAGGTCAGGATGTGCTAAAGGACAGCCAAGCGACGTTGTACAAGATGGATCAGTCGAAGAAATGGAACAAGCCAAAGCAACGCCAGAAGCAGGAGCTGTCAGTGGTGAATAACGACTTCGACACACCGGTGCATCTCAACCCAATTGCCAGCAAAAACCTAAGGATGTTTGTGGAGGAATTCCTGGATTCTGGGTTCAACCCACTCTTCACCCACGTCCGAAAGGCCATCGAACGTGAGGCGGATCGAGTGATGGACATCAACTCCCGGCAGTATTTCTATGCAGTTGCCTGGTTTCTGGAAGCGGAGCGTACGCGACGGGTGCGCCAACGAGAGAAGCATTCGCAGAGTGAAAAGGCCGCGAAGGAATTCGAACCAGACAGCTTTTCCCTCATCGCGAGTGTCCTGAACCAGGAGACATTCGTTTTCCTGAACCGATCTATGCAATACAGCTTTGACCAGAAAGACTGGGCCGACCTCAATGCGGAGATGCGTTGCTTCACGCAGATCTTGTTAACGGTCCAGGAAATGGCAACATCGCCACTTGAAGAAGACCAAGAGATTGCGGAGAACATTCAGAACCGCATCTTCTATGAGGAGACGACCCATGACCGCATTCTCGCAATTGTCCGCGGATACAAGGATCAGGGATATGGATATTTGGATGCATGCACCGAGCTTTCCCATGTATTCCTCAGAATGTTGGAGCGCTATTCGAAGGAGAACACCGATATGCAGATCCGATCTCGACGACGTGCTAAACGAAAGAAGCAGCTCGAGCAGAAGGGCGACGAGAACAACGGAGAGGAGCAGGACTCCGAGGAGGAAGAAATGCTCGAAGCTGAAAGGGTTTCCAAGGAGCGCAAGTTCGACTTTAGACGCTTTTCCGCCAAGTTCTGCAACCAGAAATGTGTCGACACATTTGTCTCCTTTGCCCGGTTCTACCGGGAGCTGAACTCTGACCAGCTGAAACGCCTCCATCGCTATTTCTACAGAATAGCTTTTAAAGAAGAGATGAGTGTTCTGCTGTTCCGCGTCGACATCATCAACCTGTTCTACCGCATGATCAAGGGCCCGGGAGGTATGGATTCGACCAAGCCCATCTTCAAGGAGTGGGAAGAGTTTGTCCGACAACTCATCCGGCGAATGGTCAAGAAAATCGACCAGCGCCCTGCGCTGATCACAGAAATGCTTTTCAGCAAGATCAACTCTACGATGTACTACCTGGAGTTTGGGCACGAGAAACAAACAATCTCCGTGACCAGGCGGCCCCCTGCCGAACTGGTGGTCAATCCCAACGACGCGGAGACAACCGAGGACAAGATCAAAATCGTCATCGGGGCTTTGGTCAAGGACGGGAAAAACCGTCTTGTCTCATGGTTGAGTGGGGTTTTGGACTCAGCAGCAGATGAACGAGAGGCCTTTGAGATCCAGGAAGCCGCCGAGCGTGAAGAGAACACGAGAGCGTCGCGGGCTCCTAATCCCATGATTCGTACGTATCCTTGATATGTCCAAGACTGGTACCAAGCTAACATGTTCCAGCCGTCGAACCTTCTGACGACGACTGCAAAAACGAGATGTTCTCTAACGCCAAGCTCCGTCTTCTGATGGCCTTGGTCAAGTTCGAACGACTCGGAGTCGAAGACATCCCCGGAGCGTCGTGGGTTGTTCCTGCACATCTGAGCTCGGCAGACATCCGGGATATCAAATCGACAGTTGACAAGTGTCTCGCGGACCCGTTCCAGGGCACCTTTGACCGCGAGCCACAGGCGATGCTTCAACGCAAGTTCCAGAGAGAGAACAGGGGCAGCTTCGAGCCGACGCAAGAGGTTAGCTTTGGAAATGATTCCGAGGGCGAGGATACCCCTGAGTTCCTCTTCCCACCGAACCCTCGATCCAAGAGCAACGCCCTGGAGGAGCTCAAGAAGAAGCGCAAGAAGTGCAAAAACGATGATGGCGAAAAGGAGCCACTCGATGAGCAGACCATCGAAGAACGCCGCCGCGCACGCGAAGAGAATGCACGAAGTCGTCAGGCCAAAATCAAGAGTGACTTATACGTGCACGCTAGCGATGAAGAGAGCGATGACGAGGCAGATGAAGAGTTCTTCCGTCTTGAGGAAAAGAGAAGAAAAGAGCAATCCGAAAGAATCAGACAGGCTTTGCTTCTTGGGAAGGTGGAAGAGCTTGCCAACAAGGCTGGTAAGAAGACTCAGCGCAAGCGGCCTAGCGATCCGCAGATCGCTGGTGACTCCGAAAGCCAAAATAAGCGGCTGCGACAGGATATACCCGAAGATGACGATGATCTCATCATGGGAGGCTCCGAGCCGGATTCACCTGGATTGCAGACTGGTGACCACGACTCTGATGATGACTTGCGCTTCGAGGATGACTTGGCTTTCCGACGAAATCGAGAAAGCTCTGCTGCTTCTGACAGGAATGGTCCACCTGGGGAGGCGAAAGAGGATGAGGACACTCCAGTAGCTGCCTCCGGCCGAAGACGAATGCGCGCTGGGTTCGTCATTGACAGCGATTCTGAATAAGTTACGTGATGTTTGAATGTACAGTGATGACTGGGATGGAGTTGGGCGTTGGTTATGGAAGGACATAGGCTCAGCATTACCCAAATAAGTCTACTAGAAACGAAGAACGTGATAAGACAGCCAGGCATATTCCACCAGACGTACTTCTAAGTGCCCTTGTACTGGATACTGTAATGGCCATTTTGGCTTACAGACGTTGCAACGGCTCCTCAACCGAACAACTCAGCAACATGCGGGCAAAAAAGTCAACAAGGACAGTATCCTCCCCGGTGAAATCGTAGATGTGAGACTTCCGAATCACCAGCTCTTCCCTGTCCATGGAGCCGTACAGGATTCTCCCGTGTTGGGGACTCTGATATCTGATCCACGAGTTTTTCTCGCAGAGGTTCAGCCTGTTGCACGCGGTTCTGCCCTGTGGTGCCATGACTGGATGCGTGGACATGCAGAGGATGGAGAAGCCTAGAGGATTTGAGTAAGAAGAACGGAAGAAAGGGAAAAGTGGGAGAGAGTTACATCAGACTTTGTCACTCCCTGCGAGATATACAAAACTTATGAAGAGTAGCCGTCAGTCTCTGAGACGATGGAGCACCTGAAGTGTGGCTCTGTAGGGCTTACTTAGCAATATGTCTGAGCATTCCAGGTGTCAAGATGCTTTTTACCTGCGAGTTGAGGTTGCAGTTCGGGTTTTCTTGCGGGTTCCTCGATAGGGTTGATCCCAAGAGCAGACTGGCCGAGGACAGCGTTTGAGATAGCAACTCTCAACCTGAGAGAAGGCCTTATTACGCCGTACCTATCACCAGGTTCCTTGACGCTTCTCAGGAGATCATCCAGGATTGACGCAGAAGCGGTGTATAGCCGTGATGGCCTGAAGAAGGGTGATCAGACTGTTGTTAACGCTCTGCTCGTCTCTGCTTTTCGCAGACGTATTCACTTCGTACCCAATTATTACCTCCCACTGTTGCAATAGGATTGTCTGGAAGGTTTGGAGGGTTCGCCAATTGAGGTTCTGATATGGGCGAGGTAATTCCGAAACTCGCCATCGGCGGCAAGGGCCGTTCGAGACGTCGCAAGATGGGGTTCAGGCCAAATTGCCCGGGATTCAGAGCTGCTGGGGAGTGTAGAACAGTATATACTGCTCCTGCGTTACTCTGGAGTCATATCTCTTGAGTCTGTGGCAGCTTGCGTCCAGTCGGCATGAATCTTGGGCGGTTGGCCGAACAATACTGAAATGAGAAGTCATAAAAACGCAAGAATCAACTGGTGTATTGATGATGAAAGGAAAAGAAGTGTGTATGGGGGAGGAAGGGGACTTACGTATGGATCAGGCTGCGACGACGACTTCATCGTGGGTAATGGGAGTGGCTGTGACTGCAGTATATCAACCCAATTCCCCAAACTCCATTCTTCCTCACTCTTTCAACTTCACCAACACCGCTAATTTACTACAATCGCCGCTTCCGTTTCATTCACTGCGTCTTCTGAACGTGCCTACTCTTTCTACTCTCCAGACACAACACGAAAATGTTCGGAAAGAAGAGCCGCAGGGCTTCACTGCTGAAGCGCCTCAGCGCCATTTGGGAGGCTCCACGAGCAAGTCTCTCCAGACTGAGCCACAAGAGAGCGACGAGATCGTCTTCATCTTCGATCAATACCGGCAAAAGCAGCCAAACCTCCTTCCATTCATTTACCTCGCCTTCATCTGATATATCGAAGCCACCATCTCCTCCTCCCACTCCAGCACCGGAAGAGAAACCTCTTCCCAAACGCCAACACACCTCCATCATATACAGCCCGAGGCCGAGAAAGATTTCGTCGCTCATCCTTCATAAAAACACTCTCGACCTGAGCCTGATGGAAGCGAATCGACGGTGGGTGCAAGGGTATACTGATCCGGACGATGAATTCGAAGATGTGCCTCCCATTCTTTCTGACTCCTACAGCAGCAGGGTTATAGATCTCGTTATCCAGTACGAACAGCAATCCGGTCGGCCCTACACTGGCCCCGGCGTCGCATGGGTGGCTGAAGCCAAAGCTGCTCGCCAGGCCCATGACGGACAGGTTTCGTCAGCGGTACCCCAGGCAGCACGCGTCGTAGAGAATCAACCTCCTCGCGGGGTATGCTATGACGTGCTGCATGACAAGGTCGAGATGTCTATTCCCCTGCAGGCGACGGAGCCTAATAGACAGGCGCCTCAATCTACCCCCAAGCAAGTCTCTCCAAGACGGGTCCAGGAGCTGAGTGGTCGACCCAAGCCATCTCCACTCAAATCTGCACACGCAGAGGAAGCCAAGGTGTCGCTGGTGCAGCGTTCCAAGAAGGACCAGGAGAACGTGATGACCTGCCGCGAGGTCGAGTCTACCAAAGACGTCCCAGTTCCCACGTCAGAAGCCCCGTCTGGAGACACGCAGGACTCACTTGCAACCATCTTTGGAGCCAAGCAGCAAGTGAATGACCTTACCAAAGTGACGGAAGCGCAACCGCGGCAGTACTGGTTGGGACGACTAGTCACCCTCATCAATGCCTTTCACTACGAGGACTCGTTCCATCACCCCGACATTGCTACCGGATTCAGCATGCTCTCCAGCTATTCCCGTCCCTTGGGTGATACATCGTCCAAGCCTTCGCTTTACCGCACGAAGCGCGCATTCATGGTTCTTGAAAACGAATGCGTGACTGACGAAGCTGCCGCCAGTCTTTGCGAGTTCCGAGACGAGTATATTCGTCATTATGGGGATCGGTGGATGGAGTAAAAGCCTTGAGCCAGTGGAAGACACTGTTGTTTGTTCCTTGATTCATGTATTGTTTCTTCATGTCTTGAATTTGTCTGATATCCCAATTGGTCGGCGGTGTGTCGGAGTCTACTCATTATTGTTGTATGCTCAATTCCTGGTGTTTGTTCGTTGTATGTCTTTCCTAGTTTCTGTTGACTGATGCCTGTACTTTACTACGACGCACGAAAGATACCCCAGAATGGATTCAATTTTTCACGATGCTACCTCTAGGCGCTACAAGTCGAGACTGAATATGTACTACCTCACTCTTAGTTGAATACGTAATTGTAGATCTTATTATACCTGGAAATAACCCCACCGAACGCCATCCTGTATCATACATGCGCAATGTCAATGCCCTCCTAACCCGGTCATTTTCGACTCCGCAAGAAAGCGGCCACCTGCTCATGTCGAGTGACAAAGAACATACGCTTTCGGTTCGACTTCCAAACGAGAACTCCAATCTCCTCCGCATATCGACAGGGGTCTTCGTACTCCGCCAAGCTGGCAAAATCCTTGAACAAAAAGCCCGCGGTGGCCTTGACACGGTCCCGTTCCAGCTGCCACAGCCGGATCTGATCGACAACCGTGGGCGGCAGAACAGACGGCGGGATGCCCGCCTGGTTCGACGTGGAGCGGGACACGTTGTGCTTTCGCATCTGCGGATGCGCATGGGTAGCGAGGTACGAGATGATCTGGTCGGCTGTGATGCCCATCTCGATGGCGCGGCGGACGGACTGGCGGGTGATCTTGCCGGTGATCAGGTTGGGGAAGCGGTATTTCAAGGTGGTGAAGAGGGCGATGAGGGAGATCTGCAGCGGCGACGAGGTGTAGGCGTATAATCTGTAGTTTGTCTCGACGATGATGAAGCCCGAGCCGGCCTTGGCGGAGGACGTACCGTCCGGGCCGGAGAGGGAGCCGGAGATGGGGTTGCTCAAGGAGCTGGCGTCGGAGGTGAGGGTTGTTGCGAGACGGGTGGGGTAGAAGTGGGTGGCATCCGGGGAGTGCTGGTAGACGATGCCGAAGTCGGCCAGGTCGGTGAGGGTGCGGAGTTGGTTGGAGGTCAGGTGCTGCTTTTCGTAGGACTTGCCGAGCTCCAGGCTGCTGAGGAGGAAGACGAAGGAGAGGACCTCGACGCTGTCCATGCCGATGGCTTCGGCACTTTCCACGTAGAGGATCAGGATGTGCCAGACCTGCGTGCTGACGTCTTGGAGGACAAAGGCGAAGCCGTCCTGGGTGATCTCCACGCGGCGGTCGCGAATCTCGACGAGATGGCCTGCCTGGAGGAGTTGCTTCACGCCTTTGCTGAGCGTGACGTCGCGTTGGATGCCGAGTCCGCTTGTCCCCACCATGTACCCCAGAACGCCCTCCCACTGGCGTCGCGCATATTCGTCCAGGTCAGCGATGGTGACAGGAGGATGGTCGGGGAGCTGCGATAATACGCCGAACGATTGTGTCTCTTCGGTCCCGGTGAGGGCTTGTCGAAGGGAGGTGGCGAACGGGTTGGTAACGATGTAGGCGCGGACGTTGTCTGCGAGCGTTCTATTCGACAGGATGTGTAACCGTCCAAGTAAGGATAGAGCGTTGTCGCGTTCTCTAGATTACCCCTCCGTTAACAGCGGTCCATCAGAGCACGACGGAATCACTCACTTCAAGCTATCCGATTTGACCCAGAGCTCCAAATCCTTTGCGGGAAGAGGGTCCTTGAGGTAGAGAAGCGCCATGACAAAACATTTTGCTAGACATCCGATGAGAGTCAGGTCCCCCAAGGCTAGCGCCATCTACATACCCAGGTCTGGCAGCATGCGCCGGAAGATCGCGAGGGCGGTGGATGGTTGCTGGTAGAGCTTCTGGAAGACGGTTCCAGGTAGGCCCTCCAGGTAATCGAAAGGGCGGGAAGGGGCAGCAGCCATGTTGCCGGCAGTGGTGGAATCTGTCACGTCTGAAGCATGATTAGGAAAGGGAGGAGAGGGGAGGACGAAAGGACCCGAGGAGAAGGTGTTGAGAATGAAGCTGGAGTGGAGGATGCTGAGACGATGGATAAGATTGCCTCCGGTGACCGCAGCGGCCACCAAGCGCAGTCCGGGGAATCAACCGATGATCTCACCCGATATCATTCCGCTCTCTCCCAGACTACTCTCCCTTAGATTCTCTGTATTCGACTAGGAAGATGACTGCGCTGCGTTTTGTGAGATCTGTATGTTCGTCTCGTCTCCTCTTGCGTTATACCCAGTCTGACATGATACCAGGTTTGGGAGTCCTTTCGGGCTACCTCGGGGTTAGAACCTCGGTAAGTACAGCCATTCGAATACCGGGCGTTCGTTCTAACAAGTCTGCAGTTTGCTAGATAATGTAAGTTTCATCCTTGGTCTCTGTGAGAAGGTGAATGTGATAAACCATGATACTGGTCTTGAGACCAACAATCGTCTTTATCATGTCGGATGTACTGATCTGTATTGATGCGACTGCAGCTTCGAGTGACGGCTGCTAAACCCGGTGTGGTCAATTTTGAATTGGACATTGAGAAACATCATACGGTGAGACTTCATCCTACGTATGTGTATGATGGCTGGCTGACGATGGCAGAACCGCCTCAGCATCCTTCATGGGGGTACCATCGCTAGCATGGGTATGCAGTCGCACTTATTGTAACCTCTGAGCATGAACTAACGTCTTAACGATGAAGTCGACCTTGGTGGCTCCCTAGCTGTTGCTTCCCGCGGACTGTTCGCTACTGGTGTTTCCACTGATCTCAATGGTGAGCTGGCTGAGTCAAAGCCCTAATGACTGGTTGTATTGATCAGCCATAGTGACGTATCTGAGCTCTGGAGGCAAAGTAGGAGACAAGATCCTGGCGGTATGTCTATCCATATTGAACTTACTTCTGTATAGACTGAAAATACTAATCATATCATAGGAGGTCACCTGTGATAAATGTATACTCCTCTCGGGCATAGATATCCACTGAAACTAACGCCTACAGTTGGAAAAACTCTCGCCTACACCAATATCAAGTTCCTCAACTCCCAAGGTGAAGTGTTTGCGCGAGGAAGCCACACCAAGTATGCACCTGTTCCTAATAATCCAAATACAATACTCATCTATTCCACAGGTTTGTTGCCCTCGCGTGGAAAGATCCTCAGAACATCACCGAAGAACTCAGCCCACGCAAGCCGTGAATAGGATATTGGGACGGAATAGTATTCAACAGATGCACCAAGCAGACTTGTTTAGATCCATGATAGAAGAAACATACCAAACATACGATTATCAAGATGATCCAGATCAACGCTCCTCTTCGGCCCTCTCCATAGCCAGAACAGCCCGCCGAGCCACATCCCTAGTATCCGCCTCAACCTCCTCACAATCCCGGATAGCACAAAACTGATCCTTCCATAGCTTCCACCGTTTCTCACAAAGCCCCTGAGTCCCTCTATATTTGACCCTCAACCTAATCGCCTCTTTCTTCGGAAGCACCCACAACGGCCCCCCCGCCGTCCCCTCGATAACCTCATCGCGCCCAAACAAAACATGTCCCGCATGGATGACCCACATCGCCGCGACAGCCGTTTTGTACGGAAGGTCCTCTATGGTAGTAGGATCCTGCGACACGATGTCTGGTCCGCCACGGACGGGGACTGTCGCACCCTCGACCGCCTCGCTCAACGCCCATATGGCCTGATGCTCGAGCGCGGTGAGACGCTGGCCGAAGGCCCGGGCGGCATAAGCGTGCATGTTGAGGACCTTTTGTTTTCTCACGTCTGTAGGTAATTCAGGTTTGAAGACTGCGCACCTCGTTAGCTTTCGAGAGAGTTATTCGCTGGTGGGTATTTACCTTCCCAGTTGGCCGGAAACTCGGCACCGAATAGCGGCATGTCGCTCCATAGTTGACATTCCTCGCCCCAGATGACGATCGTCCGAGACGGAAGGCGTGTCAGCTCCTTGAGCACGTCAACTAGCTTGTCTTGAGCGGGATCGTCGTGGGGGATCTGGCTGGCAAAGATACACAGGAGCTCCCAGAAGTGCAGTAGGAAACCTTCGGGTTCTCTCTCTGGCCAGTGTGTCATGTACCGCGTGTATAGGCTGTCTAAGGCTGACGCCGTGTCGTCTGCCGAAGTAATAGGGGTTGCCTGGATGGCGGATTCGATAAGACGTGCGATCTCTTCATCGAAAGAGTCGGGGTTGGGGTCTTCTATGTGGAGATGGATGTGTTCCATGATGGTGACTGCGGTTGTAAACAGTAACAGGAGAGGAGGTTGATATGACGAAGATTAGGTAATTCCCGTCTACCTAGGTAGTTATATGGCAAGGTGGGAGAAAGTACGCGGCTGAGGCAGTAAGCTCTCTGCGTGATATCTGTTGGTTCTTTGCTGCTGCTGATCATGCTGGGGATTACATGTGGGCTGACTGCATGATCACCGTCGATCCTACCTCATGCTGACGTTATTGCAAACTCTTTGTTGGCTTTATTGAATGTTGTACTACGGAGGGATAATGCCCTGCCGCCTATGATATCCGAGTGTGCGGGTGCCACTGCATTGCATGAGGTGTTGCAAGTCACATACGACGATCCAGACAGCGATTTCAACTGCAATCACATAAGCATAGAGTTGTGTTACTTTCAAGCAAACGTTCCGAGCTGATTGATACTATACAGAGAATGTCTCTGTGACCGTGACTGCCCAGACATCCGGCAAGGCTTGTGCTAAGTGGCGTAGAACAAAGAAACCTGAATCAGGTGTCGTATGCACGATGCAATAGTCAGGAGATACCAAAGTCTAGCCTCTAGAGGTGCGTAGTGAGAAAAGAAGTAAAGAGAAAGATGCTTCATTAGTAGGATCCAGCTAGAGTGAATGTAGCTGTTCTGGCATATAGCCCTATAACAATTGCCGTATTGGATGTGACTGAGGCTGATCCATTATAGAGAAGCTCTGTACTCTTGAAGAACCCTAATCAATATACCGTCTGTATAGAGGGATAATGTGATGATTGAACATGCTGTAGCAAACAGCAACGATACTCTCTGCAGATGTATGTCAGATATACACCTCAGCTGGCATCTACAATATTGAAAATAGTGTAACCATTCCACTCCAACAGTATACAAAAGCAATTCTATATCACACATCATGGACTATAAAAACACACATCTTCACCATGAAACCAGAAACATCAACCAGACAGCTCAGTTTCCATTGTCAAACAGAAACAACCATGGTCTCTTTCAGCTTCATCCTCACTCTTTCCCTTGCCATCACTTCGGCATTGGCAACTCCAACCCCAACTGATGCAGACATCAACGGGGGCCAGGTACGTCCCACACCCAACAACCCAGCGACAGAACTAACATGCCCAAAGGTCTACACCTGCAAGCGAGGCGCCAACAACGACGGCGAGCTGATTGGCAAAGTCCCCCAGGACAAAGCCATCGGCCATTTCCGTGAGGCCAAAACCAAAGCCGGCAAAAGCGGCTATCCCAAGCGCTTCTACAACAACGAGAACCTCAAGTTCAAGAAGGGATGTCGCGACAAAAAGGTGGAGCTGTGGGAGCTGCCTGTCTTGAACGGTGGGCAGCGGTACGCCTACGACAAGCCGAAGCAGGAGGCTCCTCCGGGCCCGATGCGGGTTTACTACACCAAGGACTTGAAGTTCTGTGGCATTGGGACAAAGTCCAACCGCGATAACTCGGGGCCTGTTCATCTATGCAAGGTCTGAAGGGGGAGGTGGGGGCCTGATCTGTGGCTGGTGCGATGGGGATTGATTGTAGGGTGACGGATGGGGTTGACAGGTGTTTGACTTTCACATTCGCTCTTTAGTTGATATCTGTCAAGGGATCAAGGAGGACCATTGGATTGGATTGTGGGTGAGTCCTAAGGACCTTCAGGGCTCTACATATCAAGACAGACAGGCAGGAAGATCCAATGACTACGTCGGAGTATATTGCATTACTGAAATCATCTATGCCCCCTCAAATACATGCTCGTGCAGAGGGTCTTCGTCCTGTTCCTCGCCAGCGCCCAACATGACTTCGTCCTCATCAATCAGTTCGTCGTCACCATCTGGCATCGCCTCTTCGACGACAACGTTCGCCTCGCCCATAGCCTTGAGCTTGGCTTGTGTCATCTCAAAGACATACTGCCCGAGATGCTCCACGCCCTCCATGGGCGTGCCCTGCACCTCGTCGTCCAGTGATCGTGTGGTTGGGAACATCTCTCCCGGAGCAAGCATGAGCTTATCTGGACGCTGGAACAGCAAATCAAAGGCTGGCTTGAGCTCGTAGCAAGACTCGAAGACTTCACGACGACCAAGAATATAGAGGCCGAGACGAGCACGAGAAAGAGCAACAGTAAGACGGCGGACATCCCGCAGATAGCCGACTGTCCGGGTTCTGGTGAGCGAGAGAATGACATCTGGGAAACGGTCAGTTTATATCACCAAGAGGATAGACGGGGAAAGTACGTACAGTCGTTCTGTTCGCCTTGGTATTTGTCCACAGTTGTCACGATCTTGGGCATGCCGAATAGCGAGTTCTTGGCGCAGCGATGGCTCAAGACATCCTTGATCAGGGCCGTCTGGCCCGCGTAGGTAGCGAGGATGCTGATCTTGGAAGCCGGGTAGCCGAGAAGGCGCATGTACTGGTAGATAGCAACAGCGTACTCGGCCTCACCCAGGTTCTGGATGAAATGAGGCGTGGGCTCTCTTTCTCCAACACCCTGGTAGTCGGGGACGTTGATAAACTGGTAGTCAAACTGGAATCCAGAGTTGGCTTTCTTGAACTCTTCCACACTTTCAACGACCGGCAGATCACCCAGTTGTTTGTATCGCCACCGGAATAGTTCTGCGATGCTCTGCCTACAACGACCCTGCTGGTCAAGTGTGATAACAGGCACACCGAGTCTCACTAGCCGGAGGAACAAACTTTGTTCGAAGTGTGCATACTGTCGGAATGCAAGATTCTGGATGATCGGGGAGTTTTGGAGGTGATCACCGCAAAGGACCATGCGTTTCAAGGGAAGCTCGCCGTTCTTCATGTTTTGAAGAGCGGAAGGGATGAAGCTCTCAATCTCCGTGACTTGCGCCGCTTCCTCCATGACAACATTGTCGTAATGGAAACCCAAATCGGCAATTTCCTGGCGACGCATAGCAGCGTGCGTCGACGTCATCGCAATGATTCTGGCTTCTTTGACAAGAAGATAGTTGGCTTTGTCTTTCGGTTGCCGGAGGATCTCAAATGGTCGGATGTCCTCCAGCTCTGAGAAGATCTTGGCAATGTGTCGCTGGCAGCCCTCGGCCGTATCGATCACGGCCTCTTTCGTTGCCGATGGATCGAACACAGGTTGGGGAGCGGTGGAGAAGTAGGAATGGAATGGGAAGGCCGCGACAATACTTTCGGCGGTACTGTTCTCAGCGCGAGCTACGTCCCAGAACTTCGCCCACGCAGGCTGAATATAGACAGTATTGAAGTATCCAGCAGTCTCGCACGAGTTGCCGTGGGCGCCTTGTGCCCCGATTGACGCTGCCAGTCGCATAACTTCCGAGAGGTAGAAATTGCGGTTGTCGAGGAACGATTCCACCCGACCATACTTGCTATAGCTCGACTCCGTGTCAAGCTCTTCTTCACCGTGACCCAGTCGCAGGAGGTGGCGTTCATCAATGTCTAACGCGACGATTTTCTGGAACAGTTGATTCAAAGCCTGATTACTGTGCGCAACAAGCAGGGTGCGTTCACTCGGGAAATCGTGGTAAATATTGTTGATGATCTGGGTGACAACGTCTGTCTTGCCGGTTCCTGGAGGCCCGACAATGACGGTTAGACCGGGTTGCGTCCCAGATGCGATGGCTTCCACCTGGGCTGGGGTGAACCGGATACTATTGAGCTTCGGAGCATCAATAGGATAAGGACCAGGATTAGGAGGCTTGTAGGTCGAGACACGCAGGGTGCTAGGTCCTGTTCGTTCTTTTTCCACCTGATCTCTTCTGCGCTTTTTCGACTGATTCGTGGGTGGCGGCTTAGGAGCCTCTTCAACGTATTCTAACACATATGGCGGCCCAAAGCTTGAGTTCTCCTCTCCAGCTGGCTCAATCGTCATCCCAGGGAAGCTCTCAACCAGATGTTGCCAGTTTAAGAAGGTATCTCGGAAGTCGACCGACTTGAGACGGTTAGGCAACTCCGTGTACCGAGCACTAGCGGGGTCTCCGTATCCCAAAAAGATATCCTGAATCCACGAAGGGAGTGCGATGTCCGAGACAATGAGCCTTTGCATAGTTTCGAGAATGGACTTGAAGTTGTTCTCTCTTCCCTTCCTTCGCGCAATCACGTTGATAAATGGGTAGATATCTGGCTTTCCCATGGCAGTGCGGTCTTTGTCCGCCTTGAAGGCAGCAGCGTCCAGATTGACCAGCAGTCGGCGAACGCGGGGTCTTGATCGATGTCCGTTAGCCTGGCTGGAGACAGGCTCCCGTAGTGGACGGCCATTCTCATCAAGGACCTGGACAATTTCTGCTGTTCGTAGATGTGTGAGACTAGGGCTCTCGCTGGTGTCTCGTTGTCCGAACTTGTTCGCGCTACTAGGCTGCACGGCGAGGAGAAAAACCACGTCGTCCGGGCGAAGAGACTCCCACTCCCTGCGAATATGGTCTGCAAGCCTGCCGACTTCGATGGCGATCTCGGCTCTCACAAACGCAGGGTTAGCAGAGCCAACCTTCGCTGGCGCAACTTCGACGATGGCGGGTTTCGTGATGGGGATAGCCATGCGCGAAAAACCGTCGAACGTCAAGCTCTTACCATCCCGGCTGGCTCGAGGTTGCATGCGCTTGATGATCGACTCCATGTCCTTGCGAATCTGGAAGAAAGCCTCAGAGCGATAAAGAAGGAAGGACCGCCACAGGAAATCACCGAGACTGAGATACTGGAGGTTCAACTTGGGGATCGCAAGCGGCCGAGATCCGTCGTAGGTTTCGTTCCGAAGTAACGAGGAATCATAGAGGTTTTCTTCTGTCGGAACAATACTGATTTGGGAGACAGCTTCCTGGAACGGAATCTTCTTTTCATAAAAGGACAAGAGGATCTCCAGAAATAGGTGCCGGGTGGGAGTGACCTGCGACTGTTTCGGATAGGATGTCCGGAATCCCAGGTGAGTGCACAAGGCTTCGAGCTCTTGCTCTTCTAACGAAGACAACTGTCCCTCTAGTTCCGAACGCTGTTCGATCGAGCCATAATTAGACAAGGCAAGAATCATGAGTTTGTCCTTGAAATGTTTCATGGCGGTTCTCTGGAGATGCGCAAGAGCCTGGCAGTGTGATTCGTAAATTGCCTGAGGCGACAGAGCCTCTCCCGTGTAATCATCAATCGCAAAGTTCATGAAATGGTTCAGAAGGTTGTAGAAATCGCGGAAAAGCGCATTCTCGGCGGTCCGATACAGCTGGGACAAGCGGATGACGGATAGAAGGTTCAAGTCCTTCAACAGCGTATTGACATAGCGTCTCGTCGGAAGCTGGCTTAGCAGATCAACCAGAAACTCTGAGAAGCGCTCGCAGTACCGGAGATTTTCTGCTTGGTCGGTCTCGGAACCATGCAATCTCCGCAGGAAGTCGAGAAGCATCGTATAGAGCCATGAGCGTTCGAACCGCATCTTAGCCTTCGAAGCATCATCTCCCGCATCATATCGCTTCGCCGCGGCCCTCCATGCCTTTTTTAAGTTTGTTCCTTTTGCCAACACCCGTTCTCTTGCCTCGTCGGTCGAAAGATTATGCCAGATCGAGATGGAAACCAAGGGCGCGCATTCTTTTCTAATCAGGACGTTCTCGAGGGACTGAAACGCGCTAATTATAAACGATACTATCGACAAGCGCGTAGATGTTGCAAGCGACTGATCAATGCTCATGGACAGGATTCGATGGAAGAGGTTTGCGAAGTCGTCCGGTCGGTCGGAAAAGATATCTGAGCGCGTTAGCAACTGCGCCCAGAGAACGGGAAAGCGACATACCCCATATCGGCAGATGTTCACGGTGTTTAACGCTCACAACGAGGGCTATGAGCAACACATGGTAGTTGGAGGCATCTTCCGTATAGGTCGGCCAGAGGAACCTATTTTTTCGAATTAGTCCATTGACACGGAACAGAAAGCTCAACGGGCGATTGCGCGCACTTCTCGAGGATATTCAGGTTCTCCAAGGTCAGGAGTGAGCGAAAACTGAAGTTTTCGGCCTCCAGGGCGTCCCATAGGTCTTTCTTGATGACATCCTGCTTGACTTTTCGGACCTTGGATGTCTTCAGCCAGTGGGTTTTTGCCAGCTGCACCCAAGCACTGTCTTCGCGAAAGTCCTCCACCGTCGGCCGAGAGTCCAGGCCGTGCGCCATTGCCTGACGAGATTGTAGCCCCATTCCTTGACGTTGGGAGGGATGTCAAAGAACTCCGAGCGCGGATCGGGTTTATCTGCGCAAGTGGTTCGTTGCGGCGGAATTACCAATTGGGAAGCTTCTGGCGCGCGGCTAACAAGAGCTGTCGGCGGCTAAAGTCCGCAGAGCCGCAGCGCAACATCCCGTGATTGACATCCTTTGTTGTCAAACGTCACAACAGCACTCTCTTTCTTCCGCAATTCCTCTCTTTCTCCTGATCCATCGACTGTCAGCATGGCGGACGTGGATGTTGAGTCCATCTGTATTTACAGGCGGCTGATCGACGATCTGTTGGCGCGCGCAGACCAAGCCAAACCGGACAAGCAAATCGAACCCCCGTTGACAGAAACACAGTTGGGGGAGAAAATATGGGCTCTCCAGGGAGAGAATGAGCAGGCGGTGGCGCATTTAGGTCAACAGACCCAGTTTGCGGCGGTCGAGATTGCTTTTCGAGAGAAGTTCTACAGTCTCCTGGTACGATCCCTTCTGGTCATTTCGGTTGAACCTCATTCAGAAGGCTAACTATCTTTGCTATAGGCGACGACCTCTATAGACGAGCCGGAATTCATTCATATTTGGAATCTCCTCGACATCATCTCGATCTTCTCCGATAACGGTCAGTAAGCTACCGGCGTTGCGCAGGTCACGGCCTGACATTTCTACAGAACAGTGTGAACCGGGGTTGATATTCTGGTTGATTGAGGAGCTTCTCGACAGTCAGACGATAGACGGCTGTCGTAAAGTCTTTGATTATCTGGAGTCCCGACGAGAGCGCAATACCAAAGTATGGTCTGCCTAGCTTTCGGTCGATCTAGACTACTAACGCGACTGCAGAAACACTTCAAACAGAAGAACCTTATTATCCTCCGTTCGTGCAATGAGTTACTTCGACGGCTCTCGAGAGCTGAAGATACCGTGTTTTGCGGACGGGTCTTCATCTTCCTTTTTCAGAGCTTCCCCCTGGGCGACAAGAGCGCCGTCAACCTCCGGGGCGAGTACCACACCGAAAATGTTACCACCTTTGACGACATAACAAAGGAACCTACAAAGGAGAGCGCCGATACGGATGTGGAAATGGTGGACGAACAAAGCGCGCCACCCGCGGCCGAAGGTCAGAAGGACGAAAGCGAACCCCAGCCAGCTCCCACCGCATCTCAGACTCCCGACTCGTCCAAACCGCCCAAAGTCGTTATTTCTACAAGCGAAGATCGGGAGGAAGATAAGAAGGTTGACTTCGATACTCTCTACCCGATGTTTTGGGGTCTACAGGCGTACTTTTCTGCCCCGACCAAGGTCTTCGACCCTCAGCATTTTGCAACTTTCAAGTCTGGGCTAGAGGCCACTCTGGATGCGTTCAAGAAGGTCAATACAGACCTTGAGAATTCGAATTCCAACCGAGCGTCAGAGGAACTGCGAAAAGCCAACAAGCGCAAGCGAGGGGCCGACGGCCAGGAGATCGGAGGCAGCTTCAACCCGAAGTATCTTACAAGCAGAGACTTATTCGACCTGGAAGTGAGTCTCCACCACGAATTTTCGCTCCCCACGCTGACAGCTCTAGATCAATGACACGGCTTTCAGAAGACACGTTCTCGTGCAAGCCTTGATTCTTCTGGATTTCATGCTTTCACTTACACCGAAAGCGAAAGCGAAGCTGACTGATCTGACCAACAAATCCGTGTTATATGGATTCGTCTTGAATGACGAGGATGTAAGAACGCCCTCAACCAATAAGAAGCATACGCTAACAACCCCAGGCCAAGTGGGCGATCAAGGTCCGAAAAGCCATCGAAGAGTATCTTCAGCAAGGCATTGGTGGGAAATTCTACTACCGGATGGTGGACACGGTGCTGTCGCGAGACAAGAACTGGGTACGCTGGAAGGCCGAAGGGTGTCCGTTGATTGAACGTCCACCGGTCTCCGTGACGGAATACCTCGGTGCTCGTGATGTTGCAACCAAGGTCTATGCCAACAAGCGTCTTCGGGCATCGCCCATGGGGTCACTTGATCTGAAGTTTCTCTCGGACGGCGAGTCCCTTTCGGGCATGGAGCGGTTGAAGGAGGCGGAAAGGTAAACAAGGCTAAGGTTATTCGAAGCCCGGTTGTTCATTGGCTGACATGACGCAGATTTACTGTCCCAAGCTCGGATTCCTTCATGATGGGGATCATGGATGATGACTTAGATCTGGACATGGCTCAGACGGAAGAGGACAAGGATGCCGCGGTCCGGTCGAAGGACAGTAAGATATGGCGTATTTTACGGCTGTCTGCTAAGAGCAAGCTTGCGGCGTTCGACAAGATTGAAGATGGGAAAAACCTGAAAATCCTGTTTGAGGCCCCCCAGCCGACCGAAGGCACTCCACAGGCGCTTGAAGGGACTCCGCAAGCCGCCGAGCCAGCAAAAGCCTCGACAGAGGAGACTACCGCCCAAGAGGAGAGCCAAGAGAACGGAAACGTCGGAAATGGCGAGTCTAAGGAAGACCCCTCTGAAGAGAAGCCAGCCGACTCAGCCGACTCCAACGGTGCGACTGATGTGGACCACCAGACAACGTGAAGGCGAGCCTCGTGAGAATGGTGGTTGGGCAGACCTAGGTAGATGCGAGGGAATTGGAGTCTACACTCCGGACGAAACCATGCTGGATGTGATGTATCGTCCGTGGTGAATCTGGTTGTCTGCATCAATTGTCACCGCACTAGGGATGGTGTCCTGCAGGACAGTGACGAAGTGGGATGGCCGTGGCGGCGGCCTCTTAGAACAGTGCGTCGGCTTTACGGGAGGGCCGTGACGCCCGTTATCACGAGGCAGCTGTGAGATTATGGTGGGGGCTCCCACCACTTCATTGGTCTCTTCTAGGGCCTGACCGGCACTTGGATATCCCCCACCCTGTCGCTCGACCAGATCAGAAGCCTCCGGGCGGCTAGCGGATGCGAGGCCGCAAGCGGCTGGTGCGAGGGAAGGGCTAGAATCCGAAAGACGGGAGACGGAGGACGGCTGCTGGGAACGGGACGATGTTGAGCATATCCCGCATCTGGCTCCGTCGACTGCAGAGACTCAAGTGGCGAGGGCCTGACAACGCGACTCGGATGTCCTCGGTACGATGTAGCGCAGCGCAGAAGACCTAGGACTGAGTCGAGACAACCGCCTCTGCGACCAGAGATCTGGATAAGCTACAGAAGGACCAAAATGTTCGATGATCAACAACTTTAATTACCTGGGAGTGTTCCTGCATATAATTGAAAGGTCGAATTTCTTTTTCTCCTCCGCAGTGGGTAAGACTGGATGAAAAGAATTGATTGCATTTCATTCCTTTAATCTTCCAGAGCTGTCATGCGAAATTGCAGTGCCATGTCTGGGGCGGATGGAGTCTAGATGCTCTGATACGCCATGTTTCAGCGCCCCAGCGCGATGGGATTCCGTTCGCATGCAAGCGACGACCCGTCAGATGAATTTTTCCTGTCGTTGCCTCGTCAGGGATCTGGGATAGTAGGGGGCTTCATTTCGATTGCAGCCGTGCGCGGCCGTGTTTCCGGTATATCCACCATTGGGACGGCGAATTTCTTCTCGATTGGGGAAAATCCATGGACTTCCAATGTTCTTGGATGCAGCCCTAAGGACATGAGTACCACATTCGACGTATACTATCCACAGATGATTGTAAGCAGACAATGCGATTGTCTTGTTGATGAGCTCCAGTTCTCATGGCTGGATTCTCTCGGTTCTTTTTGCTTCATTCCTCTACTCTGCAGTCCTTTAGGGCTAGATGCCCACCGTATTCGCATCCATTGCCCGATAGGCCAATCGGAAAACAATGATGGTGGCATCAAGACATATATGCCTCGGTATCTGGCCCGTAATGCAAGGCCCATGGATGGCATCGTTAGACGACGTTTCATGGTGGACCACTGCCCCACGCACAGACCAGCCACGGTCGACAACAATCCTCATCGTTGAAGGATCCCTCAGTACGAGTCTAGTCTACTCCAGAGCACGGAGTAGTTATACGCCGGATCGGGAAATTTATCTGGGTTGGTTGTGAACGCACGTTCGGCGTCTATCATGGGAATTTTGAAAGATTGAAAAGAATGACAACACAACACCACCCGACGCTACTTGCCGAAATCCTCCCCAGCTTGCGTAATGGCCTTATCCACCGTCCGATCTGATCCATCATCGTGAGAAATTGGAGGGGCCGCGATCTGTCTTGGCGACTACGCGAAGCCTTGGGACGGATTAAAGTTGCTCATCGCTCGCTACCATCCAGGAGCCCACCGGCTCGATCGTCGGCGATGTGCCTGAGATCGTCTTCCCCGCACCGTTGCTGGGATGGGAATCGTCTTGAGATGAGATGATGGGATGGAATTCAATACGATGGGACAGGCCGGCTCGGACGCCGTGCCTGTCCCCTTTACCGGTTTCGCGAACCGTCTCCTACTCCGTCCGATGAGATGGTCCTGCGATGATCGTCTGAAGGGATTGGTGATCCACCCGATTGATTTCTTCGTGTCTCTTTCCTTCGCTGTCTATGACAATTCCGTCGGAATTGAGCTGAGCATCATGCCATCGTCTCTAGTCCAGCATCCACCAGGGGCTCCTCGTTTTCCTCCACTTGAGTGATCGGCTGCCGCGAGCTGACTAGTATGGAGTTGAGCATCTCAGCTGAAGCTTCTTAACACTGCAGGCGATAAATGCCGGGCATGGCATTCATTCTACCCACCCCACAAGGAGAAAGGACTATGAAACGAGATCAACAGACCGACCAGGAAGACATGGGTATCGGGATCTCTACAATCCCGTTCTCCGAGTTGCCTCTTGAATCGCAACCGAACGCAGTGAGGCAGTGAGGCATCTGGACGGGAGCTCGTTGTTCGCCGAGATGGTGTTTCCTAACTTCAGCTAAGCCCCCGAACTAGTCATGGACGGAAGGCATCGGCCCCCAACAATTTTCTCACTACGAGGCACTAGTCGATAGCTGGGAGCCGGATTCAGAATTTGTCGTGGGGGTCTTCCAAAGCCAAGACGGTTGGAAGTACTTCCATGGGGTTCTGTAGAGGAGCTCATCGTGAGGGCTTCGGGTGGTAAATAATTTCCGATGTCGATACCTGCCATCGGCGTCCAGCCCTGCCCACACAGGAGGTGGTCCTGATTAACTAGATTGAGAGGTTCTCCTTACAGGAGACACAGTGGGATGTCCTTTATAGTAAATCCCGAGTCTGCAGTACTCCGTATGCAGCCATATTCTAGGATTTACTATATGTGATGGAGGATGACGCTCGGCTACCCCACTGCAGCCTCGGATTTATCGCTTGTGATCTCGATTAATTTCTGATCCTCCTGCAATCAGCCATGCCCCGGAGAAACAGGAGAAAAATCAGGAGGAAACCAGCGAGAATTGTTTCACACAGATCCAGGTGGAAACATGTCTCGTCTGTCATCCACTCATTCCCCGTTATCCACCGCCCCGGTGGAGGCCACCTGAATCCGCCTGCAAACCGTTGACCGCACGAGTTTAGCGTCTCGCTCGGTTCAAGGTCCGTTCAATCTCGTCCAGTGCATGGTCCGCTCCTTGGTCCTGACCCTTCGGCCGCGAGACACTCGAAGCTCGGATTCCCCTGGGATTGACTCCGCAAACCCTGCCTATCGAGTCGACCATACCGTGATGGGTATGGCGGGTTTTACATCTGCTCCGGTTGCATTCGACCTACGTATCACGTACGTATGCGTATCTCCGTTGCTGGCTGCGTGTCACTGTCATCATGCTTTGCGCTGGAACCGACCATGGCACGGGGAAGGGCCTGACCCTGGTTGACTCCCGATTCGACCAATTCGATCGTGCGATCAGGCCGGAAATGAAGGATGGTGCTTTCCACTCTGAATCGTCATTGTTTACGGAGTACATTCCCTCGTTGTGATCAGTCCCAGAGGAATGAGACCGAGATGCACCGTTTCTGCCTCGAGACGACTCCTGATCGATGTCCGGTCTCCGGCGGGTTATGGAGCCACCACCACGACTAGCGTGGTCGGTACGCCTTCCACATGGTGTAGCAGATGAGTCAGGACAGTCCCAGCCGGCAGCAAGCGTACGGAGTACAGGGTCTCTGAATTTATCCTCCAAACAACGGTTGGCTGGCCCCGATCCATGCATCCTCGCGATGTCAGACTAGCGGAATCCAAGACTCGACTGACCCGCACGGTGCGATGCGTACGATCGACTCGGTCCTAGTTCCACGTCGGAAAATTTACGAGCAATGATAGCTGGTCTTTTCTGGAGTCGGCATGAACCAGGTACTCCAGGGGAAGTAATGGTTACAGAATGATCCGTTGATTTTGTTTTCTTTTTCTTTTTTTTCGGGTCTCTATTTTTCTGACTTCCCCATCTTTGGACCGGAATTATCAGAACTACTGTCCTCGACGGGTTAGACTGAAGTCTTACTTTGCCACCTTGCACTTCGCTTGGACAAGTGGACGAGGTATTGTTACATACATACCTGCTTCTATATCCTTCGATGTGGCTGTCCCCTGTTATTTCATTTTTGGGCCGTTTTTTCTCACAGGATTTTCCCCGATTCACCGTGTCCCTGCCGTGAACCCAGGAGATCTTGAAAATCCCGAAAACACAATTTCTGGTGGGTTTCACGACGTTAGACGATCATCCTGGTGTCCGTGGTCATCTTAGAACGGCCGGTGACCTACATCCACATTGTTGCAGTGGGCGTCTAGCACTCCAACGACCGCAACAGGACTGGATCCCATCCCATCCTGGCCAAGTCGCTCATCCCACCCAACCTCCTTTCCCCTCTTCATTCTTCCTCTCGAGTCATTGGCGTTATTCGTCGTCCTACGGAGAACGTAAACAGCCCACGCAGGGGAGACTGGATACCGAAACCATCAAGCCGGGAGCGTGCGCGACTCCCTCGTTCTTTTGACCTTGTCTTTATATCACAGTCCAAGTGCCCGGCCTAGCATCTAGTATCTGCCTATCGTTGGTTAGCTCCCTGTACAAGCAAGCAAGCAGCAAGCAAGTCACTCGTTCATTGCCACTGCCACTGCCACTGCACCATCTCCCTCGTCAACGGCCGAGAGTTCCTTCGTTTCCGTGCCTCTGCATCCTTAGCATAACTCTAGGCGGCCAACGTGGAAGAGCCGGTGGACCACTATCGGGCGTCATCAGGACTGGTTTGCGTCTAACGACCCCCGTCCTCCTGCTGTTATTTCCACTGCCGTGATTATTATTTCTTTATTTTCTTTTCTCTCCCCTTTACCCGCTTGGCTAAGCACGGTTTAATATCCTCTATAACCTCTTACCCACCGTCGCGGCAGACCCCATCGTGCCCAGGACCCAGAGGGATCGACTCTCCTTATACCTGACCGTTGGTGTTAGCTGACTCTGATATTCTCCTTTTTCTCCGATTGCGCCGAGGTTTCTGCAGGGTGAGTAAGGGGAGGTGGCGACTAAAAAGAGTCCCCGAGTTCCAAGTCCTTGCTGGTGCTGTTCGATCGTGGTCATCCGGGTAGTCTATTCATCCCTCAGAAGAGTCCATATTCCTGTCTCTAGTCCATATCCTTCGTCTTTCGCTCGTTATTATTCGAAGGTCTGGACAGGGAGTCTCGGGACTTCATCTTCACTTCGTGTCTTTCGCCATATTTGAACCAGCCCTATCTCGACCAACCGCCAAGCTCATCATCGACTTGAGATCCCCTACTCATAGTTACATGGAGTAGGGCTGCCGCATCTACCATGTCAATCAGTGGACCGTGTGCCTGGTTGTCGTCGTTACCACCTCCGTCAACCTCCCACTTATCGGCCATCACGAATCACTGGCAGACGACAGGCTCCTGGAACGCGGAGCCGATCTCACCCAAAGCCCGGGTGTTGCCGTCGAGATCGCCCCGGTCGTGGGAGAAAGAAGACCCCGCGGGAAAGCGACTCCCGGTCGACATGCAACCGGCCGGCCTGAAGGCTGAGAATGCCTTTCCAGCGGCCGCCCCGGCACCCACGGGGGCCTCTGGTTCATCGGCGACGTACGCGGGCGCCGAGCTGCGAGGGAACCCCTCGGAGCACAGGACCGCGGAGGCGTCGAACGACACGTCCCTGTCGCGGATGAGGTTGGATAAGCTCAACCACAGCGAGCCGGTATTGTCGGCGGCGAGGCCCCAAACGCCGCAGCCGGAGAACACGAAGCGCGAGGTGGAGTCGCGCGAGAACGAGAAAGATGTGGGAGAGGTGATTGCCTCGTCGGATGAGGGCACGGCGTCGCCGGGAAAGAGACCGTTGGATTCGAAGAATGATAAGAAGAAGATGAAGCGGTTTCGGTGAGTGCCACGAAGTTCCAGGCTACCGTTGGTGGGCGAAGACTGACCTGTTAGGCTTACACATAATCAAACGCGATTTCTGATGAGCGAGTTCACCCGTCAAGCGCACCCTGACGCGGCCCATCGTGAGCGGCTGTCGCGCGAGATCCCCGGATTAACACCTCGCCAAGTGCAGGTCTGGTTCCAGAACCGGTACGTGATGCCCAGAATGGATGGGCATACAGTCACCCGCTAACATTCTACAGACGCGCGAAGCTCAAGCGGCTGACCAGCAACGACCGCGAGCGCATGCTCAAGTCTCGAGCGTTGCCGGATGACTTTGACACGACCCAGGTACTACGCACTCCGTTTGATGGCAAAGGGCCAGAAGCACCGGTGCGTCTCTTCGAGCGAACCACACAAACACCAGCTAACCCTCGCAGATGCTGTTGACGGATGGGCTTCCCCGACTGAACGACGACGACTATGTAATTTCGCCACTGAGCTCGGCGTCAACGACAGGCAACGGCTTCTCTGCGGGCGCCGACCGGAATCTCGAGGGCTACGCCGCCGGCACGGTTGGCCGGGGCCCGCCGGGGCCCATGTCGACGCTGCAACGAAATCGCAACGCGTTCCCGTTCCCGCGCTCGAGCAGTTTCTCCGAGCCGTCATACAACACCGGACTGCATTTCCCGGGGCGGTTCTCGCGACCTGGCGAGCCCCTGGCGCACCCAGGGCTGCCGTACGGACGACGCCCGATGGATTATATGAGCCGGCCGGGGATGGTGGTCGGGTATGAGCAGCCACGCCAGATGGAGGGGTCGGTGTCGCCGACGGGGGCGCCGGAGCAGGCCATGTCATACATGGACGGTCATAGTACGTTGATATTCTCCATCCATTGAGTACCGCATGCTAACGGGTAGTTGTCCAGACCAACCAGTCCATAGCTACCAGTCGCCGCTGACGATGCCCGCGCCGAAAGGCTACGGACTGGAGATGAGCTCGCACATGCAGCCGGGTCGCCATATCCCGGCGCTACAGTCGCTGCCGGTCTCCGAGGCCGCGGAGTACCGGCCGTACTCGTACGAACACCACCCGTACAGCATGAACACGGCACTGCCGTACACGCAGGCCAACGCGTCGAGCATGAGTCTCCCAGCGTCGTTTCCCTCCGACACGAGCAACGTGACGCACGGCACGACGAGCGCGGCCGACGAGCGGATGAACAATCCGCCTGCGGTGATGGGCGACGCGCTGCGGGCGAAGTACGGGCCGCAGTTTGAATACGCCAATTATCTCTAATCTTGGTTGTCATATTGGATCTGCTCTGCACTGGAAGGAGTGCGTATTGTATCGTACCTTATCTTAATGTTTGTTCATATTGGATTGAGGGAAAACTGCATTGTTCGACTTGGAGGAGGGACATATACGGCGTTTGTTTGCGAGTGCTACATGGTGATACTTAGCTTAGTGATAATATTATTGTTTGAGTGTACATTGTCTTCTACCTGTAGTGCCTGGAATAACAGGCACTGGTAAAGTATGGGATGATGTCTATCGAATCAGGACACAGCAAAAGGTCCGAAAGAGTCATACAATATGGCAGCCAATCAAAGGACAGATATTGGTCAGCAGTGTTGTACCACAGAGACTATAAAACATCCTCTTCCATCTGTCCTGACAGTCATTTATATTCATTCAGTCATATCTCAATATTGACAATTAACCGTTCAATTCATTCCTCCCAGCTATATCCCTCATCCCAAGTCTTCTTGTGGTTGCATTGCTGGCACGGACAAGACCTCCTCTGACGTCATACCACCACCACTACATACATCTACACCATCTCTCATTGCAAAATGACCCCCTCAACCTGCTGCAAAACCTCCAGCGACGGCTCCTGCGCCTGCGCTGCCCAGGCCAAATGCTCCTGCGGCAAGGAGTCCGCCCTGCACTGTACCTGCAACAAGGCGTCGACCGAGAACAGTGTTTCCGGGCCGCGGTGCTCGTGCCGTATGTCCCTGTCCAGACTTTCCTTACAATGCTTTCATAGAATGATAATGGCTAACAGTATGTAGGCGCCCGCCCCGCCGGCCAGTGTACGTGCGAGCGTGCCGCCAGCGAGAACCACCCTGTGACTGGCGCGGCGTGTCCGTGTGGCGCGCGGCCGGAGACCTCGTGTACGTGTGAGAAGGCGGAGAAGGTGGATGCTGCTGTGGAGGGGTTGGAGACGGATTTTACTGCTAAGTAGCTTGAGCTTTGATTTGATTGTTATGTATTGTGTTTTGGTGTTTGGGTTGGGTTGGTTGGTGCATTGTTCTGGGTGATTGTTTGATGGTGCATACTACTATACTGTTTATGAAATATCAAGATCAAATGGTGATATACCTAAGTTACTTTGTCTAGGTCTAGCTTGGCTAGAGCTGCAGTGCGGTTCAGATTCAATCCATATGACCATCAAGCACATCATATTCCTATCCTACAATCAACATACGGAGTACAACATACATACTACCTCATCAGATACTGCACTGCCTACTCCTCCGGCCTCTCCCCCATCTCACTCAACCTCTCCTCCGCATGCTGCCGTCCACTCTCCGTCACATTGGGATTATGCATCGCCCTACCCAGTCGCCGTCAGCCCAGCCCCTCTACTCGACAGGCTAATACTCACGCCTTGAGCCCGCTGACCACACGGGTCGGATCCTTGCCATGCTCCGCGTGGGCGTGGAGCTCCTCGCGCGGCTGGTCGCCGCCCAGTTCGTTGAGCATTTCCTGGGCGTGCTTTTTGGCTTCGTTGGAGGTGCGCGGGTTGCTCAGCGTGCTGTACGGAATGATGTCAGTCTGGGTTGAGAGGGTGTAGAGGAAGAGAGCGTACGACTTGTAGCCACGCATGGCGTTGACTCTTTCCTCGGCGGACATTGTTTCTTCGGTGGACATTGGGATGGTTTGCTGTGTTTCGTAGCGATGGGTGTGAGCTTGGGAGGATGAGGATGTGTTTGTGTTGTGAGGTATGAGGGTTGTTATATAGAATGCGCTGCGCGCCACATATGTCAAGGTGATGATGTATGTCTGATCTGATTTGATGCAGGAGATTCCCTGAGCTAATCTAATCTCATCATGTCCTCATTGGTGTCAGACTGATGCGTCCAATGGAGATAGACAACGTCATTACTATGTATGTCTAATATCAACAGTGCAAGTGCTATTAACGCTCTCACAAAACGTATGTACTAAAATACACCGCTCGCAAACGGAAGAATCGAACACCCCAGGCCCTACCGTCCACTGTACATTTCCTCCAGGTTGCCCTGCGACAGCCGTTGCTCCATCTGCTTGGCCAGCGCCTGCGGCACCGATTCCTGTGTGGCCCGGATCGTGATCCGGTACATCTATCTAGTTAGCTTGTCACGCCATAACAATACTGCGTAGGGACATACCTTTCCGTCGTAGTTCGGTTCCAGCCGCAGCAGACATCCCGTCTTCCCCGTCGCGAATTGGTACACCGCGCACCCGACAATGTTCTTCGGGTTGGGGTCCACCCCGTCCAGGATCTTCCACCCGAATCCCTGCACCACGCGACGAGTGAACGCTTCGCCAATGTCCTTGGCCTTGGGCTGCGCGCCGAACGTGTGCTGTGCCTCCAGCGGGCCGCCGCCGATCTGGCGCCAGCGCTTGAAGAACTCCTCCGCCGACAGTGTCGACGGCTCCATGTAGCGGTGCATCAGAACCGGGAGCTGCAGGGTGTACGCTTGCAAAGCGCCAGCAAGATACGAAATGCGGATGGTGGGCGCATCTGTGAACGGCCCCTTTGACTCGAAGAAGAGCGTCTGTTGCGTCTGGCCAGCGGGTGGCACGGACGCGTCCGGCAGGCTCTTGGTGTCGATTTTGAGGTTGGGGGCTGCGGGGTTGTCGACGGTCGTGGTGACGGAGCCGATCGCAAACGAGGACTTGTTGCTGATGTACACCTTCACGACACCCATGTGCGCGCGGTACTCGGACCGCAGACCAACTTGGATCTGCGCATCCTCGAACAGCACGCCTTCGTGGGCGAAGTACAGCCGGTTGTATCCAATGTCCCACTCCGGCGTGAGATGCGCCGCACTGGCCATGTTGGGTGGCGGCGCCGACGAAGCGCTGAGATCCAGTCCGGCCAGATCGCCAGAAGCACTTCCCGCTGCCTTTCCGTTGGCCCCGGTCCTCGTGCCGTTGACGATCGTTGTAAAGGTACGCTTAAGTCCGGTGTTCTGCGCCATGAGGACCTCTTGCTTGTCGGCGTTGGCTGCCTTGCCGCCCACCACCCATGTCTTCTTGTCGGAGGTGCCGGCAGTCTTCTGGTGCAGTCGGGACAGAAGGATGGACGCCCGCTCCGAGAACGGCGGCATTTCATCGCACACCGTGCGGAGGAGATCATCCGAGGGAAGCGTCGCCAGCGACAGGTACTCGAACGCGCGCTGTTGCAGTTCGGAGTCAGGAGAGTGACTGTACAAGCGGAATATGTGCAAGAGCTGGGGTTTGATTTCAGGGAAGAGGTTGACGAATTTGATGAACGATGACAAGATCATCGCCCGCGTGTTGTCAGTGCTGGTGATCATCTTGGCTTGCAATGCCAGGAACTGTTCAATCGGGCTGGAGCCTTGGTTTTCTGCGATCAGATGGCCAAACTCGCCCAGGACGTAGCATCCGATCTTCACCAAGCTCTCGTGGCAGTCCGTCTTCATATAGCCGAGGAGGGTATGAGCGGCATACGCCTGCAGCTCCTCGTTGTTGGTCACGATTTGGATCACACGCTGCCACACTTCGTCATTGACGTGGTCGCCCGCCAACGACAACAGCTTCAGGGTCATGTCAATATACCACTGCGCGTCAGTGGCGTACTTTTCTGTAAGAATAGCAACTTTCAGGACCATCTCCTCTCGGATGGCATAGTCGGCGGTCTGCAGGTACCGCAGCAGTTCGTTCACGATGGGGCCGGCATTCGTCGTGTCGCACATGCTGTAAATCAGGTCCAAACCCTTCCGCCGGACGCTAATATCGCGATCTCGTAGGGAGCCCAGGATGATGTTCTGGTGCTTTTTGATAGGGTCCAAGGTCTCCGCCCGGGCCGCAAAATGCGTCATGGCTTCCAGACCCAGGTACCGGACGTTCGTCTCACGCGATTGGATGTACTTCCCAAGACGAGCTGAGATCTGCATCATGAGGGAGTGTTCAGTATCGAGATGGATGAGTAGGTTGATGGCTTCGAAGAGTACGGCATTCTGGGCGTTGTTCTGCTGCACGTTTTTAGGTGTATCCATGGCCGCGTTCATGATTTGTTGCAGGGACTCTCGGATGATCTCACGGACATGGCTATCCTCTGGGGATTGTTAGCGGGGCCATTGCGCACCGTAGAGCAGGGGAGGTACCTGACGGAGGGTAATACTGCAGCAGGCGCAGGAACTTGACCTGAATCCACGGGCATGGCACCCGATAGTAGAGGTAGTCCGGCTGGATGTCATTGTCAACCACGATGCGCTTCAACCGCTGAGCCGCCTTGACGTAGCTACCCCGATATTCCTCCGGTTTATCCTGCGCCAGGGCCATGACAAGCGATGTGACCGACAAAGTCACACCCATGTCAGGATCATCCATGATCGAGATGATCCGCTCGGCCCATTCATTCTGGACAATGCTGGGATACTTGCGGTACAATCGGAGGAGCGTCAAGGCTGCCTTCTTCTTCACAAATGCCTTGGAAGTACTGCACTGGATTAGCTTTGTCCACCGTCGCAAAGACAGTAAACTCACGGAGAAATCAGCAGGCGATGAACATCGGTCGACAACGCCTCGCCCATCTCCCTGCTCCCCACATTGGCCACCGCATGCAGGGCCAGACAATTATTCAACTCATTATGATCCAGCAAATCCTTCCGGATACTATTCACCACCAAATGCAGCAGTTCGTGTTCCTCATGCAAGAACAGAGTAACGGCCAGATAACCGATTTGTTTTTCGGAGTATTTGGTCGACGAGATGAGGTTCACCGCCTCCAGGTGGCCGAAATCGACATCGTACCCCTGAATGTAAACGTAGAGCAGCTTGCACACGTATTTCTTCTTCTGGTAGCCGTTCAAGCTGCCGCCCTTGAATTTCTGTCGGATGTTGGCCAATTCCTTGTTCACCCGTTTCTCTTCCAGTTCGCGCGCTCGAGCATTCCGCAGGTCGGCGATGAATTGGACTAATCCTCGCATGGACGACATGGTGGGCAGACTCGCAACGTCACCGAATCACCGGAGGGGTAGCAATGGGTGTATTCGCAGGACGGAGGCCGTTCTCTTCGCTCAGTCGGCAGTCGGACGATCGCGTAAACACCACGCGACGGAATCAATCGGAGAGACTGATCTCATATAAGCATGTCCTCAAGTTGCGTCGTCTGTGTCTTGTGCAGTTCGGTCATTCAGGAGCGGTGTTATGGCGCATGGAACATGGCGAAATTCCAGGGGCGGTCCGAGGGCGAGGGATGTCGAGAACGCGACGGGGTCGGTCTTGTTCGTAGGAAGGTAATTCTCCAGAAGTGGTGTAGGTCGGTATAATTCGAAATCCCCGGTAGCTGGCCAGGAGAGCTGAATAGAAACAGGAGCTTCGAGTGTTGCAGGTGGTTTAGGGGACTGCCAGCCGGGGTTGAGCCACCGCCGTCGCCGATCCGCCGGCGATAGCGGGATAATGTTGATGCGGTGCGGCGGTGCATCCGCAAGCGGCTTCAAGTATACAAGTTGTATACTCAACCATACTGGAAACTGTGCAGGTCTATAACATGTATGTATGTTTATCTGGACTAGAAGATGGGTGCGTTGCTTCAACGATACATAAAACTATGCTAAGCAGCAACTATAGATGCTACCCTTGAGACCCTCACTATATATTTCGTAGCGCCTACCAGTGGCATAGTTTCATTCAATGTATAATGGACCTTGTACACATAGCCATCGGGAAGTTCAATTTCCTGAAGCCTTCGTATGTTATAACGCTCCAGAGTGTACTCTTCTACTTGACCGATCCAAATCAACACAGCACCGCGCGTGCTGTTGCAGCATCTTCATCTCCAGCAAATCTCGCCACTTCAACATCGAGCTCATGAGTCCGGAGACTCCATTTCCCATCTTTCCATTGTTGCAAAGGCCGAAGGGAAGCGGATACCTGGCACTTCAGCGTTTGACCCGCCTCCAAATCAACCGGGGTGAACCCTAGTAGCAAACGAGTGGGAAAGTCCTCGCACCCAGGCAGGCCATACACTTGTGCGATGAACCGTCCATCTCTCTCTCCAGTATTCCTAACGACAAACTGAACATCGATATGTTCAGAATCCTCTTTGCGGACAGTCACTTCACTCACAATGAAAGTGGTGTACGAAAGTCCACAACCAAAGGGAAACGCCGCTCTCACCCCCAGCTTGTCCAGTAGATGCTGTCCAAACCATCGGTCGTAAGAGATCTCTGAAGCATCCCGGTCAAAGAAAGGCAGGTGTGCCTCTTCCGTTGGGATGGAAAATGGCAGTCGTCCGCTTGCATCGGTCTTCCCAAGAAGAACGTCCGCTAGGGCATGCCCTCCTTCAGAACCACTGTACCAGCTCATCATGATCGCCGGAACCTTGTTCTTCCATGACTCGACAATGACAGCGCCTGCAGTGATGATTGACACCACGGTACGGGGGTTGCGTGCCGCCACGGCGGCGATGAGATTTTCGTCCTCTTCACGAAGCCGTAGCGAGACACGATCACCACCTGCCCCTGCTTCGACACCACCCTCGCTCCCGGGGTTCAGTTTTCCCTGTAATATAGCCAGAGTCTTACGCTCTTCATCATTTCGAGGAGGTGGAAGGACCTTTTGAAGATCAGGATTCTCCAGCAGGGCTGGGATAACGTATTCCCCTTCATCTTCATGGGTATAGCCAACGATGCAGATCACAGCATCTACCTGGGTAGCTAAAGTCTCTGCCTCTTTTTGAGAGTCGGCAAACAAAACCTCAACACCAGGCAAAGAAGCTCGGATGCCATCAAGTGGCGTCACGACGTTCGGTGGAAACACTTGCGATGAGCCCTTGTCACCAGTGTTGGCGATGTTAGCAAGCCGTCCAACAACAGCGACCCGCGAAAGGGAGGCCGCATTGAGAGGTAGAATGGGGCTTCCATCCACGGCATCGTTCTTCAGAAGCACCATAGACCGTGCGGCTGCTTCGCGTGCGAGAGCTCTATGCTTGTCGCAGAAGATAACATCAGCACCAGGCTGGCTATTCTCAGTCTTGACGGCAAACTCGAGCTCTTTCCGCAAGATCCTTTCGCACGACCGATCGATATCATCCCATGATAAATCTCCACGCTCAAGCGATGTCCCCAAATGCATGGCTCGCTGCTGTCTAAACGGCGCTTCAATGTCCAGACCATTCCTTACCGACTTCGCAGCATCGCGAAGCCCAAAGATAAAGTCCGACATGACGAGGCCATCAAACCCCCACTGCTCACGCAGTATCTCAGTGAGAAGGTGCTTGTTCTGCCCAGCCCACTCGCCATTGACCGAGTTGTAGGCCGACATTACTGCCGCCGCACCACCCTCGACGATCCGTCGGAAGTGTGCCAGATACACTTCGTGCAGGACCGACTCATCGATGCTCACATCCACCCGAAAACGGGCATTCTCCATCGAGTTCAGGGCGTAGTGCTTGACACATGCCATCACATGGTTTTGCACACTCTGCGTCAGAGCCAGTCCAAATTCACCCAGGAGGAGGGGATCCTCGCTGTAAGTCTCCTGGATGCGACCCCAAGCAGGGTGGCGCGGGAGATTCACGCACACGCCGGCGAAGTAGTTGGCGCCCTGCGCTTTGGCCTCGAGTCCGATGGCGTCTCCAATGCGACGCTCAAGCTCCAGGTCCCACGTTGCGCCACGAGCCATCGACACAGGGAATGCGGTGGAATTCCCCATAACTACCCCACGAGGGCCATCCGTGAATTTTATCCCTGGGATGCGCAACCGGGGGACGGCGCCATGCACGTATGGAGTTCGATTGTAGCGATCACGGAGGATGGAGCCGAGCCCGGGCCAGAACTCGACGTCTCCATCAAGCAGAGCGAGGCGTTCGTCTGTGGTGAGCTGGGAAAGGAGTTTCTGAGTGACTTGCGCAAGAGGCTCGCCGGATTTGACGGCGGCAATCGCGTCGTGGAAAGTATACTCTGCGAGATGGGTCATGATGAATGCTTCGTATGCTTCTATTTAGGAACTTCTAAGACATGGATCTCTACATACGTGTTGGATGCTTTCACGGCCTCCATCGAAATATAAACGTCCCATAGCATTCTCCACAGTCAGGTCGTGGTGCGATAGATTTGATGCATGGTGCGGGGATATCGCCGACTTTAGGCAGAGATGCGATGTATTTATCCGACGGTGCTTTATCTACAGGGATCTGATGCTGGCCAAGACCTGCGGAGAGACTGCCAGCGCTTGTGGTCTGATTCGGGTGGGTATATTGAAGCTGTCTAGTCTCTGTACAATAGACAGCCCCAGGCCCTCTTATGACCCGAGATGCATCGATAAAATTCCGTTATCGCCATTCTGTCCAAAGACATCGATCACAAACTAGGGTCTGTGGACATCGCGATGGAACGTTATTATATGAAATACCCTATGCCTTTCTTTCCATTGCATGTGCATCTCGACCTAAATGAGTGGCACACGCTAGAATAGACACATCTGCTCACAAGCCATCACTCCAGTGCACCAGCTAACTTGCGCCTTTTACATGTCCATTTGCTCGCGGCATCACCTCGCTGCTGCGTTCTCGCTTTCGCTTCTTTCCCTGGCGACAACATGATATACATACAGCGGTAAGCGAGATCGCTCTCTCGCAACTGTCCATCTGTTAGCAACATACAACACAGCATCAACAGGTCTGGTGAACGCACACGAGACAAATCGAAAAGCCAAACGTAATGCCATCCATATGCTGCCATCCGGTTGGGCGGTCTTCCGGACCATTGCTATAGTGGTAATCGCTGAACACCATGGAGCACACCCCCCAGATGCCAACGCCCAACGTAACAGCCTCGAAGAAGCTGACTGTGGGGATATAGTCCAGTTTGGAGATTAAGAGGATCAAGGCGATGATGTCGGTTATAATCGAAAGACTCGCCTATCTCGCTGTCAGAGTCGAAGTTTCTTAGTATACTCCCATGATTGATGGCTACGCACCGCAGCTAACACAGCCGGGTAGATCTTTTGGGATCTGATGGGTCCCCATCGCACGGCCATGTACACAGCGAAGACGAGAAGAGTGACGCCCGACAGCAGGAGTAGGATGCGCAAGGCGATATGGATCCATGTTGCTACCTTTAGGACCGGTTTGCGCCGCATTATGGTGGAAAAGCAGACGATGTAAGAACACTGGGGTTAGAAGGACATCATAATGATTCTTATTTATGATAGTATGCAGGCTGGCATTAAGCGCATCTTATGCTAGAAACGACGGATGGTAGTGTCCATCCTGCTGCTTACAGATTAATGAAACAGATTTATTCTTGTCTACTCTCGTCTCTAGTCGCCGGGACTAGTCTCGAACCATAGGGTTCTGTTGGTCCGTTCTAGTAGCTTGAAGAGGCTATGCTGATGGTAGGAACTAACAGTAGAGGTCCGTGTACATTCTGCTATTGGAACAAATTACAGACACTTTGCTTTAAAATAAATTGGACTTGGCCCCTCGGCTTTTCTTCCCTCATCCCATAGCCCGTACCATCAGTCAGATGAAGAACGGCCACTGTTATCTGTAATCACAGGCGACGGTCCAAACGCTTTGTTAACCCCCGTCCACTCAGGATTCTCCTTTTTGGCACGTAGCAAAATCCCCGGCCACGACGGCGGCGGCGCCTTCTGAGGCTGCCGCAGCGCTTGGTCCACGACAGTATCGCCGAGGACCTTTTCAATCCCATTCCGCGGAAACACCTCCTCAAGACGATGGCGAAACTCCCAGCTTTCCTGATCCAGCGACGATCCAAAGTCAAGTAGGACAGCTTGGTGCACGAAACGCGCACAAACACTGATGCGCTGCGCAATGCCCGGGCTGGTATGCAGGGCAATCGCCTGCCAGACCTCATGCACATCGGAGTCGGGAACGCCGTGCTGGCGGAGATAATCCGCCGCCGCGTCAGCGCCTTCCACCTCGAAGCGTTGAGGGCCGTCGAATTGGCTCGCGCATCCGACGTCGTGCAGGAGACAGGCGACGGCGAGGAGACTGAGTCTCTCAGACGATGCCCATTCGGAATTCTCGCGCTGGGCGAGCCATTGCGCGAAGAGGAATACCCGAGTGCTGTGGTTTAATATGGTCTCTGGTAGGACGGATTGTGCCAGTTTGTATGCACCTTGGGCGAGTCTGTCGGCGGGGATGCTCTCGGGGATATCCTTTGGCCCTGTTGAGGCGGTGTTGGCACTATCTTCAGTATGCAGTGGTGGACACATTGCGAAATCAATAGCACTAGTAGACAGATGAGCTGGCTTGGATATCACCAGAATTAATGAGATCATGAATCCCCTGGATTTGTAACATCCCGAGATGAGTCACGAAACGCCTGTCAGGTGACATTTCTCATCTGTCAGCATCAATAATCACAACTACTAATAGGTCCTGCCATGCTGACAGTATTATTAATGGTTGCATTGTCTGAATATGGTCAGGGCGGGGACAGTTAAGGAGACATGATCGGCACCTGTCGCCCGGAGCCTCGAATGAAGTAGGTCCATCGGAATTCAGTCTAGATATAGAAAGAATGACTTGAAGCCTTTGCTTCTGCTGCTGGTATGGAGGAAGTGCTCTTGTAGAATAGGGTGAAAGACGGTGTGATGCCTTATAACTTCTTCGGAGGCCCGTATTCTCGTCGTTGTTGAAGTAGCCATTCCTGCCTCGCAGGAGATGCCATAGGTATTGCAGGCTCATCCGGTAGGTGATATAAGATGGGCTGTCTTAGCTCCTCGCCTTCTCTCTTCAGTGTATTGCTGCCGTGCGCACCGACCCAAGTTTGAAACCTGGGTTCCCCGGCCCCTGTAAAGTATATCAGGTCGTTTTGGATCATCAGCTCGTCAAGATACAGAAATGATAGCACCGAGGCTTCATCGGTGCAAAAATCGAAGATTGACCTGTATGTACCAGAGACCATCACGACATTCTCCATGGAGAGCCGACGGAGATGTACTCGCTTCAGGAATGCAAGTAGGTCTATCTCGCGGACAAACACTCCCCGCAGAGAGCACACTTCTAGCTCTGGCAGTCTGTCTAATTCCGCTATACGCTGGAAGAGCCTCTCATTTGGGCTGCGAGTGTTGGAGGAGAGGTTATGAAAGTCAATCAGATACTGGTGTATATGTAGGCTCTTCAGCGCGTGGCAGACACGTAACAGACTCGCCAGGCCAACGAAATTGTTGTCGTCTTGTGCCTCCGCGATGACTTCGTTGATGTCTTTATCAGGCTCATCGTCTGACCAGTCAACCTCATCAGCTGGTTCGTCAGACAGCTGTGCGGATAGGGGGTTGAGGTCGATAATCCGTTCTGAGATGCTGACAGACAAAGCCTTGAGAGCCCCAAGGGCCTTGATGAGTCCCTCGCTGTTGTAGTCGATCTGGGTGAGCTCAAGAGATTCCAGGCTACACTTCTGCAGCAGGGCGCCGCTAAAGACATTCAAGCAGTCAACCTCCAGTTTGCTCTCCTTTAGAGCCGCTAATACAACGCGGAAAGTCTCCGCTGCGGTCTGCCATATGAGCCTCCAACTACCGCCGGCTAGGGGAGTTGACTCCAATTGCGTGTCCTGTCGGTAAACCGTGACGGCGAGAGAGAGGGATGGACGCTTCCCAGTTGCGCTGTTCGCCGCTAGGTTCCTAAAGATCTGACTGAGAAGCTGCACAATCTGGCCCGATTCCAGTAGTTGTTGATAAGCTTGTCGCCGCTCCTGGAGAATCTCCAGGTCTCGTTTCCTGGGATCATCTGCATTTGCTTTGAGAGCTGCCTCAAGAGCCTTGGTATTATTCACCACCCCAAAGAGCGTCAGATCGCGGATTTCGCAGCCTAGCCAGCCACGTTGTGTCAAGACGACTAGCTTTTGAAGGTCAGTCCCTGTGAGCTTGACACGCCTGGAGCGGACGTAGGACCTGAAAAACCCCTGTGTGACTGCGGACCGGAGATATCGATTCGTCAGTCGAAGGTGTCCAGCATTATTAGTGAGCACGCGTATTAGCATCGCATAGGTGTCTCGTATTGCGTACCAGGGGTCTGCAAATGACCAATAGAAACCAGTTCTAATCACAGGCAAGGCAGACAGAATAGACGCCGCGTCTTACTTGACGCGAGGCTGAAAACCAACAACTTCAATTCAGGACCTCCATTGCGTCCAGTCTGACCCTATCGCAGATTTTCTGTCTCATCAACCATGCGTCTGCTGAATACCACACAGAAAATAGCCGGCGGTTTCGAGACCAAGGAGTTCTTTGACGATGCTTTACCTGATTACGCCATTCTATCGCACACATGGGGGGAAGAAGAAGTCTCGTATCAGGACCTGACAAATGGAGACTATGCAAACATGAAGGGATACGCCAAAATAAAAGAGTGCTGCTCGATTGCCAGGTCCAGAAACGTCGCATGGGCCTGGATCGACACATGCTGCATCGACAAGACAAGCAGTGCCGAGTTGACCGAGGGGATCAACTCAATGTATCGGTGGTATCAGCAGGCAAAAGTCTGCTATGCTTTCCTGGAGGATGTGCCTGCCAGACCCTTTTCAGAGAGCCGTTGGTTTACTCGGGGATGGACTCTCCAGGAACTGATCGCACCAGATACCGTGGTATTTCTCAACAGGGATTGGGAAAAAATTGGGACAAGAGATACACTTCAACGCGAGATATCCGAGTGCACCGGTATACCTCTAACGATTCTGTCCGGGGTAGAAGAGCTTGATGCGTTCAGTGTTGCCCAAAGGATGTCGTGGGCGTCGAGGAGACGAACCTCTCGCATCGAAGATCGAGCTTACTCCCTGATGGGGATATTCGGTATAAACATGCCGCTCATTTACGGGGAGGGGACAAAGGCGTTCATCAGGTTGCAGGAGGAGATCATCCGCACATTGGAAGACTACACTATCTTTGCCTGGAAGGACGAAAACAGCCACGGTGGACTGCTGGCACCGTCTCCAGATGCGTTTGCAGATTCCGCCGGCTTTGTTCGAGCCTACCATCCAGCCTTTGCAACCAAGGAGACATGGACCCTGAGCAATAGAGGAGTTCAACTGAGGCTCCCATTTATGGGAATAGGGCCCGGGAAATTAGGACTGGCTGCATTGAATTGCACGAAAGCTGGAAAAGAGACTCAATTTCTGGCCATTTATCTGAGGGATGTCTCTGGCACAATGCAGACACTGGCGAGAGTCTTGTGCGATACATTGGAGGCTATCGATGAGGATAATCTCCTCCCGTCAAGGTTTCCTTGCCGACGGATATGCGTTCCCCAGCCAGGACACCTCCTGCGAAGTGGATCGAAGTCTCGGCAGAACGGCAATTCCCAGTGGTTAGAGACCTTCATGAGGATCTTTCTGCCAGTTATCTCCGACAATATGAATACGGAGTTCTTTGAGAAAGTGACTGGGCGTGGCCGGCGTGTGGTCGAATCAGAGTGGTTGGATGAACATTTCCCCCACTCAGTGGCGTTGAGTGGAGCATACGGGGGTGTTATCGAGCGCATGCAGTCCCTACTTGGCTATACCTGCCATGCAAACGTTAGGGACATTGCAAGCAGGACGCCCTTGGCGGCTGCCGCCGCCGCCGGGGAGGCACTTGCAGTATGGTTCTTGATGTGCAGACCAAGTATAGATGTTAATGTGCCGACTTACGCGTATTGTACGTGTGGGAGTATTACTGCCCTGTGCATTGCAGCATTGATGGGCCACGAGGAGGTCGTTTGGCTGCTACTCAGCAGGGGTGATATCAAAATCTATGCGCACCCGGAGGGACCCGGCAAACGAGCTCCGGTAATGTTCGCGGTTGCAGAAGATCACAAGAATATTGTCGAGATGTTTCTAGCGAGGGATGACTTTGATGTGACGAGAGAGGGCTTGGCGGACGAGATGTTGCGTGTTGCATCCACTTGTGGACACGAGGCAATGATGAGAATGCTGCTATGCAGAATCGATCTTCATGATATTAAGTCTGCAGCAGAGAAGTACTGGACCCCAGAGAAGTGTGCCGCCCGAAATGGCGATGAGCGGATCGTCAAGCTACTGATCGCGCGGGGTGCGGATATCAACGATCGGACGTTCGGGTCCGAAAGCATGATAGAAGTCGCCGCTAAGTATGGACAGACGGCCATCGTCAGCTTGTTGCTTGATAAAGGTGCGGACTTTGTTTTTGCTGCAAGGGCCTTGGAGGAAGCCGCATTAGCAGAGCACATGGATATTGTGCGGCTCCTGGTAGACAGTCCCTATGGGAAACTACTGCTCGGAAATGTTGTCAAGCTGTTCCTAATGCTCTTGGATACCAGGCATAAGATCATCGCTGCGTTGCATGAGACAGGACGCATTTTACTCTCCCGTGGTGCGGATCGAGTCATACATCCAATTGATGTCTTCGGAGGCATTGTTCCTCATATCGATATGACAGATGAACATGGCAGAACTCTCCTATCGTGGGCAGCTGAGCATGGCCAGGACGAGGTTGTCGAGGCATTAATAAAGCACGGTGCTGATATCAACGCCAAGGATAATCATGGCAGGACGGCCTTTGATATGGCTCGAGACGGTGGTCACTATGCTGTTGTAGAGATTCTACAGAGGAAGAGGCGAAGGGATACAGATGAGGATTCTGCGGAAACGGTCTCCTGGATGCTCCAACAAGCCAAGAAGCGACGTCAGGGCCGGGTTGCTGCGAGATGGATCTAGTTTCGAACATGCGAAGAGCTTGATGAGAACAATATCAAGTACACCAAGTAAGCTATGTCCGGTGGGGGGTGCATAGAATTTTGCATCTTCCCAAAGCCGTCAAGCTGCTGGTTCTAACACTGTCCCCCAACGCAGTAACGTCACTCAAGATGAAGTACTACCTCAGCCAAAGGATACCGCTGGAGGCCTTCAGCTGAGGGTCAAGTTGGCCACCTCTGAATAGCTCTCTGAAACCACCGACGATCGTCTGCTGAGGTGACGTCAAACATGACACGTCCGCATTGAATGCCAGGCAGCATTACAGGGAGGAATGTCTATTCTGCATACTGCTTAAAGTGAACTGTGCGCATACTTACCACCTCGGTTCATGATAGGGCGGCAGATGCCTCCCCGATCACACAGTTGTAGATCATCTTGCCCGCATGGGGATGGTGGGCCGTGTTGCGATTACCCCGGGTAGATCCACCTAGACGATCTCGCTCGTTGCCTCGCCCCGACCCTGTTGGAAACGAAGATCCTCTGCTTATTGCTTTTTTGAGAGGCACGAGCGCCCACGGTGGCTGGCTGAAGAGCCTTGGGGAGGAGAGGGGCTTTATGCAACCAGCTGTACTTCGAAGAAGCAGGAAGGAACTATGATCCCAATTGTTCGTCGACCAAGTTCCACCGCCGGGGGCTCGGGGCGAACAGGTGTTCCCGCCAAAGACTATAAAGGCTGCCTCTTGAGCAATGGAAGGAAAAAAACAAACAAACAATTAATCAATCTTTCTGCTACCTGCGCGAAGGAACCAGAATCTCATAGTCCACTCAAGATGGTCCGAGTCAGCCTCCTCGCCTGGGGAGTCCTCCTCGCCAGCCCTATCCTCGCCCAGGAACAAGGTGGCAGCGAGCACCCGGAACTCGACAAATACTGCCAAGAGCAGTACCCCGGGAAGCACGCGTGGTGCAAACGCGAGTACCAGGGCCGGTGCATGAAATGCGGCACCTGCGAGGGCAAAGGCGAGAAATACTTTGACCCCGTCCTGCAGGAGGAAATCTGCTGCTGGAACGCGGGCGAAAAATGGAACTGGAATGAAGAAGCCAAGATTGGGAGCTGCTGTGCTTCTGATGCCGCTTTCTTGGTGGACCCCAAAGCCAAAAAGGGCGACTGCTGTCCGCCGGAAGGCCACAAATACTTCTACGACGAGAAGTCCGGGAGGGGCAGCTGCTGTCCTGCCGCCTCGGTGGGCTTCGATGGTGATACATGCCAGGATCCCTCTCCACCACCCGGAAAGCCTGATGACTCTTCTCCGCCTTGCGGTGGAGGTGGAGGAGGGGGTGGAGGTGGAGGTGGAGGTGGAGGAAGTAGTTGTGGAGGGGGCGGAGGCGGAGGCGGCGGCGGCGGAGGGGGTGGTCAAGGAGGTAACGGCAGCAATGGCAACAACAGCCAGTGTCCTCCCGGCTGTACGCCGTGCCCTGGCTGTGGTCAAGGCCAGGGCGGAGGTCCAGGAAACGGTCAACCCAAGCCAGGAGGACCTGGAAAGACTCCGTCAAAGCCCGTGAACACCAACTGTGCCGAGAGGATCTGCCCTGATGTCAACGGGGACACACTGGGCCTGGAGTATGGCTCCTGCTACCGTCTCAAGAATCCGAAAGGGGAGGCCTTGTCACGGCGACACACGGGCAACGATTATGTTTGGGGTGGCTACTACGGAGATCTGTATCAGTTCCGCATCTGCAAGTCCACGGCGGACTGTTCGAAAGGTGGCGAGCTCGGCATCAATGACAATTTTGTCATCAATGACCAGCTCGGCACGACGACCGACACGTCTGGGAAACTCTTTTGGATGGTCTCGGGCGCTTTGTGGCATTTTGCTGCATCAGATAACGCGGCCAGCGCCGTTCGATTCTCTGCTCGGCCGTGGTGTGGCGACACCTGTGGTATTTGCTTGCGAGGCGACGTCAAGGGCTTGGGACCGATCTGTCCAGCCGCCAACCCGGGCATTGGCTTCAAGGCCAATCCTCGCTACTGCCAGCCGCTGATCGTGGAGAAGGTGCCATGTATCAATGAGGACGGCACGCTTGAGAGACCCAACAAGGGAGACAGTGCTAAAGCTCCTGCTGATGCTGGGGCGAAGGAGGCTGGCCATCAGGAGCTGTGAATGGGGCGTTTCTGGGGTACTATGGATTCATGAAAGCCAGTAACCGAGAACAATTTCAAGTACTGTAGACAGATCAGCCTTCTTCATCTCTGGTGGAGTCTTCTTAATCGGCTTTTCGCTTGGGTATCATTTCTCGCACATACCTACCTAGTTAGGTACGTAGCAAGTAGAGTTGGATACAACCACGTAAGGTAACAGGTAGTAATTGTGGAAGGCCATGCTTCTGAAATGAAAGCCATGTGTAGCACAACCCTGGGCTTCCACTGCAACATACATTTACTGCGTACTTTGCCGAACCACTGTACACCATTGGCAGGAAATCGCTGATATCATCAGGATGTACCCCAAGGCACCGGCTCTCCTATGTGAGAACAAGGAACGCGTGCACAGACTCGCATCCAGCCGATGGAGTTCAGGGACAATACGGAACGCTGATCCAATGAGACCAAAATGAGGAGCTTGCAAGCGAGGCACTGCAACCGAAGGATCACAATCCTGGCAAGTGACCGTGTGCGTACCAAACTATTCTATAATGGACGCGGAGTAAGAGGGGCTAAGATGCCAGTGTCCGAGCCCACAAGTGTGTGGAAATTAAATAATATGTTGGATTTTCTCATGGTTGTACAATAATAAACACGCTTATCTCTGCCTTGGCCTGATCCGCATCGCTCGATGGTGGCTACACCATTACGAGAGATTCCGTAGAATCTGAGCGCCAGACAGTTTGCTTCACGGTCGTCTGCATGTATATCCTTGGTGGAGCGGATGGAGACGCCAATGGCGTGGCATTTGGTGCCCGAGATGTTCTGGACGTGGAGTTCCGAGATCCCCTAGATCCCATTCGAGGGAAATATTGCTTCAGAAGAGGACGGAGGGGGGGAATGGAAGCACACATGACGGCGAGGTTGACTTCGACCAGAATCCACAGCCAAATCTCGTAGCCCTCCCCTGGGAATGGATAATTAGTTATCTTTCTCGTCAATGTTCCAGCTGGAGTACGAACAGGTGAAATCATAGGTGATGTTTAGTGTGCGATAGGCATAGTAAACCCGGATGGCTGATGCCACACAGGCCCTTTAACAGCGTTAGCAACAAGTCAGTTAAAGTGTGAGGAATGTAATCTATACAGTAGCCCTATGTTCATCAGGGCAATCAGGATCAGTCGCTCACGAATCGGGAGCTGGAGCATCCACAGGACCCGCATGGGGAGGACCAAGACCATGAGGTCGGTAACGAGATTCGTTATGGAAAAAGAGAATGTTGAGGCGTTTTGATCGATGCAGTTTGGGGGGTTGTATTGGAACGTTTCCCAATAGTCTTTGAGCGGCCTGCATGCGAGGAAGAGGGCGATCATGTATGCTATATCGGTCAATTATCAGTCTTCTTCAGAAATACAGACTTTGAATCCATACCAAGACCCCATGATACTATCAAGGCGATCATCGCCCAGGTCAAACGTCTGGATATCGGTTGTGTGAAAAAGCGTAGGTACGAGATGAGAAGGGAAAGCTTGACCAAGGTCATAATAATGACAAGCAGGAGCTGGTTAAACCAGCTGGTCTGTTCAGCTAAGATTAGCGTTCATCTTTAGCCAAACGACGTGATTCTGAGTACCATTAATGTAGGCTTTGACCACTCCGGCTTGACGTCCCAGATATGGTGGCCTGGACAAGATCATCAGACATTATTCAGTCAACCAACACAGGATACTGACCCCAGCCGTATGTGGTTCCGAGATTCGCAGTGACAGTGGAACATATAATAAAAGCCTGCCAACGCTACATCAGACAAAAGCCATGTCAGTACATCATAGAGGGACATACAACAGCGAGCACCATCAGCCAATCATCCCATCCAGCCGTGTTCTTCATAAACAAGCGCACCCATATGCGGAGCACCACAACGGCTGTGCTCAGTATCAAAAGAATGATCCCAACTACAAGTAGTTGTGGCCCTTGATACTCTGGGTTCTCATAGTTGGGTTCTGGCCACGACGCCTTGACCTCCACAGAAGCATTCCTCATGGTGGCGGACCGGACGTTTGCTCTTTCACGCGGTTGTCAGGACATAGTATAGTCGTTTCAATGAAGCACCTTGAGGCACGTAAAATCAAGATGCCACACCGAAGGGTTTTCCTGCATGGTATTTCCAGGTCGCGACAAGGGCCTGGGAAGGCTTATCTTATGAACCCTCATGATCAGGCGTTCGGAGAACTACCCCAGAACCAGAGGAAGCACCGTCCCCGGATGTGCGGGGAAACGCCATCATCACCTGGGGGTGATGTGGCCACGAATAGCATGCCCGCCCTGGTGTCTTGCCAGACTGGCGGGGACCAATAGGGCTGGAATCATCTATTAGGGTTTTGCATCGCTTGTAGATGTCCAGGATGTTGTTCCTCGGTGCAATACCCCTGCGGTGGCTTCATCCAAGCGAGGGACAAGACCCTTCGGAGTCCACGTGGGAAATTACTCCGCGGGGTTCTGTGAAGTGAGCAATACGAGGGTGAGTCTTGGCTGTTGGGTCGAGCCATGGATTTATCTGCGTCTGGGGTATTAAGAGGAATTGAAGCTCCGTTGCTACCATGGAACCTGGAGTCTGGAGTCTTCTGTTCTACAGTAGGTCTCCTGTATGGCCATTTTCAGCAGCGTCCGGCAGTTGATGGACATGTCGTTCGGTATTTCTGCATCTCCGAAGGATGCCAGTAAACCGCTGCACGAGGGCGTCACCGTCGGGGGCGAGTTCAAAGCTCGGTAATTCCTGTGGCTTGTGGCAACTTGGCATCATATGAAAGCCGAGTTTTGACTAAATCTCCTAGGACTGTGCTTTGCCTGAGGGAACGCGAGGGGCCCGAGTGTTTCTCCTCATTCTCCAAGTTGAATAACCGAAAGATAGAGGATGTAGAGACGCCAATATAGTAACTACCATAGAAACTGATTAGAATGGTGTAAATTGAGCGAAGACGCCACGGTAGATACCGGTTCATAGTCATGTTCGCCACAGAGCGACGTACAACGATTGTCTAGAATTGTATCTAACCTGTCAAGCAGATCCATAATACCATGCCCTAGCGACTCTTCTTATTCGGAATTAAACTCGTCAACCACACTCAGCGGTGGTTGATACTCTCTAACCTGCCTCCATTCCATCTGGAGACCAAATCCCTCGGGCCCTCCTACCTTCATGGCTTTTTCAGTTCGCCACAGCGGGTGCGCAGCCATAGCAATAACGTGCACCTGAAGGCCATAGCGAAGATCCTGCGACCCGAGGGCTTCCCCGTCTTGACCCAAAATGGAAACGAGATCAGGTACCGTACAGATGACCGTCTGTTTCGAGACGTCGCGTGGATTGTCCCCATCTGCGTATGCGGCATAGAGATACTCGTTTTGGAACGGGACCACCAAGTAACAATCATCGGTTTGTGATAAAGACGCTTGGTTTGACGGGGCCTCGCGTTCATCGTTGCCGACTGGGGCAATAGTGCAGGTGCCCATAGTATACCCTTGACTCACGTCGCGTTTCGCGTCGACAATCTTCCCACTGTATAACAGTTTGCCGGGGTTGACATCGAACTATTAATTGTGTCAGCCGTCTTCCTTTTTCACACCTGACGAGCTCCATACAATCGCCTGGATGAGGTCCTTCTTGGACTGACGGGCGGAGTGGATGGCTCGGCCGATGTACCACGATTGGGAGATTGTGTTAGGAACGGTGTATTGCTTGATTACATCCCCCGAGAATGGAGCTGACGATGCTCCTGCCTGGGAACCAAGATCCTCGCACAGGACGCGCATCATCGTCTCAATACGCCGGGTACTCTGGGCATTCTACATCCTTAGCTCGTGGAGCCATGTATTCAGGCGGAGACTCACCGTTACAACAGCTGTATTCCCTCTTCCATCAGCGAGAGCAAATGGCAGTGGATTCACGCCGTAGATAAAGGGGAGGCCTGTATCCTGTTAGTCATGTGCTAAGTCCCCGTATAAAGTGCATACAATGAGCCATAGTGGGATACGCCCTTCCCATCATATCCCCATCAGCCACGGGAATGCCATGTTCCACACCCATTGGAAAAACAGACAATCCATTGCCACCGCCAATCTCACCAGTCACCGCAACGTTGGCATCAAACTTTCCCGATATCTTGACGCAGGCCTCCATTGCAAGTGCAAGCTCGTTTCCTGCAGGAAGACGCTCCCCGGCTACGCTCGGCGCGCCGTACCAGGAGCCCGACACGCAAACATCGGAGTCGTTGAGGCTGGAGAGAGGAACAACTCTCATTTTCCCTGGAGACCTGTGCAGGATGTCTAGACACTGCAGGTACTGTAACCGCGAAGGTCCTCCACCGCCAGTTCCAAGAACCCCAGTGCCAGTGGCGATGAATTCGAGATCGACTGGTGTTAGATACCACACATGATTGCGCACGTCGGGTCGATATGTTTCGATGTTGATGTCAGAGGATGGGGTGACAGAGTAGGAGTCAAACTTGGTAGCTTTGTTTAAGCCCCCTTCAGGGTTCAACGGTCTGTCGTTTATGTATTGATCGACCGGGGTATCTGAGGTCTGCTCCACAGCCCCACGAGAAGAGAGCTTGCCGACAGCTTTGACGACCAGGCGAGTCGCCTTGCCTGTCACATATGACAGGGGAATCTTGGTGATTTCTGCGATTTTAACATCACTTGGGTCCGCACCGCGAGCCACGGCCTTTGCAATAGCCCTTTGCTTCGCATCCTCCACAGCTTCATCTTCACCCCCTTCGTTGTTCGCTAGCATAACAATGATATCCACCTCGCCAATGACCTTAGCGATTGCTGCTCCCACTGCATTCGCGGAGCCGTAATGACGCGGGATAATACACTCCGCAACACCGCGCAACGGGTCCATCTGGATAATGGAGCCCCCTCCGACAAGAAGTAGGGTTACCGGTTGTTCCGAAATCTTCATCTTATCAACGGCCTGCTCGAGCATCTTGCGAATACAAGCTCGGGCCTTGGCGATGATATCCTCCGGAATATGGGCTACCTTCGACTTGTCGCCTATATCGGCCTTTCCGCAAGCAACCACAATATCCGTGGCAGTCATTACGTCCCCTCCAAAGACCAGCGCCTTCCGGGTGATTTCGTGGCCAACCGATTCTGGGCCTACACGCACGGTATCACCTTCTATCGTCACGATGCTCCCTCCACCAAGCCCAATAGAGAGCACTTCCGGCATGGAGAATGCCGTTTTTACACCTCCGACATCGACGAAGTTTGGGGCCGAGCGGGGAAATCCGTTTGGCAGCAGTGCGCAAACATCACTTGTAGTGCCGCCAATATCCATGACCAGGACCTGGGTAGCTGATTGTGCTTGGTGTTGTTTCGCGAGGAACGCTGCGCCGATCGCACTGTTGGTAGGCCCGCTGGAGAATGTCTTGATGGGAAGGTTCGCTGCTGAAGTGGCATCGGTCAAGGTCCCGTCATTCTGGGTGAGATAAAGCGTGCACTTTAGTTTCATCTGGGCCAAGGCTTGTCTGAAAGCTACGATTGTTTTCCTCGCTAGCCCCAGGATGGAAGCATTCAGAATACTAGCGTTCTCCCGTTCCAACAGTCCGATGCCTCCAACGGTGTTAGAACAGACAACAGATAGGGAGGACTCCAGTTTCAGCATTTGCTTTCGGCAGGATTCTTCGTGGATGCCGTCGTAGTCGACTGCGGAAAACACTCCAACTACGGCGACGGTCTGGATACCTGCCTCCTGGATGCTTTTGACCGTTGCTTTGATCTGTTCAGAGTCCAGCGGAGCAATCTCCCGCCCATCGATTTCCAGTCCTGCGTTGGTTAGGCTCATACATGATCCATGACAACCATGCGGCGTGCCACCTACCACCATCCAGATAGAACACCGGCCCCTGCATGATCTCCCTCAGCTTGGGGGGAAATTCCGCGAACGGAGGCACCATCCTAGTGAAAGGCCCACATAATCGAACGACAGCCACTCTGCTGAGGCGGGTAGCATCTGCCTGGACGACCGCATTAATGAAATGGGTAGTTCCGATCGCAACGCTCAGCACCTCGTCCCGGTTGTCGACCCGGGATTCAGCCAGGACATTCTCGATGGCCGTAGAAATGCCCGATGTGATGTCGGGGGTCGTGGGCGTCTTGGTAGAGGCGTAGACACGGGGATCTGTATCATCTGCGTTGAGCAGAGCGGCGTCGGTATTGGTGCCACCGACGTCGACCCCAATGCGATAATGAGGCATATTGCAAAGTCAATTGTAGTTTTGTTCAAGAGAATCTACCGTCTACGGACCTCCGAACTGTCAACAAGAGATTGATAATCTAGCGTTATCTGCCCCACTCTCGGCGGAACCCCGCCGGATCATACGTTATCAGATCATCGGAGATCGATCATCCGGCTGAAGGCATGAATAGCATGAGCATGAGGCCAGCTCACTGATCGTTTGGTAATGAATTTTGCGCTCAGGTGTTGATGGTCAGGGTGAGATGTACTCATCCGTACCCCGTTGTGTACTGGCGGATATATGATGCTATGGCGTTGGTATATGTATCCTTCTCAGGGGATTATCGTTGCCACAGCCCATATCTAAGACGTCGCAGAAGGTATTTGAATACAATATATTCGCTCTGAAATCCATGCCAAATCGTCAAAGTCGTATGTATGCACCAGTTTCTTCAACATCTGGGCGTGGTGAACGGATGGTGTCTGACTAATTTCCCGAAGCGTCGGCATTTTGGCTTACTCCCGAAAATGCCGCTCTCGTCCGCGCATGGAAAAAATCACCACCGCTGCATTACTTACGTCTATACATCGACAATATGGACATCCCTCAGCCTCGGAGACGGAGGCCGGCTCGGTCTTGCATTGAATGTCGACGGCGCAAGATCAAGTGTGACCGCAGTAACCCGTGTGGCCAATGTGTCGCTGCTCACAGTCCCTGCGGCTACAAGACGTACAACAGTGAGCGAGCCATTCAGCATTCTCAGGCAACCCCATCTGAGCCTTCGGGGTTGAGACAGGAAGCGACTACACAGAGACAGAACCTGAGGGGTTATTCGTTTGCCAGCAATGATACTCCTCAAGCCGATCAATCTTCCGGGATAGAGCCCGGGGCAACAGAGAATGGGCTTCGAAACGCCACTGGCAGAGAGGGTGCGCGGTTGCCGAGCCAAACTGACCCTACCCTGCATGATATAGCGCAACGTTTACAGAGACTGGAACAAGGCCAAGCAGCACATTGTCTCCCCGATGTTGCGGAGACAGGCCGAGACATTCTTGCGGATCAATCAAGACTGTTAGGGAGCTATGTTGTTTTAAACAAATCCAAGGTCGTGCGATGGAGCTTCCGGATGGGCACAGCCAAACAGGTTAGTTTTCCAATACTCCTGCCTGTCTAGAACATCACTAACCAAGTCTGCAGTTTCAATCGATTATAACTTGCTACACAGAAGCCACCGGAAATGGCAACGGAACAGCTTTCCAAGGCGCCGATACGAGAGCCCTCCTCACTCAGGTCAATGACCTCCTTCAAGAATGCAAGCTCCTGGCGAGAAGTACAAAGCTAGGACGACCGAGCAGACGCTTTTCGTCTGCAGATTTCGACCTTTTACCCCTTCCGCGTCAGTACGCCGACTCGATGGTAACGCGGTATTTTCAAACTTTCGAGCTGGTGCATCGAGTACTCCATCAGCCAACATTTCTGGCCGAATACCAACGCTATTGGAGCCATCCGGAAAGCGTGACGCTTGATCTGCGGTTCAAAGTCCTCCTAGTCGTGGCAATAGGATCAAGTGTGTCAGCGCCTAGGGACAGTGACCCTGGGTTTCGGCGTCGTGCTCAAAAATGGATATATGGTGCTCAGATGTGGCTTTCAGGACCACTCGAAAAAGATCGGCTCAGTATTACCGCTCTGCAAGTATATTGTCTAACTATCCTTGCGAGACAAATATACTCCGTCGGCGGTGATCTTGTTTGGATGTCGATGGGATCGTTGATCCACACGGCCATGCAAATGGGCTTGCATCGTGACCCGAAACATCACCCGTCCATGTCCGTACTGGAGGCTGAAAACCGCCGGAGGCTATGGGCTACGATTCTGGAGATGGCCGTTCAGTCGTCGCTGGATGCGGCGATGCCCTGCCGGATGGCCTTGGACGAATTCGATACAGAGCCGCCTTCAAATATCAACGATGATGAACTAGATGAATCAACAATCACAGTTGAGTCAAGACCTACGAGTGTATACACTATGTCGTCGATTCAAATCTATCTGCTCCAGTCACTGCCAGTCCGGCGTCGCATTGTTCAGATGCTTAATGGGTTGCATTCGAGGCTTCTCTACACGGAAGTCCTCGAGGTCACCTCAGAGTTAATGGACGCCTATCGATCATGCAGCAGATTTATGAGCAGTAACAAGGGACTTGGTGTCACATCCTTCCACCGGAACCTACTGGACCACCTTGTTCGCCGCTTCATCATACCTTTACATTGGTTTTTTGCCGTCGAAGCTCCAACAAACCCGTTGTTTGCGTTCTCTCGGACTGCTATCCTCGACGCAGCCACAACCATCATCCATACCGAGCCAGATGACGGCTTCGCGCACCTAATGGTTGTAGGGGGCGGTTTATTCCGAGAAAGCCTAAGAAATGCAGCCAATGTAATCAGCCTCGAGCTTATCACTCATGCAGAGACGGAGCGTCTGAACGGGACGCTACACCGCGATTCAAAATATAGGGCTGTTTTGAAGCAGGAGCTAGGTAACCTAACGGATCTGTTCTCAGAGAGAATCCGGCAGGGGGAGACTAATATCAAGAGTCCGATGTTTTTGAGTATGACAATGGCACAAGTCGAGGCAATCGAAGGCGAAGGCAACATCTCAGAAGAACATGCCATCGCAAAGAGTGCGAGAGATAGTCTGGAGACTTGTCTGATGATACTACGGGACTGGGCCAGCACAGTTCCTTTGCCGGTCGACACATACGCAGGAGACTGGCAACAGCTGTGGGACTTCGATCTGGATTCGGGGTTTGAACACTTCTTTCAGGGTAGTTCTTTCCCTTGAATATTCTCCTGGAAGTGTTCCGATGTCTTTCTGTTGTATTATAGATGGTTCCGAGCAATATATCATGCTCCAAGTCAATTCGAAGAGTGAAATTCTAGAGACGGCGGAGATCTTTATCTAGTTGAGTAACTCTCGAGCGTAAGATCCGTATTTACCACGGTATGACTTATTTTATTACCGGATCTTGCTTCTTGCACATGTCCGAGCCGTGGCCTGTCATGCTCCGACTCGGTCTTCGCTTATATCGAACATATCGAATACACCGAATGCCGAATCCACCACCTGGTATATAGATCATGAGAGTGCCCCCTACTTCAGAGCAATGACACAGCCAGGCTTCATCTATATTTTCTGATACGGGATATTTACATTCCACGTAATTCCCCGACTTGGCCGAGACGTACGTGCACCAGTCCTGACCGTAGCAGACCATGACCCCCCTGAAGATTCTCATCAACGGCGCCGGTATCGCCGGCAACGCTCTCGCCTTCTGGCTCTGCCGACTCGGCCACAACGTTACAGTCCTCGAACGAGCCCCCAAACTCCGTGACACAGGACTCCAGGTTGACCTCCGCGGCCACGGGATCGAAGTCCTAAAGCGCATGGGCCTGGAACCCGCCTTCAAAGCAAAGTCCATTCCTGAACGCGGACTGCAGATCGTCGACTCCTCCGGCCGCCGACGTGGCCACTTTCCCGTGAACACCTCAGGCAAAGGGCCACAGAGCTTCAGTACGGAGTACGAGATCATGCGCGGGGATCTGTGCCGCCTGTTTTACGAGGCGTCCCAAGACCGTGCGAAGTATGTTTTCGGGACGTCCGTCAAACGCTTTGCAATTATAGACGACGGTGTGGAGGTGGAGTTTACGAACGGCCTGACGGACCGATTCGACCTCCTGGTTGGCGCCGACGGGCAGGGCTCCAGAACACGTCGGATGATGCTGGGATCTGGAACCCACGATGGGTTCTATCCTCTTGGTGGGACCTTTGTGGCGTATTTTACCATCCCTCGCCCCATACAGGACGGAGAAGAATACCTCGCCACTATGTACCTGGCCCCCGGGAAACGGGGTATCATGACCCGGCGCCACAATCCCCACGAGCTACAGGTGTACTTCGGGTGCGTTGGCAATGGGGAGGGAATCCAGGACGTCCGTCGAGGCGACGTGAAGAAGGAGAAAGAGATTTTGGCGGAGGTTTTCCAGGGCGCAGGATGGGAGACGGAGGAGTTATTGCGTGGTATGATGAACGCTGACGATTTCTACTGCGAACGCCTGGGTCTTGTCAAACTTGACTCCTGGACCTGTGGACGGGTGACACTTGTCGGTGATGCAGCGTATTGTCCCTCTGCAATCACTGGAATGGGCACGACGAGTGGGATTGTGGGTGCATACGTCCTGGCTGGTGAAATCGTGCGACACTGCGGGAGGCCGAGACAGAGTGCGTTGGACGGCGAGCATGCACTCGTTGCAGCGTTGGAGGCTTACGAGCAGCGGCTGCAGGTCTTCATGGCGCAAGTGCAGAAAGGGGTCCTTGAAGACCCAGCTGGGCCGTTTGACAACCTCTTTTCCACAGCCTTTGGTATCGCGATAATTCACCGTCTGGTGGGACTGGCTTCCTTCTTCCAGATCAACCTTGGCAAATGGTTTCTGCGTGAAGAGATTCATGGGTGGGATCTTCCGGATTACGAGGAGTTACACGCGCGGACCTAAACTGTATATTAGATTACCAGAGGGTCTAAGATGGGCATCTCTATGGATCTCATAAACGGGGGCTTGGACCGCGTTTATATTCTTAGGGAACAGGCAGTTTTGTTCACTTTCATGGCGTTTTGCTTTGATGTCAATTCCAATGAAGCTGTAAACCACCTTGTCATCCTCGTTTTCAATGTCTCTCCAACCCATTCAATTCGGATTTGGTGATCTATCTATATCAACAACCATATTGCACGTGACCATGATTATGCAATCCACTCGCGGCCGCATCGGCTTCGTCCGCCTGTGAATCGGTTCACCCTCCTAAACTATCATCGGAATCGATAGGCGAGTGGACTCACCATTCAGTATGCCCCCAACAAGAAGTCACAATGCACAGAGGCAGCAAGAGCAAGAAGGAAGGATGTCGCTAGCCATTGCTGCCATCAACGAAGGCAGATACCTTTCTGTGCGAAAGGCAGCCAGCGATTACGATGTGTCAATAACCACCCTTCGGAATCGACTGAAGGGCGTGACTTGTCGAGCACAAAAACGCGCCAACTGCCATAAATTCACCCAAAACGAAGAAGACCAGATTGTGCAACGGGCCTTGATGTCTGTACAACATGGCACCATACCTCCACGAAGCCATATACGGCAAATTGCCAACGCTCTTCTGTCCGAACGTGGCAGCACCCCTGCCCAAACGGTTGGGCAAAACTGGGTGACGAATTTCATAAAGCGGCGGGCAGAGCTCCAGGTGTTATATCCTCAACGGATATCTCGGCGATATATAGACCGTCCGTCTGATGGCGGAGAGGCCACGGCAATGGAAGAACTTCATGGCGGCGTTCGGACAGGAAGCCAGCCAGGAAACCATCCTATGCGTGTGACGCTCCAGAGACTCACCAAAATTGAAAAGCACATCGCCGCCATAAGAGAACAGCTGGAAATGCAACCGCATAACGCTTCATCTCCTACCCGCCTTGAACCATTCATCAAAGGGATCGAGGCCATGATGGGAGTCTATGTTGATTTAATGAAGGAGGCTGGGGAACCTCAAGCCTCTGTCCCGGGAAATGAGGAGAGCGTGTTATTTGAAATTGGAACATAACAACCTAGGCACCCTAGGTCAAGTCTGTGGGTACATAGAAGACGACGGTGCACTCTTATCCTTCTCTAACTAAAGTCCTAACGAGGCACCACTTTATGGTCTGCCAGATAGGTCCGTCGGAATTATTTGGGGGTCCTCCCTGACTGCCGCAGAGCTGGGAAGCACCGCTTGTTCGTCCAGAAGTGGTGCTGTGTTATTGCAAGCGTGTGGATGTTTTTTTGGGCATACCAATTACTGGAAAGCTGGAAGAGATGTGTCAGGAGGCTTGCGATTAGCAATGGATAATTTTTGTTTATTTCTGGACTATACCACGGGCTCAACAAGCCCACTAGAGGATTGACCTGACCACTCTTGGCAGAACGAAGCAGAGCTGATAGGATGCTGTAACCTTTCCGCCCATGCTGTCCTACCTAGAAATTCCCGGCCTTGCAGGACGCTGGTATCGGGTCTCTGCAGGATCGTGGTGTGACTTACGTTCTACGTGCCATCTGCTATTATAGAGAAAATTGGACCTCGCGTTAGAACCGTTCTATCAACCATATCAACACCAATTAAGGGTTAGTGCTTAAGCGTATTTCAATGCGGACGGAAATATCGGCAAGTGCTTGGAGACGCGAGTCCAGGCGCAAACCTTGCGAACGTGACTCTTAAGCAAATTTACCGACATCATTCATAAAATCCTACTCCATACGCCAACGTAAGGAACCAACCCGAATATCTTAGTCTCCTTGCAGGACATTGACGGATCCATGAGGTTTACATTAGTAGAGCTGGGCCATCAGATCCAATCCAATCCCTCGATATATTTTATGCGTCATCGCATTATATGCTATACGATATTACAATTATCACCCGAGTCGGATCAGGACAAAGTAAAAAGAGGAGCAACGGGATGAATTATAGCAGTTCAGTAAACCATCGCATCACCGTCGGTAAGAGAACAGACCAAGCTAGGTCCAGAACGAGTTCCAATAATCAGCCTGCGCCTCACCTTGCAGACCGCTTGCGTCCACCATTGCGGCTGCGGTCCAGCAGTACTCCACAGTTGCTGCGGGAGCATTGCATGGACTTCTCAGCTGATTGCAGATGAAGCTCGTTTGCGTGCTGATCAAGGCTGACGATCCATGTTGGTAAATACCGGTGTCATCGATCTCGAAGGCTTGATTGGGGTCGCGGTCTGGATAATAGGAAATGGTTGGGGGAGTGCAGTCACCGGTGTCCGGTCCTCCTGTCGGAGTCGTCGTTGGGCAATAGGTAGTAGTAGCGGTCGTCACCTCGGTCGTCGTTTGAGTCACCGTCACTGACGCGGTAATTGTGTCCGTGTCGGTAACTGTCTCCGTTTCTGTTACTGTCTCCGTTTCTGTTACTGTCTCTGTGCTTGTCACTACGCCAGGGACTACAGTAACCGTTACGGTGTCTGTTTCAGTTGGGCCTGGCTCCGTGATTGTCTGAGTTGGTCCTGGCTCTGTAACCGTCTGGGTTGGACCTGGTTCTGTAATAGTCTGAGTTGGTCCCGGCTCTGTAATAGTCTGAGTTGGACCTGGTTCTGTAATCGTCTGAGTTGGGCCGGGCTCCGTAATAGTTTCCGTGGAGCAGTCGGTGGGGACAAGACCGTTAGTGGAGCAGTATGTGATCGTCTCAGTCGGGCCCGGCTCTGTAATCGTCTGAGTTGGACCCGGCTCTGTGATCGTTTGGGTCGGGCCCGGCTCTGTAATCGTCTGAGTTGGACCCGGCTCTGTGATCGTTTGGGTTGGGCCCGGTTCTGTGATCGTTTGGGTTGGACCTGGCTCTGTGATCGTCTGAGTTGGGCCCGGTTCTGTAATCGTCTGGGTTGGACCCGGCTCTGTGATTGTTTCCGTGGCGCAGTCGGTAGGGACAAGACCGTTAGTCGAGCAGTCCGTGATCGTCTCAGTTGGGCCCGGCTCTGTAATAGTCTGAGTTGGGCCTGGTTCTGTGATTGTCTGAGTTGGACCTGGCTCCGTAATAGTTTCCGTGGCGCAGTCGGTAGGGACAAGACCGTTAGTCGAGCAGTCAGTCGGTTCAATAATGTCGGTAGTAATGACAGTGATGGTCACCGTCGGGCTATCAGAAAGGTCAGTCTGATTGTTCCCTGTAGTTGTCGCTGGGATTCTGGACTCACCCGGGCACCTGATCAGTAATGGTGACAGTAGTATTATCGCAGTGGTTATTATCGTCGCCGCCGTCGTGGTCATGGTCATGGTCGTGGTCGTGGTTTTCACAGGGATCACAGTCATGGTCCTTATGGTCACCGACGTCTCCATTCCTGGCGTGACCATCCTCCACAGCCACCCCTTTGACCTGCCCATCAATTGGAGACGGGAGGGCCACTGTAAATGACAGGGTCTGCAGGAGTAGGACCGCAAGGAAGACGGTGTTCTTAAGCATGTTGGCGGCCTACTCTAATAGACTGTCGAACGAAGAAGACTTGTGGTGAGTCTCCCTGGCGAGCCCGGTGCAAGATGCAAAGTCTGAAGGGCGCGATTGTTTGGCGTGTAACAGAGGAAGCACTAGGAATACAAGAGCAGGTGCCTCACTAAATAGTGTGGTGCAGACGAGAGCTCCTGAAGCTCATCCCATTCTTCTCGACATTCTTCTCGAATATCATTGTCCGTTTCCAGACGGCCACCCCATACCGCGGTTGGCGATGTTAGTCGACTCGATAATTATGAGAAGTCCATAGTGCTGTGCGCATGTAATGCGAATGGGATCCTCGGCGGAAAAGGGTTCCGGGGAAAGGAACAGCTTTGTTGACAGTCCGTTCTCATCAAGGAATGGTATAGGCCGATGGATTGAGGGCGATAATCCCACAGGAATGTCCATGGCCGTTGGACATTCTAGTAATATGCTACTGCCGTGTTAGGCCGCAGGAGATATAACGGAGGATTGGCCGGTAGTACTAATTATGTCCGACCTTTCCCTGCAGTAAGAACCTGCGTCCAAAAGAAAAAGTCCTTCCGAACACAAACTAGCTTAGACTGCGCGCGTTGACAGCCATATCACTCTTCAGAAATAGGCGTATGGTCTAAGGATACAGAAACAGATTAGGCCCATTCCTTTGGAGACCCTGCAGATCCCCTGAAGATCCAGCCAAGCTTTCGAAGAATGCTCCTTGCCGATACATTCCTCCAAGCCCCTGCAGAATTCAGACCATTCTCCAGATCAGCCATACGATTCAGCACGATCCAGCACGATCGAAACAGTGGCAGACTTTGCAGATGCATCACAACGGTTGCGAATTCCAGACTAAGAGGGCAGCGTAACAAGACGAACGCAGAACTAGGCCACGCAAGGAGTTGACGAGCCTCTATGTTCGTTTTCAGGAAGTGGTACAGTATGTATGTACAAACACGAGTAAGTAAATAGTTGCGATAGCCGACATCGCTCTCGGTGTGAGGGATCAAAAAAGTTCGATATCAGTCCTACTTGATTGAGCACCTTTCAAGGGGTTCAGGACTAGCCATACTTAAGCTGTCCCTAGATTCCTCTAACATTGGACCCCTATGCCCCTGGATTCTCATGTGCATTCCTAGATCCGTTCCTTTCTTTACTTCCTCCCTTTCAAGTTAATCCGATACTACGGAGTATATCTCCAGCCGACTCGGGCCATATACTCATACAGATTATAATTACAATAACAGTAACATCTCTAAGACTGCTCCAGCTCTGGTACTTAGCTATTATTGATCAGTTAAATATTGCCAGGCGCCAAGTTGTACTGCGGCTGGAGAGCACCACTGCTGGTTTAACAAGCATACTCACAATCCAGATCTTCTTGTCGCTACTAACCTGTCAGCTATAAGTCTGACTCACTTGTAGTTGAATAAAGCTGTATTTTGAGTGTTCTATTTCACGGTTAAGAATTCTATTCGTTGGTCTCTATCTACACTAGTAGTAATGATATAACGACCTTATCTTCTAACTAGTTACAGCATTAAGTTGGATTTATACAACAAACCTGGTGCGGCGACTGCTCTACCAATTATAGGTGGAACTTAGGTTTGTCTGGACTAAAGATCTCATCCAGGCTGGTATAGGCGATAACAAGAATGTTTTTATTATGTGTCCTCATATCGTATATATCTGCCGAGCCTCCCCGGCATCTTTCAAGCCGATAGCGAATATATACAAGGGAGAATGTCTCACTAGATTCTTGATATCCCCAAATTTGACGACTCTGACGAGAAGAGCGAAAGTTCATAAGACAGTCAAAATCCACAAGATTGCCATCCCCTCCCAGTTTAGCAAACGTAGATAACCGGACATCCCTGTACAGTAAGGTAAGCTTACTGCGAACGCGCTGTGCCGCTCATAACAGGACACGATAGCAATGCAGGTGCTCTCTTCCAATCGCAGCCCTACTCTGCACCACAGCATGCAGGCAATGTATTGCGGCACAGCGTCCACCGTGAATTGATTGGATACGGTCTCGACCAGCTGGGCAAGAGGGGTTGTCCTGCGATGGTCAAGGGAGATATCCATCATCTGATGGGCCGCCTCATTATTTTGTGAGGCTATATAAACCTGCGTTTTTCGTCTCACCCGGACAATACCTACAGTTCGCTGAGGTGTGCCCTACTACAAAGAGAATCCCAAAGGCCGTACCCTGCCGTGCAAAATGTCGAAAGGAAAGCAAACAACCAGCCTACCCTCCGGCAGTGGAAGCGCTATTTGCCAAACTTGTCAGATGTCCTTCATCAACACAGACGCGCTACACAAGCATTGTCAGAACTCAAAAGCGCATCAAGAGAAAGCATCAGGCAGGTTTCTTGTGCCCCTAAGAAGGACCAGGTAATTGATTTGTATGTAGTCCCATCGCCTTCGGCATCCAGCACGGATAATTCAAAAGTCTCGTCGACAAACAAAGCGGCGATGTGCACTCTTTGCGACAAGCAGTTCAAAGACAAAGTAGCATTGCGACGACACAAGAAGAACTCTCCGAAACACCGAACCATTCCACGGGTGTCGCGCAGTGCTTCATGCACTGCGAAAGCACAAGCTTCAAGCCTAAATTGCGAGGAACAAAGAGTAACAGCTCCAGAGGTAGAAGCACGCAAAACCGCCGCAAGGGAGACTGGCAACATGGAAGCGCCGCAGACCGAGTCGGCGGATCAACCCTGTCCACGTCCACTGCCACGCCCAGGGCTCCATGCACCCCAAACATCGTTTCTGAAAGACGATCCGGCTATTGAAATTGGTTTTACGGGCGCACTTGCGGCGCAGCATACTGCGGACGATTTTTCGGTTGGCCCCTTGGTTCTCCGCTCCATCGCAACTGACCGTGACGAGGCGCAGACCGATAACCTGCTTGCTTCGGTAACAGTGGAGTATCAGGAAGATACAAACTCCGAGAGCCACGAATTGACCGGACCGGAAGTCCCTGCACCGTGGTCGTTGATCCCGTTGAGAGAGCGTGAGGTGGTGCTGAATGCTCTGCAAGCGCAATGCCATCCTATTGAATGCCTGGCGGGGGAGCGATACTGGATCCAGACGCCATCGCCCGTGGATATTGACATGACTAGGAACTGCAGTTACTGCGGAGGTAAGGAGTCGCCTTAGCCAATGGAGCGATTCACACTGACACGACCCTCATAAGTCGCAAAGCGACGCATCAGTACAGGCCCAGCGGAGTCAGTATGCCGATTTCATCCGGCAAAAAAGGCCTTTCAGGTGAGTCACTAGGATGGATACCTTTGCTGTTTAAACTCTGAGTTGACGGGCTTGCTACTAGCAAGGGATAATACGTGGTCGAGGCACAGGAGCCTTAAAGAAGGCTCGGTGCGTAAAATGCGGGCACCTTGGTCGTTCAGAGGGCTGTATCACCTTCTCCGCCCATAAATTCGCAGCACCCGATGCAAAACTGCATAAGATGGCACCTACACCAACATACAACCCGGGCGCTCGCAAGGCCGTCGTGTTGGATTGTGAAATGGTCGGAGTGCTCGGAGCCAGTGGCCGCGAACACAGCGAGGTTGTTCGGTTTAGCGCGGTCGATTTCCTAAGCGGTGAAGTGATAATAGATTCCTACGTCTCTCCACAGGGACGTGTGACATCCTGGCGCACGAAGTTCAGCGGCGTCAATGCATCCGTTCTCGCGGAGAAGGAGCGGCAGGGCAAGTCAATAATGGGCTGGCGAGCTGCGAGGAATCTTCTGTGGCAGTTTATTGATGCGCAAACAATACTCATCGGGCACAGTCTTAATAACGATCTTGCTGTGCTCGGCATGGTCCACACCTGCGTGGTTGACTCGGCTATAATAACGCGACTTGCGGTGGGTGAGGATTGCCGGCGACAGTGGGCGCTAAAGACGCTCGTCCGGCAGTTTCTTGACCGGGATATCCAAGCTGGGAATGATGGTCATGATTGCGTTGAAGATACCTATGCGACGCGTGAGGTTGTTTTGTGGTGCGTGCGGAATGCATCCAAGCTACAGGCCTGGGCTGCCGGTGAGCGGGCAATCATTGCGAAGAAACACAAAGAGAAGGATGCCATTGTCACAGATTCCATTGAGGTGGCATTCGAGGAATGATTTTTTCCATTCTCTGGCTGTGGTGGAAATTTGGTACTTTTGTTACATCACAATCTCTTGGATGCGCGATAATGGGAGTGGCAACTCAGGCATTGAGGCTGTAGTGCATATAGTACCCTGTATATCGCATTGGCGAAGGGTGAACTAAATTAGACTGTCGACATTGCCATCATCTGCTTATCGTCATATTTCAGCCAGTCGTCCCGATGTTTGAAAAAGCCTCATTGAGGGTGCTTCTAACCCTGCTCAACCCGCACGCCGGCTGGCTGTTGTATGTTGTTCTTTTTAGTATTCTGTCTTCGAGGCTAGTATCTACTTCCGTTGTTAACCAGGGTGATACATGTCAGTAGCAGCTATGGGAGGCAGAGTTCATAGTCCTAGATTATACAACGACATATGCGTTATGTGGCTGGTATTAAGACAAGTTACACTTGTGAAAGATTCTGCCATATCATATAAAGAAATCATTGTTTGGCATTAAATGACTACGGCATACCTACACATACCTGCATACTCCAAGTTGTGGAACACAATTCATCTTTCAGGGTATCAAATGGAGTGAAATCACAAGCACTGCAATTATACATCTGTCTGATGGTATTGTCCATATCCCTCATGTTGAACCACTCACAGGAGTAACCCGGACCACCTCCCTCAAATCCCTACTACTGAAACCCACACTAATCACAAACTCGCCCTCAGGGATCAGCCACTGCTGCGACACGACATCCCAGTAGCTCAGATCTCTCCGCATCAGCTGGAAGCTTGCAGCCTGAGACTGGCCCGGCTTCAGGGCCACCTTGTCGAATCCTCGGAGCTGCTTGGGCGGGGTTCCCGCAGGGGTGCTGTCGGGGAAGGTAACATAGAGCTGGGGAACAGCTTTGCCCTCCACGTCTCCCGTATTCGTCACCACAACAGACACGTTGTATACATTCTCCCACAGGGCCGGGTTGCCTCCGGGCTGGATGGGTCGCTGCTCGGGAACAGACGAGATGGACTCGACCAGAGGCTCAGCGTTGATTTCAGACAGATTGAAGGTCGTGTACGACAGGCCGAACCCGAACTCGTAGAGAACGGAGATATTGTGGGCATCAAAGTAGCGGTAGTCGATTTCAAGCTTCTCGTTGAACCACGCTTGCCAATCTTCTGCCCCGGTGGTCGTGACCTCCGTTGTGGGAGGCGCGTTGTACTCACTCCCGTTTCTCGCAATCGTGTACGGCAGCCGTCCGGAGGGGTTGACGTCGCCGTACAGCACATCGACAATGGAGTTGCCAGACTCCTGGCCCGGGTAATGGGCAGCGAGAATGGCAGTGACGTTGGGGTGGTCGGCAAACGGGAGCTCGTTGATGCCGGAGGAGTGCGTAACCACTATCGTGTTGTTGCACTTACTAGCGACGGAGGAGACAACGTCGTTTCCGTCGTAGTCCACGTGGAGGTACTCGCGATCCTCGCCCTCTTCAGCCCAGGTCTTCAGGAAGACAAGACACGCATCGGGTGGTGCGGGTACCCAGAGGGTAGTCACGTCGGTGGTTGCAATATCAGTATTGTTCATCCAATATTGGACCAGGGTGTTGGCCTGTTTGGCGCGGGATTGGATGGCTTCCAGGGGGGAAACCACATATGTGAAGCGACCAGTGCCGGATCCTCCACCAGCAGCGAGGGTGCCGAACTCAAAGTTCGCTTGATTGACGGCACCCATGGTGGGCTCACCAGCATCATTGCCAAAGATGGCAAGTGACTTGGGGGACTTCAACGGGAGGGCGTTCTTTTCATTCTTCAGCAAGACGGTGGCCTCGGCAGCCTGTCTACGGATGATCTTGGCGTGGTCGCCGCGGACGTCACGGTTACGCTCTCCGGTCAGGTTGAACTGGCGAAGCCATGTCGACCGGGGAGAGAAAGTGTTCAGGTCGGCAGAGGAGGGGTCAACGGAGGGGAAGTCCTTGTCCTGGCCGAGCCAGTAGTATGGTGTCATTATGCGGATGATCATATCATCCACGCGAGCCTCATCGATGGTTCCATTCTTGACGCCTTGAGTGACGTTGCCCCCATAGAAGGAACCCGCCTGAGGGATCGTTCCGTATGGACCGAGACCTCCAGGCATGTTCATATCGAGACCTGACTCAATGGAGGCGACGCCCGAATGCGTGCCTCCCCAGTCGGACATGACGTAGCCCTGGAATCCCAGCTCCTCTTTGAGCAAGCCGTTGAGAGCCTTGGAGTTTTGGCAGGCATAGGAGCCATTGAGACGCTGGTAGGAGCACATAAAGGCGGCTGCCTTGGCATGGGCCGCGTTGGCAAATGGCCAGAGGTATAGTTCATGCATGGTTCGGTCGTCGATGTTGGAAGAAACAGCTTCTTGCAGGACATCGGTGATGGTGCCATTGGGATTATAAATGGGATTCCGTTGAGTCTCCTGTTCGTTGCCGATGAAATGTTTCGGGGTGGCCTGAACACCTGCATCGTGGTAGCCCTTAACGGACAATTCCATGGCAACACCGGTCAGGTACGGGTCGGCTGCAAAGCCTTCCCAGTTTCTCCCTCCGTATGCGGAGCGTCCGAGAGGGCCAGCGACGGGCCCAAGGGCGATGTGTGCGCCCTTGGCCCGGAATTCCTGGCCCATGGCAAAGGCTCGTTCGTACAGGACGTCCCTGTCCCATGTTGATGCCGCTGTCACACCCGCAGAAAATACACTGGCATAGTCTGCGACACGAATTGCCAGAGGACCATCTTGCAAACAAAGGCCGTTGAACCCGAGGCGAGGAATAGCCACAATATTCCCCACACAGGGCCCGGGCTGTCCGGTCACCATGTCGGCCTTCTCTTCCAGCGTTAACTGAGAAACGAAGTGCCGGGCCTTGGTGTGAGCGGCTTGCCATCCACCTGAGCCGGTGGAATTGGCTGCATGGGTCAGTAAGTTATACATGATTCTAGATAGAGAAGAACGTACGCGACGGAAGGACGGCGGGTGAATGCCCATACTGCCCGAGAATCGTTGTATTGCGAGGCTGCACATAGGAGAAGGCATCCTCGCTTCTGGAAGATCCCTCGTACTGCTGGCCGTGGGCAACAGTAGCCGCCAACAGGCCCGAGACAATCAGATGAGCAATGTTTGCCATCTCTGCCGGTATACTTTGCTGGAAATCGAGGGAATGTTTGGCAGGAACTGCACTGGGAATTGGAGTCCAGCCATCATATTTATATCCGAACAAGAATGCCGACGCTCATCCCATCTCGTGGAGAACCCTTTTTTCTGGTACTATAAAGACGGCATTCACAGCACGCCCCGCACCCCACGGACTCCCTCCGCATGTTCAGTCCCCGCAAAATATGCAGCATCCAACAGGGGTTCGGCACGATGTACTAACTCGGTAAGCCAAGCGCCGGCTGGCCGCCCTCGGCTCTGCCCGTGGGGTCTGCTCATATGCGGTACCATAGCAGACGGGTGGGTTGCGGCAATGACCCGAAGATACTCCGGAGAAGAGGCAAGTCCCAAAGATCGAGTGGGGGTGGATGCCCCAGGAAAAGCTGAAGAGCGGACTTGAAGGTGCTTATACATGCCCAACAGGGAACTGGGTTGTCACTGTGTTCTCCTCCATGGCGGAGAGATATCCATTTCCTCACCACGCTGCCTCTTCCGCCCTTCGGACCGAGCCACGACTACACGGAGTAGTCGGCCCTGCTTCCTGCTACCAACAGCCGGGTATGCGTTTCCCCACATCTATGTAATAGCGCTCGGCATATACCAAGCCGAATGGATCTCGCTTGGCGCTTCCTTTGCCGGGCTGGTGTACGCCTCCGCAAGCTTAAGACCCAGGTATTAGTATGCCCCCGCCTCCATATTCTCCGGAATTCTGCCGTCCAAACGTGGCAGAGGTCACGTCATAGTCTGGAGAAACATCCCACGCAAAGCTGTACTCCGTAGAGTCGGCTGACCCGCATTTCGACACCCGGCTGGATAGACCGTCAACAGGCCGGGTTAACTTCGGCACGGACAACTCGATGGTGACGGGGTATTATCGGAATCGACAAGCCACCCTCATGTGTCATTTCGGACACACACATACCGATGGACGGCAAAGGATTCCGTTTATGAGCGTGGATACGGGAAGATTGTGCCTGTTTCCACACCCCGTGGCCGTGTGTCTCCCCAAAATCGACATACTCCTAGATATGAAATAGAAGACGCACAAGGAGAGTGCCAGCAGTACGATGAGGTGTGCACACCAAATCACTTCTTTATAGATTTGCTGGGTTCTGACGTGCTAAGGAGAGCTCAGAGCTACCGATTGTCTAAAATCCTGCAAGAAGCGCCAGGTCCAGGCCTCCCCCCAGCCTTTTTCCTTCACGGCAGTGGAGAAAAACTCTAAAATATTGAGCAAGTTTCCACAGTGGCCGATGATTGTTGGGAAATTATCATTCGCATCAAACTCGGTCAGTTCCTCGATTGTTTTCACTGTTTCGGGGTAGTCTTGCAACAGCGCTGGCCGTCCTTCGGTATATAGAACGGCACAGTGGCTGACTTCTTGGGCTGCATTGCCTGCAGCAAGGATCCTGGGCAGGTAGTTCCGGGAAGGAAAGGCGAGTTCGCGGGGGGAGACCGAGAAAGACTCTGCGGGAGAGGTAAGTATCCTGTCGGCCGGAAGTTGTCGCAATGATGGCATGCATCACCTCCCATGAAGATGAACGTGGTCGGGGTGGTGCGGGCCAGTGCATAGGTATGTCATATGATGTGCTGTAGCAATTTTAGCGATTGGAAGCCCTAGGAGAATGTGTCATTCTGTCGGCTTACAGGATTCTTTCTAGGTATCCTAACCCTGTTAAGGTGGTCTATTATGTCGCCACCCATTAGCTTAATTAGCTTGTTCTTTTGCACAGAAATATCCAACAATGATAAATAGAAAGATTAACACGAAAAATACCAAGATATTGACTTGCACCGACGTACAGTGCCGTCATCCAACTGGTTACACCCATACTCTAGGCTGCTCCATCCCCAAGCGTTCTCAGGAATGCCAGCACCCTCTCAACCAGGTACTTGCGAGGCTCTGCCTGGTCATCATCGCTCAATGCATGAGACGCATTTGGAATAATTCCGCTGTGCTCCTGATCCCAGATTGCGACCTGCCCATTCCTGTCCATGGCCATCTCCCACCGCGACAACTGCTTCTCCTTATCGACCCAGTCCGGCATCGCTTGATCCGCCCCGGAAATGAGGACCATCAGCCTGCCACGTAGGAGTCCTCGGCCGTGGATCATCCCAAAGGTCTTCTCCAGCTCCTGATCACTTAGATCCGAGCTAAACAGGTCGTCCTCACGAGGCAGCCGGGGACTTTCCGGACTTGCTAGACTCAGGAATCTCCGACAGCTGATGGGCGTGTTCGCTGGGTATATAACAGATGTCAGCTCAAGTGGTAACATGACATCAAATCCGCCGGCGTTAGGATTATCTTCCGCTTCCCTGGCGATAGCGACCATCTTGTCATATGCCTCCCGACATTCCTCAGGGGTCCTATCGCCAATCCCCCACTTCAACACCCACTGGATCGCTTCCCGGTCAGACACAGGCGCCTGCATAATAGCTCCATCAAGGGGCAACCGCTGCACATGCTGCAGCTCTCGATCGAAATCCGGGACGTCGGTGAGAGGATTCGGCCGATAGAGATAATGCAGCACGCACTGGCTCCCTGTGGAATGGCCCATGAGGACGATCTTGCCGTCGCCAAACTGGCTCCTCTTGTAGTCCTTTATGTAGCGAATACACTCCGCGATCTCGGTGGTGTCTCGGTCGAGATGCCCTAGGCCCCAGGATTGATAGGACGAGGTCAGGTTTAGCGTGAACAGGGACCAGTCTGTGGGCATGAGTGCGCGGGCCACATCGGCCAGGTAGGACGTCGTCGCGAGGCCATCGCCCAGCCCACCCACAAAGAGGAGGCTGTGTGGTTTGTAGGTGGTGGTGCTTTGGGTGTATTCGAAGGTCACTAGAGTTTCTCTCTGCATGGGTTGCGTGAGTGGTGCCAGTGGGCATATAAGGGGAGGACTAACATAGTGGTGAAGGATGCCGGGGAGGCCACCCTTAGGCCAGAACTTCGAGTACATTGTCGGACTAAGAATGAAAACGCCCACCACTACGACGAGTGTTGAAGCTCTATACGGATCACGGCGAGTGTGCACTAAAGAAAGACTTGTAGAATGCTCTCCCGAAATCGGCACTCCAAAGTTCTAACTGGGGACGATAGAGCAGGCACGCATAGGCTTTGCTGATTGATTGGACTTGATTATCATGCCCGAAATTGCTGACCCAGAATACGTGTTGGGACTTGGATGTCTCACTTTTTTTTCATCAAACGTGCAATCTACCAGTTAGTGGAGTATTTGCAAAGCTCAATGTCACGTAGTACGGTATGGTATTACAGGTACCTATGGTAGGTAATTTGTACATCCTGGTACCGGCTAGAAGACTCTGCCGAGACGGACAATAGGTCAGATAGATTAGGTAGACCAATTGATACTATGGATGTCTTCCAGAGAATCTGACGCTCATCCCCACAGTAGGTACATATCTCCGAACTACTCCGGATAGTACAAGCATCCGATATCTTGCTCGGACAAGGATCTGACGAACTGAACCCTTATTGTATAACCACACTACCCAGAGAGCCAACTGAATCACTTGCAGTTGAAAATTTCGGTGCGGCGATCAGCCAATTTATCACTACCTTCTACGGCCTAACAGTCTGCTCAATGTGCCCATGCAGGTAATTGTATTGATATACGACTGTTAGATGTACTTCAGTACAGAAGCGAGAGATCCTATAATACAGTACACCAGAGTTATGGTATGTAAGATCAAGCGGGACTCGAAGGATCTCGAGCTATCCTTTTTCAGCAGTGTTGTCCGGTCGTTTAGTGAGAAACCGGGTCCCATGCGTGACCGCGACGCTCCGGAGAGTGGGGGCCTGTGTCATAGGAATAAGACTGATGGAACTATCGAAGATTCAAGATCCACATGGACGCCGAAGTCGTCACTGGTCACTTTCAACGACTCAAAACATTTTGATAGTTGAGACGATCAAGAAGTGTGTTATGGACGGTCGTCCTCGCACGCAAGCTGGCAGCACCTTGAAGATGAAGTCGGTGCCGTTTTGCCGAAATCTAACTACCAGCTACCTACATACACAGTTACTCAATTCTTATAACATACCCAGTATAGAGTCCCAACTACATCTAACGTCGTATTCTCACTACAGAGTGTGACGACGAATACGCAGCCGTGCACAATTTTTACTATTATCAGATCAGATGAACGCATAGCTCAGGTAACTTAGCCGGCAGATGGAATTTCGCGTGATTTATCTAAATCGTGTGTTTAACACACAGTCCTGTTGGTGAGATCGCAGAGAAGTTCTATGCTCTGTAATGCATCAACGCACATAAAACCTGCCGTTTGAGGGAAGAATACCAAAGCCCGACAATCCTTCATAGTAGGATCAAATGGCTGACTGGTAGATTGATCCCGGTCTATCCCCTGCTCAAAACACCATACCCTTTACCTGGGCAACCTTGGCCAGGTTGATATTGCGGATCAGGAGAATCCAAATAAACGACAGAGCCATGATGCCCGTTCCAGCGGCCAGCATCCGCGTCTGAGCGTAGCCGTAGGCCTTTTGGATCGCCAGACGCGCCGCACTACCCACGGGGTAACTCAGCTGCGTGTCAAGGTCTTCGTAGATGGTATCCAGGTTGGAGAGTTCAGAGGCAGGGAGATCCCTCGCCAACGCCTTCTTGAAAGTATTGGTCCAGATGGCCCCGGAGATCGTCGCGCCCATTGCGTCGCCGACGGTCCCAACGACGTTCAGCAGCGCCAGTACAGCGGCGACATGCTGGTGGTCAACTGCAGCAAGGATGGCCAGTTGTTCAACGATGATGAAGATGCTCCCGCCGATGGAGATAAAGATCTGGCACATCACCAGATACCCGACTGACTGATTGGGACGACGGAAGTAAATCATCAGCCCCTGTGCGAAGATATACAACGGCACGGAAATGTAGAGTAGCCACTTGAAGCGACCGGTTTTGCTGATCAGGAAGCCCACTATCAACAGCAGGACCCCTGAAACCACATCGAATGTGTGGCTCACGTAGCCTGCTTCCGCGATGGTCAAGTCGTTGACCGCCTGGAGGAAGGATGTGAAGTAGTTGGCCCAGCAATAGTAGGACAGCTGGTAGGTAGCGTCTAGCAGACAGGTGCCAATGACCGTGCGGTCGGAGATGAAGCTGAAGTTCAACATGGGGACCGGGGCCACAAACACCTCGTGGAGGATGAATATCACCAGCATGACGCAGCCGACGACGATCATCGCAATGATGTACCCGGATCCCCAGCCGTTTGGCGCATCTGAGGCGATTGAGAATGGAAGTAGAAACACCGTGAGTCCTGCTGAGAACACAAGCACGCCGAACACTGGATAGTCAGTTGCATAGTACTAGAAATAATTTATAAAGGACACTCACAATCAAACTCTTTGATATAGTACCAGACATGCTGTAGGAACGTTCGCCCGCTGCGTTCCTGGGACAGCAAGCCTTTCCTGGCAGCCTTGCGCAGGTTGAACTTCAACAGACCATACAGCGGAGCTGCCACGATCGGGAAGATGATGGCAAAGCAACCAAATCCCCATCTCCAGTTGACGCTGTAAAAGTCGTCCGAGGCCTTGGGTCCAGCGAAGGCGGTGATAATATAAGGGGACGACGTGAAGGCATAGGCTAGACCTCGATTCTTCAGCTTGGATGAATCAGCCGTGATCACATCGACACAGTAGGTCATTCCTCCAAAACCAATACTGTAGAAGACCTTTTCATATGTCAGCTCTGCTCGAATGGTGATCTAGTCATGGATCATACATAGGCAGCACAGAAGGTCGGAAGATTCTGGCAGGTCGCCATGAGAATCAACCCCAACGTCGCAAACACCGTCATGATCAGAAATCCTTCCGCACGCCCCCAAACATCCATGATCTTGGCCAGAGGTATGAAAGTGGCCGCAGACATGGCGTCGGCGACCACGTAGATGACGTTTAGTAGCGAGTGGGATTCAAAATCGCTCGTAACAAATGGAAGTAGGTTGGACAGGATCGAGGACTGGAAAGCGTTCACGAGGTAGAGGAACCAAATGCTAGAAGTCATTCATATTAGCGGACACCACGCGACGACCAAAATGGACAGCCTACTTGATAAAGGCTGCAATCAGCGACGCCTTGGACCAGGTGAGAGTTACGGCCTCGACGTCGTGAACGCCACGTTGAACTTCTCCCTCAGGGGCATCTGGCTGGACCTCCTCCGCGCCCGGGGTTGTCGCAGCTTCAGCATGTTTATTCTCACCAACGGTGCTCTGAGTGATAGTAGTGACGTCGCTATTGGCAGTCCTTCGGCGGAAGACCGTCCGGAGCCGTGTAGACACTGTCATGGTGGATGTGCGTGAGATGGAAAAGATGGACCGAATTCATCAACTCGCACAGAAAAACATTGTCCAAGGATTCCATCTCCTTAACTACATTCAGCAAGCGGATCTGACAAGAAGAGTCAGACGCCGATAGTCGGGAGGTGGCATGAGACATCGCCAACCAACAACAATTCGACCTCTCTGCCCCTCACCCTCCAGGCTTACTGGCGCCGCCGAAGAGTTTTCATGATCCATCTATCATTCAAGACGCGAGGGGCCAAAGAGTGGATATGTCGTCCGCAGGAATTACAAGTTTCCAAATTAGTCGAAAGCAAAGTTCTATAGCGCGCTCCAACGCGTCATGGTCGCACGGTTGTGGGCTCATCAGGAGAATTCTCGGTCAAGAAATATGGTTATCAGATCCTAGTCTTAATATTATCAATCAGTGGGGGCGGAAAAATGGGCCATACCTTTCTATCCATACCTTACACGGTCTCTTGGTACGGCTGTAACGGCCCTGGTGTGTGCTGTAAGTTGCGTCTTCCGTCATCTATACCTGACATATTGTTACGAACTTGTTCTTGAGGTTGAGCTTAGGAGTAATTGGGGCCTCCGAACGCATGGCTGCTGAGACATCCGAGCCCATGAGCTGTCTAGAACATCTGTCATCGTCCACGTGGTAAGTCTGCTTGTCCTCCTTCTCGGCGCCTTATCTCGCTTAAGGCTTTCTTGGCTGTCGAATGTCGTTCTTCCTGTTCGCCGGATCGTGACTCCATCCACCGGAGTTCTTCTTATTCCAGCACGGCATGGTCTACCCTTGGATTGACATTACTGTCCATTCGCGGATGGTCGTCGAACGTGAATATCACGTAATATCCTGGCATTCAGCCAAGTATCACATGAGAACGACTTTGTCTGCGACCTTTTTCATCCACCCTTATGCTTTGGTTCAGTGGCTTGACTGACTCGCGCGAGTCCGGACAAGTCCATTATCTGATCCTTTTATCAATCAGTGGCCCCATTCGCAGGCGGCGTTAGCCGTGATACAGTATTTATGGTTGTTTTGAGTAATTTTACACGTTCCATGGCAGAATTGAAGACACGGGTTGGTATTTTTCAAGTTCCATCTATCTCACATACAAAGTTGTTGACCTGGTCCGACATATAAGGGGTCACTGCAAAAAAGAATTCTTGTCTTATGTTATCCCTGAGAAGTAAGTATATAGATGCATAATCGAAGCTATTTTACAAAGCCGGATCAGATCTTCATTGTCCGAACATGTCCGATGCAACCTACCTAGGTATTGCTCTAGATGTACAGAATGGGGGAGCCAACTTCTCACTACCTGTCCGCCGACGGGCTACTTTCGGCGATTGTAAATCAACACGAAGAGAGCAGACGAAAACTACGTGGTAAGTATCTAGTAGATATTGGATATCTAATACAAAGGCGCAATCGTCTCGGGAAAATTTCATATCCAAAAGCTAGGTATATATGCCCTGTTTCACGTCCGGGTGACCAAGAAGCGACTCTCTCAAATGCATGCATAGTTCAATAAGATACGCTTATGGCCAACAAATACTCTAGTGGACACTGTCTATTGGAATTGTCACAGAAACAATATATACACATCCCTGACCAATACCAGATCACATCTTCGCAGTGTCCAGTTTCCGGAGTTCACGTCTCAATATCTTACCAGACGGATTCCTAGGAATAGCATCAATAAAACGCACCCCACCGCGGAGCTGCTTATAGTAAGCAACCCTCTCCTTCAAGAAAGCCTGAATATCCTGCGCGGTCTGTTCACTCTCCAGCACCTTGGATTTGGCCCGGACATACGCGCGGGGAAGCTCAGAACCCGCCTTTCCAGTTGGAATGCCGACGACCGCCACATCCGCAATCGCAGGATGACCCAACAAGATCCCCTCCAGCTCGGCAGGAGGAACCTGGAACCCATTATATTTGATCAACTCCTTCACGCGGTCGGTGATGATGAAGTTGCCCTGCGAATCCTCGTACCCGACGTCGCCGGTTTTGTAGAACCCATCCGCGGAGAACGACTCGGCCGTGGCCTTGGGGTTGTTGTAGTACCCAAGGAACACGTTGGGCCCCTTTACCCACAGCTCGCCTTCCTTCGCGTGCGCGGGCTTCTCGCCTTCGACAGGCACGTATTTTGCGATCAGGTTCGGGAGCAGGCGGCCCACTGCGCCGGGGTATTCCTGCGCTTCTTGCCATGTCTGTTGGGTGTTAAATAGTTGCTTAGGAGGAGGGGTAGAGAGATCTGGTATCACACCTGCATGTGGGTACAGGGGGAGCATTCGCTCATGCCGTACGCCTGACGCACGTTGATTGAGAACTGCTCCTTGAGAGATGCAATCAACTGAGGGGAGAGGGGGGCGGCGGAGCACTTGAGCATGCGGATGGAACTGAGGTTGTACTTTCTTGCTTTGGGGTTCTCCAGCAGCTGCAGAATAACCGGTGGGACAGCGTAGGCGTAGGTAACCTTGTATTTCTCGATAGTCTGGCAGAACTTCTCCAGTTCAAACCGGGGCATGACATATGTGGACATGCCCATGAACACGCCATAGGTTATGAGGTATGTGACACCTGCGCGGTAACGTCAGCCGACAAACGTTATCAACGAGCATGGGTTCCCTGGAACATACCGTAAATATGAAAGAACGGCAGGCAGGCCAAAACCCTGTCCTCGTGTGTGAGGACGCCATTGTCGACGGCAGCAGATTGAATCAGATTGGCGACAATATTAAAATGCGACAGCATCACGCCCTTCGGTAGTCCCGTCGTCCCCGAGGAATAGACCAAGAAGACCAGATCCTTCTTCGGATCGGTGATGGGTGGCTGATGGGGTTGGCTATAAGCGTCGTCGGGAATCACAGAGGGATTGGGCTCCCACAACTGCGGTACAGCATCATCGATCACGATGATTCGGGAAGGACTCAGTCCGGCCTTTTGCGCCGCTTCAAGCACAACAGGGTACTGTGCACGCTTCGTGACGACGGCTTTTGCCTGCGAGTCTTTCAAGTAATGGCGCAAGTCATGGGCTGAGAAGGCGGGATTCAAAGGGCTGACCACGCCTCCTACTGAGATGGCTCCCCAGATGATGGGAGGCAGATCAATGGCATTCGGGGAGAAGATAGTCAGCACGTCGCCCTTCTTCCAGCTCCATTCTTTCTGGAGGAGGCGTCCGAAATGCAGCCCGAGCTTGCGCGCTTCCGCGAATGTGTAAGAGCGACCAGTATATGCATCCGTGAGAAGAGCTGCAGATGTCAGTGGCCATCCCTACAGACCAAGTAGGTGAAAAGGGCTCGGGAGGTATGTACTCTTTGAGTCATTAAATTCCCGTTTCCTTTGGAACAGAAAGCTCCAGAGATCGACGTTCGGGATTGTAACGTCTGGGTGTGGGGAGATGGTAGTCATGATGGAGTTGTTGTGTCTGTCGTTCGGCAGAAAGGGATTTAGACATTCTGACTAGAATATATACTGGTTTCCGGGGCAGCAGATCGAGGGGTCCCGATTACGATCCCCAGGAACCATCATATTCACCCCCCATCGTTCTCTCCCCGCAATATTACCGGGAAGAAACCGCATTTGCTGTAGATTGATGGCCATGGCATCTCGGAGAGCGTTATGCCGTTGTATATGACGCGAATTCACGCTGGCCTCGGTTTCTCGGCTTGGTCTGGGTCCGGATACGTTTCTCGGCAAGTGTTGGCAATCCACTCGGCTGGGCCGATGCCACGATGCTCCCGAGGCCGGTTTTTGTGATTCCAGGACGTTTTCGCAGAATCCATTCAGGTTCAGGATGTCAAAGAAAATGGACAGGTGGAAAGAAGTATGTAAAGGCGCGAGGTTGAAGAAAGTCAATATCGGGACATGCCAGTGATCCGGCTAGCAGGGCAGTGGCGCTATCAGCTCCAACTAGGTTTTACGGCTCACAGGATATACATAATGAATGAGATCTGGGTTTTTTGCAGAAACATTGGGCAGATATGTAGCTAGAACCCTGAGGCCACTAAACGAAACGACCGAACCCGTTGGCGGAAATCAGCGGATATCTGCACCTCGTTTCAGTACTTCTCTTTCATTCAGAATCGGATGCCTTTTATATCATCTGGCTGGTAATAAGGCTATTAGTTACTGCAAGATACCTGTCGTGGACGCATCATGATCGATGAGAGTTTGTTCACCAAAATTGTGCCCTGTCTGATAGTATTTATTGCCTTCGCTCTATACTAGCTATTAGGAAGACCAATACATCTCACTTCCCTGATATGTCGAGTTCTACTAGTGAAGTACCAGTGGCGAGCTGCAAATCTACAACCTGCTTCCTTCGGCTTCTATCATACATAAGTATGATCGTCTACGCCAGCAGTATCGGTGGATTTCGGGCCTTTCGTTGCTGGCCATGAGTATAGTCACCTTTCCTATTTTAAATCAATATCATACTCCAAGGACACTAGTTCCAATGTATAGGGTCATAAGGACCGTGTATACGATTGTCCGACTGATGGTTTACTGTTCACTTTGGGAGTTGCGCACCGTTATATATATCATTGTTCTCTCAGTAAATGAAAGCTTTTGCATTCAATTTGGCACACAAAATACAAATATGTCTACGCCGACGCAAATAGCAAGACAAAAACCCCCTAAGCAGCAGCAACCTGTTGAATAGGCGGTGGACACAGCCCCAACTGATCCGTCGGATAAGCGAAATCAACATCAAACAACCACGTTCAACATCCCCAATGACCAAGCCAAGTCCAGCACCGCACATCCTGCATCTCCCAGATGAACTGCTGCTGCAAATTGCCCATGATCTCTCACTCGCCACGCTCAATTCGCTGATCAAAACATGCCGGCGCGCGTTCAAGAGCCTCACCCACCAGCTCTACGCCCGAGCGCTCCGAGACGAGCCCCGCCGCCGATCTAATGGCCACCCGTCCCTTGCTAGCAAGATCGGTCGCATCGGGAGTCCAAACGCCGTGCATCACTGCATGGAACACCGGTTCCTAGGCGATGAAGAGGGCCGGGTGTTCTGGGCCGAGTGTCTGCGCGAGGCGGCAGCAAATGGGCACGCTGACGTGGTGCGGCGTCTGCTAGACGCGGGTGTCGAGCCCGACAGACCATCAGGGAGTCCCATCGCATGCAGACCAATTTTCACAGCAGCCGAAAACAACCACGTTGATATCGTGGAGATGTTGTTGGCGGCCGGCGTGCAACTTGGTCCGCCGGACGACGTGAGAGACTGTCCGCTCTACGCGGCAATGGTGCGATCGCCCCGTCCGAATATGGCCTTGGTCCAAATGCTTCTTGAACAAGGGAGTTACCCGACGGCTCATATTACTACTTTGCTCTACGCTGTGGCTGGTTCTGGCAGAGCGGACATGGTGGGGCTCATGCTCGATATCGGGGCGGAGATTGACGCGCGCGACGCAGAGGGACGGACGCCGCTGTGTCTGGCGATCGAGCAGGGTCACTACGACACGATCAGAATGCTCCTACGACGTGGCGCGAGTGTCACAAATGTGGATGATAGAGGAGCCACGCCGCTCTGTCTCGCGGTCGAAAACAAGGAGACAAACACTGCGGCTGTTGTCAAGCTTCTCGTGGAGCACGGGGCGGATCCCAATGAGCGATACCAAGACGACCACACGCCACTGCATGTAGCGACCAACGTCGACGGGGGCAAGGGTGAGATTGTCCTAGCTCTGCTTGAACTTGGTGCCGACTGGCGCGTCACAAGGGGCGACGGGAGTCTGCCCCCGTTGCTGAATGCAATGCAGAGTTGCAGCGAACCGTGTGGCAGTATCCAGCATCTGATTGACTATGGCGCCGCCAGTTATCCACTACACTACACACCCGGTCTGCTGTACTGGGCGGCGAGCTTGGGCTACGACGATATCGTAAAGCGATACATAGAACACATGGGAGACGTTGAAGCAGGCTTTGTCAACGACCGGCAAAGTCCCACCAGGGTGATATTCCGAGCCGTGGCGAGAGGCCGCGAAGCGCTGCTAAAGATGATCCTACCGTTCGTAACCGACGTCGACTGGAAAAGCCGGATGCACGGGTCCGCCGTCACAGAGGCTGCACGCATTGGGGTCGGAGGAGTCTCTTCGGCTGGTGCTGGGAAAGGGCGACGAGGAGCGGCGTGGAGGCTACAGACTGGCGCGGTCGGACTGCGTTGATGTTCGCGGCGAAGTCCCTGAGCGCAGAATCTGTTTCCTTTGATCCGGGAAATGGAACACTATCCATGCGCGTGATATATCCGATCGGATTGGGCTGCATTATCCGTTGGAAGGAGACAATGGACGCGTTGTGACCGTCTTGTTGGCTGGAGGTCTGGACTTAATGGCTGCTGTGACCGTCACAGGAAGCTGCATGTGTCGGAGGTGTGTTCAGTCAATCTTGAA